AAGGTCGTCAAGGCCAGCTGCGAATCTGTCAGTATATTTGGCTCTCGCCCAAAGCCTCGGTGCTACTTACCCTTGGCAACGTCCTTCAGGCCAACGTTCAACATGGCGTTGTCGAGGGCGCGACCCATGAGGAACTCGAGAGAAAAGTAATAGACGCGCTTTCCGTCGACGAGGGTCTGGCGCTGCTGAGTCTTGTTCCACTCCTTGACCAGACGGTCACGGAAGGCTAAGCTGGCGGCCGAGTAGGCGGCCGTCTCGTCGCAGTTGAACATGCTGCGAGCCAGAGTGGTCTCGACATGGCGGACAACCTCCTTTTCGAACTCCTCCTTGCTCTTGAAAGGGCCGGACTGCGCCTTGGACCACGCCTCGCGCTGGGGCTCTGGGATCGAGGCTGTTGAAAGGGAGTCAGCTGTGAGGTTCCATTGAGAAGGTAGCTGGTGTAAGCGGAGGATAATGTGTGGCAGGGCAGGGAACGAAGCTACTGGGTCCATGTGGCGTGATGGAGCTCGCGACGATCAGTGCGGGGTATTTTGGGACTGGGCTGATGGGGCTGCCCCTCCAAAGCTCCACGAAAGCTGCGAGAGCTCGCCCTCATCGTCGCAGGCCGGCGTTTACATGACATCTGCCACCAAGAACCATGCAATTGAGAGAATGGAGGAAAAGAAAAACTAACCCTCGACGCTCTTGATCTCGCCGGCACCGAAACCCGTAAAGGTTCTCTTGTGCTTGGGGCGGGAGATGCCAGCCGGGCCGACGGAGCCCTGAATGTCGATGATGGGCGCACCGGTGGAAGGACGACGCTCGCGCAGGGGAATGCGCTGCTGTTCGGTGGATCCCGACATTTTCGTAGCTGGTTGGGTACGCGTGCAACAATAAAGGATTAGGGACCTGGAGACTCAATTGGTCTGATATCGAGGCTCGACTGTTTTGTGAGACCGTCAGCCGACTTGTTAACTATAAAAGATTCTCAGAGAAGAGAAAGAAGAGTGCGAGAATCGAAACACCACTCGGTCGTAAGTGATGAGTGAGGGACGAGGGGGAAGACGCGGAGGAGGAGGTCCAGACTTTGTTGACAGGCGGAGCGAACGGGACGTACGTCAAGGATGTTGGTGGGGAGAAGAGCGGGGGTGTTTGGCGTGCCTGAAGCTCAGTCCACCACTCGCGGCCGGGATACTCAGTCAGCCCAGCCAGCGCCAACGAAACGAAGCGTCTCAGCTGAAAGTTATGGAGCTGGTGCTCGGCGACGGGAGCTTTGCTAAACGGTGATTGAGGTCAGATGGCGTTCCGGAGGCGGCTGGGACTGCAACAAGCGTCCGAGGACGTACGATAGCAGATGCAGATGGACCTACTGGAAGAATCGAGCTTGGAGACCGGAGGAAGCTTACGAGATGAAGACAGCTGAGGGGGCAGAAGCGGACGTTCTGCAATTGGAAGAGAGGGAAAGGGGAGGAGGGGTAAAGCAGAAGGAGGAACCAAGAAGCCATGGAGAGATGAGGGGGACGGCGGGGGCTTAAGAAAGAGACGGACAGTCAAGCAAGGGTAGGTAGGTGTCTCTCAGTCAGCTAAGGCATGTTGTGGACTACCACGCGGCAAGATGAGGAGGAGGAGGACGGCTTGGAGGTACTTCCTCAATGGATGATGAAAGGGAAGTTACCTCGCCGTAGCTAGCTAGCTAGCTAACTAGCTGCCTCTTGCATCGAGATGGAAGGTACTGGGGACGTCGGCGTGGCATGGCATGGCATGGCAAAGACGCATGGTCTGCATATACTGGCCAACTCGATCTTGCACAAAATGCACCGCTCACCCAGTCTGGCAACACACAAGACAATTGATGTGGCACCCTTGAACAATCCAGCACTGGCTGTCCTGCTGCCCTGGATAAGGTATGGAGAGGCAGACTTTGGCTGATCTGACAACCCGCACACACCAGAAATCCGATATGGAGTCCTGGCTCCTGAGCCCCATATCCAGGGCGCCTGGGCCCGGTCTGGCCTGGAAGGGGGCACCTCGCCTGTCTGCCCATGTATGTACAACAGGAAATTCCCCCGAGGGAGAAACCGCCTGATATGACCTCACCCTGCGGCATCGTGAGATGCGCGGCTTCGAATTGGAGAAAGCAGAACATGCAGCCACGAGCAACTGCTTGCTGCATCGAGCTACCAACAATGCGGGGTGAGGCGCGGTGAGCGAGCACCCCAGCAACAGTAACACAGTCGACCTTAGCTTGACGGTAGCAATGCTGTTTGGCGAGTCTACTGGCTGGGACTAAGGCACCCGAGGTGATACATTGAAGTAGAGAGAACATGGGGTATGCGTCTGCCTCGTGCATGAGGTGGGGGAAGGAGAAAGATGGCGCCGACCGAGACGGATGGAATTGGTCAACCGGTCCAACTTCGCAATGGCACAGAGTCGCCGGCCAGGATGTCTGTTGTGTCTCGTTCTATTTGCGAGGTGCGAGGTGAGTCGCGCCTCGACCACCATCTGCGGCCAACACCTTAGCGCAACTGCGGCAGCCGCCGGTTTAGTGGTGCACTAGAATGGCGGCGGCACTAACACCGAGGTCGGCTCGAAATGATGCATTGCATGTCCAATGCTGGGGCAAGCTGGGCAAGGCAAAGCTTCGGGCTGTCCATTGAGGTCCACTGCCTCCTTCCCTCCCGACCCGGACTACCCCCCAAAACCAAGGCAGCCCAGAACCTACCTTTGGTGCCTGGATGGGATGGCCCGATTGTGACGAGCTACACCCAGTCCTCAATCAGGAAACCCGAAGGGAGAGAAGGTTCGGGAGGCAACGACAACGCGGCAATCCACTCACTTTACACCAGCACAACCCACTGAGACACTGGCCGGGCATTCTCACCACTCCTTGGGGACAAGGGAGGCGGCGGCAAACCTGGCACCGGTTCCCCGGCCGTGGTTTGTCTCGTGTAAGTCAGTCAGTCAGTCAGCACGGTAACCACACAACCATTCCCGTCGCCCTCACCCATCTCTTCAACACCCGAGACACCAAATTTTTTTATAGATGGGTGTAATTGAGTCTTGCCGTGGCATGCATCACCAACCGCAACGCCTCACCACTCCCGGGGCCTCTTCCCAAGCAACCGAGAAACAGTCGGGGCATGGTAACGCCGCCATTCCACCTTACCTACCGCCTCCCGGGTGCGGCTACGAGACACGCCATTCTCGCCTCCACCCCGCGGCGACGGGCTAGATACGACCAGCCAACAACTACCTGTACACAGCAACTCCCCACCGAGTCCCACAACAGCTGGACGTCTCCCTCTTTGGCAACGGGCGCCAAAATGCTGCCTCGTATGGGGTAGAGGAAGGAAACGCTACCTTACCATAGGTAGTACCCTTCTGTGGAGCAATGGAGCACTGGAGATCTTTTTCCACGTTGACAGAATGGAGGAGAACTCCGCCCGCGCCGAACATGCCGTCTGAGCTTTTCTCTGCTCTCCCCTCAACCCCCCCCCCCCCCCACTATTCTTCAGCGCGCCTCTCCTGCTTCAACATCCGGGCTCTGATAGCAACCGCAGTGCCCAGCCACCTGACTTGCAGACCCTCGAATACGGGCTCAAACACCAACGCACTCGCCGTCTCCATCTCCATGCGTCGAGACTCCTCCAGTGGCCTCAAAGATAATCCAAAACAGCCCCCTCCCGTGCAAGCACGTTATTGGCTAGGCAACACTCTCTTTCACCTGCCGTCCAGCAGAGTAAAACTTTATGACAGAGCACGACATTGGGGGGCCCCGGAAGCCACCGGTGCCAACACCACCGGCGTCCCAGTCGGAATGTGATGCAATGTCCTGCAATCCGCCACAGCATCACCTGATGTCTCTCCCCCTCTCCGACGCGCATTGCCGTTCCCAGGCACTGCCTGGCGGACCACAATGCCATTCTATCGTCTCCCGTGCCGCGCGGGCTCTTGTCTGATATGCCCCGGCTCGGAAGTCACCCGCACGCACACACACACACACACACACACACACACGGCCACCAGCAAAGTGGCGCCCTGGCGACACGAGGCTGCCTCTGGTCCCTCACAACCGCCGCAAGACCAAAACAAAAAGGCACGTAAACGTGGTGAGAAACAGATGCACCGCTTCCAGCGTGCACAGCCTTGCAGGATTAATACGCTATAATATACAAACAAAAACCATCTATGCTGCCAGGCCTCAAGCCAGCGCTGGGCGTTCTCTTCTCATTGGGGGGAGCTTCCTCCGAGCTCTCCTCCGTCCCTGATCGTTCCAGCCCGGGCCTCGGCCGACCCTCTCTCTCTCTCTCTCTGGGGGTTTGCATTGGACCTCCGGATGTGGTCTCGTGTCGTTGCCGAGCCCGAGCCGGGCTCTGTTTCCGTACATCATCGCGTTGCACACAGCTCCCGGTGTAGGGTGTGATTCCGCACGGAGAGATTTGCTTCATTTAGCTGTCGCAACACTCCTGCTATCATCCAGTAGTCCCCAAGCCCCCTGGTTTCTTTCGGGGTGGCCGGGTCGCTGTTTGCTTGGCTTTGCTTCGCTTTGCCCCTCTTCCCCCAAATCCTGAGCCTCAGTCCCAAACGAATGGTCCATTCATCACATCGTCTCTGAGCCTCCCTTTCCCAATCCCATACTCCAGACCACGGCAGGCATACTTTTCGCCCCAGAAAGCTTTCGCGCGCAGACCTCTTCTCTTCACCAACACCCGGTTTCCTCGCTTGGGCGGCAGCAACCGGTTGCGAATGCCCCTTTATGTAGCAATTGGTTCCGTGATGCAAAAGGAAATTGCCGCTGTCGATTCCAAGGCACTAACCGACCCGTTCGCTCGACCGCATCGTGTCGAAAGCGAGCGCAGAAACCAGAGTGAACGCCGTCCAAACGAAGTGCCGCCCACAACGCCCGGCAATGCTGTAAAACGCTGACCCGCAACAGAGGAGATGAATCTAAACATTAGGAGAGAAAGGGAAAAGGAAAAAAGGAAAAATAAAATAAGTTGGTGATCCAAGCCGAGCCGATTTCATAGGATTCCCGAGTCCCGAAGGGCGTTGTTGAGGATCGTCTCCTTAACTGCCGCAAACACCAATCGGATATTCGACGTGTCGGTTGCTTGAGTCAGGCTACCGTCGAATTAGCCCCCCCCGCCCACCAAAACCATGACGCTGTTACTTACTGGGGATATAAATTGAGATGTGCTCGATTGACCTGGTTAAACCTCCAGAGGAGATATTTGGCCGCCTTGTTGACGTCGTTGCCGCCAGAGTAGTCGGGGAAGTAGTTGCCCAATGGTGAGCGCCCAAGCTTTTGCTTAAAGATATCCACCTTGTTTAGGAACAAGATGATACTGGTGCGCATGAACCACCTCGAGTTGACTACAGAATCAAACAGGAGTAAACTTTCCATCATACGGTTCTGCGCATGTTAGTGTCAGGGATCGGGTCGAACATGGGGGACCTGGGTCCGTACCTGACTGGACTCCTCAAGCAGGACTTGATCGTACTCGCTGAGAGCAACGCAGAAAATGATGGAGGTGACGTTCTCAAAGCAGTGAATCCACTTCTTTCTTTCGCTTCTTTGACCGCCGACGTCGAACATGCTGCGACAGTGTTAGATACTCGGAGGCTCGCACACGTCTTCACGGAGGCTCACTGTATGCTGAGTTGTCCCATCTGAAATCTTGTTTCGTAGATGCCGGTTGTTTTGGTTCTGGCCCTGAGAACGTCCATCTCATTGGGGAGATAGTCTGGAGAGACAATCCGCATGACCTCTTGGAAGAAGCTGGTGCCATCTGGTTAGCTGCCACTCTGATTGACCTAGAGGAACCAAACGGGAGAACCCACTATTCCGCCGAGTCCATCAGATAGAATTCGGTCTGCCTGTCCATGAGCTGTTCCCTTGCAGGGTCGCTCCATATTGACTGGATAGCGACGCCGATCTGGGGATCAATGTGTGCCTGGGGGCCAGACTCGGCCGTGTACTCTAGGAGGTAAGTGGCGTAGGCCTTGTTCGCTTCGATTTGGGGCTCGATGTCAAACTGTCGCATCGCTTGTATCACTGCTTTCGCGCATTCTACCAGATTCTTAAAAACGGTCGGCCGATAGTTGTATAGTTCGTCTTCGGAGTAGCCCTTCAAGTGGATGATCTTCATCTGCTTGACTATCGTGGACTTGCCGCTCTCTCCAGAGCCTGCGTACTTGTCAGCATGTTCATGTCCCCGAGCAGTGATCAGGCCGGGCGCCGAGAGAACGTACCGAGCAGGAGAATCTTGCATTCTCTGCGTAACCTCTTGGAGTCCTCTTCCAGTTGTCTGTCGATCGCTTGGCTCTTCTTCTTCTGCTCCACCTCCTCGTTGTTCGAGCTCATACAGGCACCCATCTTGACGGGTGTGGCAAGGCAAGGCTCGGGTTGAGACGCTGTCCGCAGAAATAATGCGACACGGAAGCGATTGATGCCTCGAGTCTGCAGGGCTCAAAGGATCAGGAAGGCGAGGTGGCGTGTGTTCTCCCAAAGGATGCACGTTAAATGCCCATAGTATTATTAGTCGATACCTCTGGATGGTGGTAAATCGCGAGGGTGACAAGGGCGGCAGGGCGTCGTCGGTTGATGATGCGGTTCGTCGACGGAGTACTCGGCGGTAACGCAGGCGTGTCGGGGCCGATGGGCTTCGGCCAAGGACCAGTCGATGGCAGCAGTCGGTAATGGACGACGAGGGACGATTGGAATCGAACGTCGGAGGGCGTGAGGATGAACGGATGAGATGCTGCGACCCTGGAAATCGGGGAGGACGGGGAGCTGTCGAGGGAGATGGGTAACGAAGAACGGAAGACGAGTGAGTGCGACCGGGAAGGCGGGCGAGGACAGTGTCGGAGGAACAAATGTGGGTATCACCAGGACCTCGACAGGCGGGCGGGTAAGTGCAATTGGGTGCGGCCCAAGCTAAGCACTGATGTACCCTTCTGTACCGAGCGACCCAGCGAAGGGTGGTAGTGAGAGCCTTGTTGGATCGTCGACTGCCCCAGGTGTCACAGAGAGCGAGTGCAACACAGATAATTACCGTGACCGGGATCAACCAGGCTGTCCTGCTCGGGTCCGGTCTATCAAAAGTCGACGGGCAGTGAGGAATAGAGATCGGGGTTGGAAAACTGGAAAATGGAGAGAGAGAGGGAGAGGGAAAGGAAATGAGTCGGCGGGGAGGAAGTTGGTGCGGAAGAGAGGAGGGTGTGGTTAGAGGAAAAAGGAAGTCCGCCGTGCGGGAAAAGTGTAAAGTTGATGCTAGTTGGTGGCCGGGCTGGAGTCGCAAGAGGTAGAGAGAGGCAAGCAGATGCAAAAGCAGTAGTAACTTCGCACCGTTGCCCGCTGCATACGGACACAGAGACGGGGAGGGGAGAAAGCGTAAGAGAGTGAGGGACCGGTGTGTGAGAGGCAAGGCAAGGCAAGGCAAGGCAAGGCACGCCTCATCCAATCCACAGTCAGACCCAGCCAGACCCAGACCTCCTCCTCCTCGTCGTCCTCCTTGGGGTTCTTACTTCACTTTGGTCTTCAAAGGCATGGCATGGCATGCGGCGTGGGTGACAGGACAGGGACACGTTCCCAGCCAACCAGCGCACAACTGCAGCAGGGCCCAGGTAAGTCGGCAAGGCCAGGGCGGCGGGTGCGGGTGCGGGTGCGCCGTGGTGTGTGTGTGAGTGTGAGTGTGTGGTTGGGTGTGTGGATCGGATATGAATGGGCCTTGTGCGTATGGGTGTCTGTGTCTGTGGACGGACTCGGCCTCTCCAACTTCTTCAATCGGCTTGGACTAACTAGTCTTGGCTGTTCCGGAGGGGGAAGAGGCCGGGCAAAGGTGGGCAAGAGACACGGCAAAATGCGTGGGCGAGCGCAGCGGGCTCCGAGAACGACGGAATGAAGGGGAATGAACGATTTGAACACGCAACAGCAGTCTGGTCTGCACGGAGACGGCTTCTCGTCGGTGCTTGGGGCACTTGGGGCCTGCCAGTTCAAGGCGGGCCTACCGAGCACACGGCGGGCAGGACAGGCAGGGTGCCTATCTATAGATAACCAAGTACTCAGATGCAGGGCGTAAGCTGCTGCTTCTGCTTCGGGACGTCGACGATGCGTGGCTTGTGAGGGAATTTGGCAGGTCAGGAACCGTGAGGGAGTTCGACGAGGGACGTACATCACATGGGTATAACCACGGATAGGGCGGTAGTCTAGTGCTCTCAATGTCTTCGATCTTCTCGATCTTCTTGACCTCGACCTTGCCTCGAACCGAATCAAGAATATTTGGCAAGGCCGGCGAGGAAGGAGATTGGACGGGAGCGTACGGCCGCCCTGCTCCTCATAATCCGACGCCTCACTCGGCTTCAACTTGTTGCACTCTTTGAGCCCTCGCTCCCGTCAGTCGTTAGTCTTGGAGCTCTCTCGACTGGGTAAGGTACCTTACGGATCAGGCCCCACTTGCTTTTAGTGTGGTATTCCTCCACCGCATGCATGGCATCTATGTAACACTCGCTCGTGATTGGATACGTGCCCTGCTCAACTCGAGGTTCTACATACAGATATTTACAGCACACGGTACGTACCCCGTCCTCGTCGTCTTCTGACTCCAGGCTTTTCGGGGCATTTCTGCTGCTTGTGGCCCTGCGAATCCCTGGCCGGGCTAACTTGGTGCTATCCTCTTCTGACGACGCTTTATTGTCTGGCATTCGACCCCCCTGGACCATTCTTATTACAGAGAGGATCCTGCAGAGGGAGAGGCACCCTATTTGAGGCACCAGGCGATCAGGGCGGGCGATGAAGCTGTTGTGAAAATGCAAATGGCTAGGGATAATGCAAGTGGTTAGGGATAATTTGCCTATCCGGGGGAGGGTGGGAGGCACGGCGTGGCATCGCGGCAGGTCAAAGTTTGATGGACCACTACCACCACCACCACCACCACCCCACAGACACCTCATGGCCACGGCCTTTCTATACTTTGCTCTAGGTACGATGGATGTACCTACTTCCCTTCACTTTCCACTACTATACACGTTGCATCGTTCACGTACCCACAGCGTTCCTTGGGTGAATGGGTTGCGAGAGCCAGACAAGGTTTCGCCATTGACGATGGTATCCTCGTCTTGCAAATTTTCTTCCTCAAATGAGCTACGTACGCGGGTTTGCCAGATTATCCATACACGAGCACAATGATTTGTGTTGCCCTGCCTCAGCTTGCTCTTGGGTGGACAGGGGGGGGTTCTCTTTCCTTTTCTTCCCACCCTTCTTTTTTTCCTCTGCACCTCTCTATTCCCGCCCGACCCGATCGGCATCTGCACCTACCACGAGATGCGCACGTCGTCGCTTTCCGCAAACCAGAGTGTCGGAATACAGTGGCCATCTCGCCCGTTTCATTTCTTCTTTCTTCTCCCACTTTTTTCCTTATTCTCTCTTTTTTTTTTTTTTTTCCTTCTCCAAGGAAAATCTTCATTTCAAGCCTTCCCTGTCTTCTACCAGCCCCCCAATCTCTAGGCCCAGTACACTAGGTACAGCGACCTTTGATGTGTTTGCAACCCCCAATGTCTGTTCTCGGGTGCCGGGAGATTCCAGCCCCATCCTGGAAAGCCACACGATTTGACCGCGCCCAGCAGCGCGTCTCCGCATCCGGCAGCCTCTGACACCTAGGCACCTTTGATGAGCGAGCGCGGTGTTTTGCTGGCAGAAGGGGGAGCCAGGCAGTGTAACAGCTGTTTCAGTCACTGCTGCCGAGTAATGACCCTTCAACCTCGTCGTCCTCTAGTCTCATGTCTGAGTCTGACCCTGGCCCGCCAACCAACAAAAGTGACCTTGCTTTGTGCGGATTCTCCCATCGGCCATGGGTGCATCATTGACCAGTGGATGATGGACATTGGGATATTGGACGAATGCCACCGTTCGAACTCTGGACACGGCAAATGAAGTCATCTGGACCCAAAGGCATTATGCATCGCGTCGGCATGCTCTTCGCCAACGAGGGCGCCATCAGCCCAGACCGGCACATGGCTTCGGGGACGATCGCCTTCTTTTTTCTTTTCTTTTTTTTCTCCGTCTTCAATGGACCACCAGCCGTCGACCTGAGGCAAGCTAGTAATCGCCGCCAGCTTTGACGACCGAGGCGGCAGTCAGTCAGCTCGACGCTACAGTTTGAGCAGAACAGACGGATGACTTCTACCCGTCACCCTAACCACCGTGGCTTGCCGCCAGGCTCCCTTCCCTTCCAATTGATCACAGAGATATGCTGATCCGGCACCGGCGTCTGCCTATTACGGCTTGATCGTGCCTAGGTTATTTTCTGCATCGGCCATTCCCCCGCATTAAACCGAAAGTGCAATCTATTTCGCCAATGCATTCAGACGAGACGGCAGACACGAGCCATCGTGCAGATGGCCATAACGCCGTCGCCGCTGCTATTATAATGCGCTTGCAAATGGATGCAGATGCAGCGGTGTTCCTTGCGCTTGACCTACCGGCTACGTTCCAGCGTGGCAGCATGCCATCATCCTAGGATCTGGGAATCCAACTGCCCGACAAGTCATGCGCTAGCCTCCAGGAGAACGATCAACATTTTTCGCATCCTTTTTTCGTTCCTCTGGCAGTTACATGGCGCGCCGAATATTCTCATGAACGTATTCGTGATGCATTGCTGATGGGGTATGAAGGGCGGTGATCAAGCACATCCTCGTCGGGCGCCTGAGATTTCGACCGTCACGGAAACTTTATACACGCTTTGGGCACTTTTCCTGTCGGGATTCCAGCTTGGGTGCAGCTTCACCCCGGTCGCTACCTCTGTCGCCTCGATTTGAGACCGTCCGTCGCCTGGGACTCTCCAAGCTCCTTGGGTCTTGTCCCTACTCCTCAACGGCCTGTGTGTATTTCGCATCTCGGGTGCTTCTCGTTTACAGCGCCCGCCTCTGTACGACACTCAAATCAAACTCGCGCGTTGCTCTATTCTCACGAGAGTTTCTGTCTGGCTACGGGACGATGTTTTGTTACCGAAGTTACTCCAACGGGCCGATTTTGCAGAAACCCTTCTTTTGATAGCAACCTAGACCATACGAGACTGCTTCGCATGGACATTTGCCAGCTGCAATCGTATCTGGCCCGTCCAAGAGGCTACACTATTCATGGTAGTACTGCATCGGCCACCGAGCACTGATGGCTGCACACCCCTGTTCTCCTAAACGTTTTCGTCAGATAATTTGACACTGATCGGCTCTGCCACGGAGGGCTTCGCCCAATCGGCTAGCACTAATCTGCTTGGATGCTCACAAGCTCCTCTGGAACAGATGTCGGCAGGGGGGGCACACGTGGAAGAGGGAGTCATTGAGTGTCAGCTTCTCAGATCAGTTTGGAGGGCCAGCACACAGACCTGGGCCGCCCAAGTATTCGTCCAGCCTGCTCGTTGATGGTGGTTGAGCTGCTGCACTGTCGCTTGTTTCTTCCCGCTGGCTCATTATAGTACAACACCGGAACTGACTGACCAGCCTTCTTTTATGTTTCCTGCGTGTTCATTGGCTGGAGCTATCCCTCCCGAAGCGCGGCCACTTGCCAGGTATCGCAAGCAAGATCGACCTATCTGTCGGTGACGAGACCAGTACGGAAGTTGCCTCGGGGTCCTAGACCGGTAAGGGTGTGAAATAGACTTCAGTTCAATAAACCCTCATACTTGGAGGCAGTCTTCAGGCGACATTCTCGACATATGCCCTGGTCGGTTCCTCTTGTCAGCTTCCCAAACGAGGCAAGCCCCGGCGCACCTCAAAACCGTTGGCCAACCAGTCTTTGGCTGGCGCACCTCCGACTTTTGGGTGGCTGTCGTCCTGAACCGTTCGGTCAACCAGGAACGAACTGCAGGCCGTCCTCCGATGAAGAACCGTACGGTCTGAAGCGACTGGGCGTGCGAACGACGCCAATCCGGATCGGCGTATGATGTGCGTTGCAGGGGCTATCTTTGACATACCTTCAACGAAGTACAACTCGCCGCATGCTAGCCGGCAAACCAAAGGTGGCGGCATCAAAAAGCTACTCCAGCTACAGTGCGTATAGGCGTGGTCGCCGTTGATTGTTTTGATAAGAGCGTGTCTGGTTCCCGAAGTCTGGGTCCCGACTGGTACAAGAAGAGAAGGGGACCATCAGTCGGGAAGAGTACAAACCGAGGACGGAAAAAAGGCTGGGTTCTTCGGCACAAACCGGTCGGAAGCACACTCTCAGTGGCGAATGTAATTACAAAAGCAAACCTTTTGTAGATTGTTTCCAGGGCTTTGCCATCAGAATTCTATTCTACTTTAATGCCTGAGCCGGGATTATGGCAACAAGACGCCGACGGGATAGGCTTCCTAACCTGACGCCGGCCCATTCATCTTTTGTCCTATAGCAGCCCATGGTTTCTTGAGGCTCTTGGGCATCTAGGTTTCTGGCCCAAGGGGAAACTCAACCGGACCCCGACCGAAAACGTGGCCAGCTTCTCGAAAAACCGCTTGCCAAGCCAGCAAAAGTTCAGGCGAGTGACCCCCTCCAGGCCGGGGATGTTCCAAGACGTCGTTTTGAATCGTCCCTCCCACCCACCGTCTTGTGCCCGATGTTTCACGTCATCCTATAACAGCGGCGGTCCTGACTAGCGTTCGAGCGACCCCTCGTCGGCCCACGGTCCACGTTTCCTGACGCGGCGCTGCGTGGCATCCTCGCTCGCTCGCTCTCTATCTCTCTCTCTCTCTCTCTCTCTCTCTCTCTCTCTCTTCCTCTACCTTGTGGCCAAGGGGAATTCGGTCTCGGATGCGGGACAAACGGGAAAGAGCTCGTCGCGCAATTCAGTCTCGGGAAAGGGGCCTCGCGGCAATCGTCTGGAGGATGGGGCAACGGGGGGGGGGAGCAAAGTTTATCGCGTTCGGGTCGCCCTGCTGGGAGTGCGGCGGCGCAGCCCGACCGTTCGGCCCAAGTTGCTTTCGCCACGTGCTCTCGAGTAGGCGCGGGTCCCGGGGGAACATCGCCTTGTTTGGAAACAATGTTTTCGGTTGCATCCTGCCTCGAGTAAGGTCGTACGCCGCTGGCGTGGAGCCCTCGCGTCTTCATCTTCGGATCTGTCGCGGCCTCTGGTCGCCAAACATGGCGGGAGATGATACGTCGAGCCGACTTTGTGTGCTTTAAACGGGTATCCCGGTGCGTCGAGTAGGGAATTCCGAGACCAGAACCAGTCCTGCAGAATGAGAGGAACGGGCGGCGGATATGGCAGAGGAAATCAGATCAAAGCCGTCGAGTGGTGACGATCGGGCTGTTGGTATCAAAAATGTCCGATGTCCGGCCTGCCCCTCCGGGCCGCCGCCTTGGCGCCCGGGCCATTCGTCCGTCGCCCGGCCGAAATGCCCCAGTTTTTGTGAGCAGTTCACCCGCAACGACACCACCCTAGCGGCTTCGTGACAAAGACACGTGTGTGCCGGGATCCTCCCGAGGATCCAACGCACCCTATGCTGAGTCTGGGCATTTCTAATCGGTGACAAAGCGGGTGGTAGTCAGCATTGGTAAACGACCTCCCTCCCTCCCTCCCTCTTTGCGCGTGGTGTGGACATGCGCCTGGCCAGTCGCCGCGCGGGAGATCTGAGGCTGAAGGATTCACGACGACGCGCTTTACCTGACCAATCTCCCTTCTGTAGATCGTTCTTGACTCGATCTGGAAGGACTGCTCTGTCCTGGCCGCGAGGCTTTGGACGCCGCCTCTACTCTTTCTTCGGCCGAGTCACGCAAGCCCCGTTGGTGAGGTTAGTCGGTGAGATGCCAACGTCACGCAAGGCGCAAAGTGAGTGACCTTGACAAACGCTGGCAAACCATGGTGAAAAGACGAGGGCCCCGAAGACGCCACGAGTAAAATTCCAAGCTCGCCATACAATCTCAATATGTGAATAAGAATACATAACTCTTTTGGTATCTCCTCTGTTTCGTGCTCTCACCGAATCCCATCCTCATCAAGGAACCATTCGAAACCATCAGGCACCACAAGCACAACTGAATACTACTACCAATACCCATCATCGTTACCATCATGTCTTCCACGAAACCCCTCGTCCTCTACGGCCACAGTGCGTCTCACCCACCTCAAACCGCCGGCCTGCTTCTGGTCAGCTGCTGACAACCATGGCAGATTACACCGCCAACCCGGCAAAGGTGGTCATGATCCTCGAGGAGCTCGAGATCCCCTACGAACACGTTCGTCTCTCGACCCCCTACTGCCAACCAACCCCCCTCGCCCCCTTTTTTTCCATCCCACGCACGTCACTGCAAAGTGTCCGCACTGACGGGAACCGCCGCGGGTAGATCATGATCGACCTCGCCGTCGTCAAGGAGGAGCCCTACGTCTCCATCAACCCCAACGGCCGCCTCCCGGCCCTCAGGGACCCGAACACGGGCATCACCCTCTGGGAGTCGGGCGCCATCATCGAGTACCTCGTCGAGACCTACGACGCCGGCAACAGGCTCACGTACCCGTCGCCACCTGAGCGGTTCCTGCTAAAGCAGTGGCTGCACTTCCAAATGTCGGGCCAGGTCAGTGATTCTCCGCCCCTCTGCTCACTGGCGCTTTCTTCCTCTGCTCTTCATCTTCCGAGGGGGCTGCTGTGCGCGCTCGCGTCCGGGAAGCGCGACGGCCCTGGGACTGACCCTTTCTCTCCGGTACCATAGGGCCCTTACTTTGGCCAGCTCGGCTGGTTCATGTTCTTCCACCCGGAAGACGTCCCGAGTGCAAAGGAGCGCTACGAGGAGCAGACGGTCCGCGTCCTCTCCGTCCTCGACCGAGCCCTCAGGGGAAGAGAGTACCTCGTCGGAGACAAGGCGTACGTGCAACCTTGAACCCCCGTCGCCAACTGACCGACCCCCCTTTCCCTTTCAACAAGCCCCGTTTTTTCTCTGGATAACAGCAGAAAGAAAGGCACAGCTGACAAGGCCCCAGAACCTACGCCGACATCGCCTTCATGCCGTGGGACTACCTGGCCCGACACCTCCTCGGCGACGCCTGGACCGCCAAGTGGGAAGTCGACGCCAAGTACCCCGACTACGCCGCCTGGGCAGCCCGGGTCCGCGCCCGCCCCGTCGTCGACAGAGTCTTGAAGACCATGGGCAGCCAGCGCGCGGAGACGGAGAAGCAGAAAGCGGAGGGACCTGCCCCGCAGTGATTTGGTTGGGCTGGGGGCATGAGGTGTCAGTGTGAGACTTGTTATGGGATGTGAATGGGGTGCTGGGGTTCAGCTGGAGCATGTCTTGCGGAAGTTCGTGTAAAGCCGTGAAGCTAAAAGACTGCAGTCACGTCTATCGAGTATGCTGAGCGTGGTAGCCAGTAACTTATGCAGTGATCATTTCTATTCGAGTAGGCTATCACTTGTGCCAGTCTCCTCCCTTCCAACCCCTCCTTTACCGACGCATTTTCTTCGTCTCGCAAGTCCTCGCGACTCGCTCGCCATGGTCGTTTGCACGTCCGGCTTCGTCCATATCCAGGGACAACGTGGCACTAATAGCGAGCAATACCAAGACTCCAGATTTATGCACAAACTCACTCGCGTTGGGACCCCTAAACTACGTGTGTAGATGCCAATTCCCCATCAGTCGTGTCTCTAGCGATCCGCACCAACTCAACATACGAACCCACAGCATCCTGCACCCCGCCTACGACACAGACTCTGCCTTATTTCCAGTTGTTCAGCCCTGCCCACGGATCGCTGTTCTGCTGCGGCTGAGCCGACCGTGGGTGCGCACTTGACGGGTACGCACTATGGGGGTTTTGCTGCTGGTAGTTTTGCTGCTGCTGCTGTTGTTGGAAATCTTGCTGGCCGTAAAACGTCTGCTGGGGACCCAGTGGCGGCGGGCCAGGGGGTGGAGGTGGTGGCACGAAGCCGGCTGGCATTTGTTGCTGCTGGTTAGGGAAACTGCCGTACTGCTGGCCCTGGTTGAAGGACGTTTGCGTGGGTGGAGGCGAGGCTGGGCCACGGAGAACAGCGGGACCAAACGTGGATTGATGGGGTGGTGGTGATGTCGGACCCGGGGTGGGTCCGTACTGGCTTGGGTTGTACGCAGGCTGACCGTATGCATTTCCTTGCTGAGGCGTGTACGACTGGGTAGTCGGAGGGGCAGCGAAGCTAGGGTACTGCTGCTGGTTCGGGGGCGGAGACTGAGGAACTTGATACTGTCCGGAAAAGTTGGTCTGAGGGTATCGCGGTGTCGATGTGTTGGCGAAGTTCAAAGGCGAAGGCGTAGGTCGGTTTGACGCAGGTTTCGGTGAAGGTGCGGGGGGTTCCATGGACATGCGCTCCATCAGTCCTCGCAGACGCTCGCGCTCTAACTCTGCATGTGCGTCTTTGCGAGTCGACCGCTCCTGCTCGATGCTGTTGAGAAGCTGAGCACCCTCAGAGCGCCTGTTGTTAACAAACGTCTCCACGTTCTTCTCGAGGCTCTGCACGGTCTCCTTCATCTCGGCGTACCACGTCTTCGCGCCCTGGAGACCGGCCTCCAAGTCAAGGAACTCCTGGTACGCTCGTTTGTACTTGTTCATGACTGCGGTCCTCTGCCTCTGGACCGCCTCATACTTGCTTTGCTCTGACCTAACTCGTTTATCCTGCAAGAGAGTGTTAAAACTAGTCGTCAGGTCCTTCATCAGCGCCGACTGCTTGTGATTGGCCTGGAGCAGTCTGTTCTGATAAGGGCGGAACTTCTCCAGCTCCGACTGGAAAAGCTGGTTCTCATAATTCGTAATCGACTTCTTATTAAGGATCAGAATCTCCGAGATATCGTCGTTGTGGACCTGTTGTTGTTAGTGTCTCCGTACACCCCAAATGCTTCGAGTTGCCTACCTTTTCCTTGAGGTCCTTCAACACTTGGTTGCGTTCCCTCTTGATGAGATTCAGCTTTTTCATGATATCCTCCACCTTGTGAATCTGATCAACGACACTAGGGCCCCCTTCCTCGAAATCAACATCCAGCAAGTTCGGTTCGTTGCCCGAAGGGCTCGTAACATTGCTTGACTTCCCGCGCACCTTGCTCACAGCATGTTGGAATAAGGAGTCGATGCTGCCATGGGTGGCAGCAGCCCGCATCTCCTCGAATTCTGTTTCGTTTTGCCTCAGCTTCGCCGCTAGTTGGTTGTCGCTTCGTGCTGCCTCTTCCAACGCCTCTCGGTAATTCCTAATGTCGCTTCGTAACGTCGACGTCAATCTCGAACTCGGTTGCTGCGTCCACTCGTTTTCGTATTTAGAGCGCATCTTCTCGCACACGCTCTCTTCCATATCCAGTTGCTTCGTGTTCTTGTCCAGCGTATTCACAATGATCTCCTTGTCAGAGCGCAACGTTTCAAATATGGCGGTTGGGTCTTCATGGCCAGCAACGTCTTCGCACCAGGTCCTGAACTCATCATCCGGCAGGATCTCTTGGTCAAACCCCCCTTTCAAAACCTGAAGAGCACCAGGAAGCCTCAAGTAGTCCAAGCTCGCTGCCATCTCACTGTTGGCGATATCCACCCGCTCAGTTTCGGCTCTGATCAACTTGGCCTTCTCCTCATCGTAAAGACTTGCTGATTCCGTAACAGCTAGTGGCACGATCTTGGAGAACAGATCCGGCCCCGTAATGCGCTGTATATCTTGACCGGCATATAATTCGCTGACAGGGATTGGCTTTGACGCTGGGAGCTTTGGGACAGGCGGCAAGCTCGCCTCCGCGGGCACATTTTGGTGATAGATGAAATCGTTGTCCTTGCTGAATTCCTTGAGCTTATCCTGCACGGTCGACAAGTGCCGTTTTGTAAAGTCGACCAGGATACCGCCAGTCTCAGCGCCGAGGTTGGAACTGGGTGGCACCGAGCTCGGGAAGTTATTGGCGATACGGTTCGCCTCTTTCCCTTGTGTTTCGGCAACTTGGAGCCTGGCAACAGCGATTCCGTGCTGTCCACCTTCATCGTCCGCAAGCGCCTGGTAGTACTGCGCCATGGAGCTGAGGAGGTTATGTTTCACCTGAAAGTGTTAGCTTAAGCGTAGGCATACGGGTGGAAGCATCCCGCCGGGTGTATGGGGGGGGGGCGGATAGACACTAGTTCTTACCTGAACCATGAGCAGCCAAACCTTCTCGAAAATGGCTCTGTTAAAGTTGTCTTGGACGCCTTCCACCGCTTGCGAGTATAAGGACGCCGCCTGGCTGGAAAGCTTAGCTAACAAGGCCGGCTTCTTATTGTCCGCCACCTGTTTCTCCAAAAACACCTCCTGCGCCTGGGCCAACATAATATGGATGAGTGTCTTGACAGTCTCGCGGCTAAGGTCGGACGAAGGTGCGTGTAGGAAGTTCTCGTTGATGTAAGTGAACATGCCGGCGGAGGCTTGGAAAGAGTGGTACGCGGCCTTTAGGCCCGACTCCTCCGACCTCGTTTGGTGAGCGGCATGACATGACAGGACAGCTGAAATGTTGAATATTATGGAGGCTTTCTCGAACGCAAGCGAGTACTGTGCCGTCGATTTGTGCGTGAAGGCATCGAACCTGCAAGGTCGTGGGTGTCAGTATGCGCAAACAGCTCATTGGGCCGCAAAGGCGGGCAGGAGTGGCAACGACGTACCATGTGAAGGAGATTTTGATGTGTTGCTCGTCGACAGGAAAGCGCAAGTCGAGCAGCTCGAGCTGGCCGTAGTATCTGTAGAGCATATCGCGGCCCGAGGTGCTGTCCTTGCCGGCGCCCCTCACGTCCTGTCGCAGACGGTTGAGGGTGGCGCACTCCTCGGCATAGCGCTCCGGATCATCGCCATATGTGTTCCTGATGTAGTCCTTTAGCGGGGTGACCCAGTCGATTTCGTTTGTGGCCTTGAGCGGCGACGAGATCATGGGCGACTGCGTCATTTTGAAAGACGACGACGAGGTTTCGGCCCGGAGGATGGCGGGGGAGGGGGATTGTCGCGGGCGACAATGAATCGCACTCGGTCGGGTGTTTTGCGAAGACGGGCAGCCTCGTTCAGATATTGGGATGATTGGGTGGCATACGGGGCCTCGTCAGAGGTGGCCTTGGGAAGAAGTGACAGCTGTGAGGTGGACGGATGCAGCTCTCCCGGTCAGGTCGCTCGCTGGGCTGGTGCTTTCTGTGTTGCTGTGGTAGGCGGAGTGCGGGGTGGGGGCGGGAAGCGACGATTTGGATTGAAAGAGGCTTGGAAGCAGTCGGGTGTCAGTGCACTCGAGCTCCGTCGCGAGTACGTACTCTCGTGTCAGCCCAGGTACCTGGCGTGAGAGTGCGTGTCTGCTGTGCAGCCCGGTCAGGGTGACTGATGGAGAAGGATGCGATGGTTGTTCTCGGCGGCGGGCGGCGCTGGGTTGCTGTTCTGCGGCCGGCTTTAGTTTTGGTTGCTGGTTTCTTTCGGCGCGGGTGCAGATGCGCGTAGCACGATGAGGCGGCAGCGGATATGTCTTGTGAGAGACGAAGGATGGTGGGATCTAGCTTCCAAAGCCCAAGTTGCTACTTTTTTTCGGTTGGTTATTGCTGGCGAAGAAGTGTACCGAGTTCGTGTTGCTGTGAGGTCATAGTGTTGGGGGACCCGGCGAGATGAGGGACGGTAATTTACGAAAGATGCCTGAAGAGGAGCTCAAGGGCGGGGCAGCTATCTCTCCGGGATGGCTCGGCGTCGTCAAGCGTCTCAACTTCGTCCCTGCAAGCTTCCGCGGTCCAGCCTCTGGCGGCTGCAGTACCAGAATGGTGTTGGTGATGTATGCTTGGTGGACGAAGCGCCCAAGAGATGGGTTTGTCAAACAGGGCTCGGAGATTGGAGGTGAGAGAGGAGGCTGAGCGACGTCCTTCGTCGTCGTCGTCTTGTGGTACCTTGGATGGTGGTGTTGACGTTGGCGCATAACGTGGGCTGGAAGAGGATACGTTGGGTTGTCGTACGTGCTGCGTACCTAGCCGCCAGGCAGTGATTGTTGCCCAGGCATGTTCCTGGCTATTTGGTAGGGGTCTGGCTTCGGGTGGGTGCTGACCGCCGTCGTATACGGGGAGCTGGATGCTCGCACTTGACTCGGATGTAGTGACAAGTATCAAAGACACGCACGCAATGACTGAGATAGGCTTGCTTGTTCACCCATCTCTGAGGATATTACCAGAAGCCCGCCCAGGCAACCACCAGCCATTCCACACGGCTAATTCAAGGGTCTACAGATACGCGCAATGGCACAACTACAGGCGTACCTGACTGAAACCTCGGGCGACTAACTGGCATTATGCCTTGAGCTTAGGCCTGGCGACGTTTCTTCCTGCGCCTTCCATTGTCTTTTTGGACACTCGGATCGAGTGAAAAAGCTCGAGTACGTCCCAGCTTTTCTTCGATTGGGCAGCTATCCTGAACTTGGGCACCTTGCTGCGGTACATGTCACTTATCGGTGCCAATATCACACAGATCAACCACTGAGCACATCGAGACAGCCAACCCTGTTGGTAACCCGAACTTATACACGTCCGATTTGGAGATGCACCCTTGTCACCTCATTATCACCTCACTTCATACAGCTCACCTCCCGCATCGACATGGCCGGACGGCCTATCCTTCCATCTCCGCTGGATCACAGTGAGACATGCCCGATGCGACGCTCCTCCATCGCCGCATGCCCGCCCCATCACTCCACCCCGTGACAGCCCGTCCTGAGAATGTCGACCCCGTGAGATTCCATGTGGCCCTGGCGCACCTCTCTCCTGGCCTGGCCGCACCGCTCTCTCATCACGGTATCATTGCTGCTTACTGCGTACAACCTGTGCCCCGGCTGCGGTCAGCACAGTATCGCCGGTACCTGTGCCTGAGAACTTTTACAAACCACCCATTTACACTCACCACGAATATTCTCCTTGGTCCCTTCTCGCTTCTCTCATTTCCGCCTTGGATGTCTCGGACTTTGATCACGAACGAAGCAAAGAGACGTAGCTCTTTCCTGATCCTCTCACAAGCACTTACATCCGCGATCGCACTGACGCCTCCAGCACTTCTTCGACAGCCCATGTCTTGTGCAACGATATTGGTCCTCCGCCCTCCCCGCCCACACTGCAGGTGACGGGCCACCAGGAGAGCTACCCCTCATTACGGCCGCTTATTGGCCGTCGCTGGCCGGCGCTTCGTGGTCCCACATGAGCCGGGCAACCTCCCTCAACAGGCCCGAACGGCCCGCTCCTTGCAGGGTTGCCGTCTCTGTCCCTGGAGTCTCTGTGGCATTTTCTGTTTTCACAGTAGCCGCCCGCCTTGCTGCTTGACTGCTTACAGTAAAGATCTCGTAGCCAAAGGCATACGAGAAGCGCCGATTGACCCACAGTCGGGCAAGAGGCATGTTTCCCATAACCATGGAACTCGTCCAAGACAACCTGATCTTCAAAGAAGACCGTTTATGCGGCCCGACCGCTAATCGTTATGCGCATCATCTTGCTCCATTGCGTACGGCAAATATATCAACGTATCGCCAACCAACGGTGACTCAAGTCACCTAAACCTCTGGGAAACACATCACAACTAACCGCCCAAGTTCACTCACCCCGCACAGGTAAGAAACTGCCCGCTTTAGAGTCCAATCCATCAGGTACTGTCTTCATGTTATTGATTGGGTGTATGGTCTTCTTGTACAAAGTATGAGGTGAGTGGCCTCCGCGAGAGCTGGCTTGTCCGTCCTCCTCTTCTCCCCTCTCTCCCACCGATGTCTATACTACACTATACACTCTCTGTAAAATAATACAACAAGCGAGTAATAGCCGTCTCAAACCAGGAAGGGACTGTCCCGCTGGACGAACCCCTTCCGTCCCGCCTTTGTCTGCCTACAGCAGAAGGGAATTACTACTTGGATTATGAGGGGCAAAACAACAAGATAGAACAAGAAATATCAACCGTTTTTAACACCTGCCATGCAAGCCCTACTTCCTTCCTTTCCGTCTATAATCACTTTGGCGTACAAAGAGCCGTTCTACACGCCCAGCCGCATGGGAGGCCGAAGATATTGGTACAAAGCGACAAGAAACACTCCTTGCCTTGGGCCGACTCTAAGCCGAGCCGGAGCCGGAGTCCTTCTTCTCGTCCTTCTTCTCATCCTTTTTCTCGTCCGTCTTCTTGTCCGTCGCCGACTTGTCCGCGTCTGTCTCCGAGGACTTCTGGTGGGCTGGGTGGTTCGTCAGGGTGTGCCACATGGACTTGAGGAAGCCCTCGTTCTTGTGGGATTCGGAGTCGTCCGGCGAGACCGGCTGGGTTCTACTTGAAAGAATTAGCGCGGGGAGGGTTTACGGAGCGACGGGGCGATGCCACCGGGGGCCGCTGCTGTCTTACCCCTGTGGAGTGACGTTCATGATCCGCCGAGCCGTCTTGTCTCCCATCTCGTTCGCCAGCATCTCCACCAGGGTGCGCTGGTTCGCGCTCAGATACTTGGGCATGTTGACCTTGAACTCGACCTTCAGGTCGCCGGACCCGCCCCTCCTGCCGTTAAGCTTCTTCATGCCCATGCCCGAGAGCGTCAGCTTGTCTCCCGTGTTCGTGCCGGTGGCCACCTTGACATTCACCTGCCCGTCGAGCGTGGGCACCGTGACCTCTCCTCCAAGCATGGCTGTCGTGATGGGTATGCTCGCCGTGTATAGAATGTCGGAGCCCGCCCGACGGAACTTGGGGTCGGACGCCACACGGACGAAGACGTAGAGGTCGCCCTTCTGCGTCCGCACGTTGGCCTCGGCGTTCTTGCCCGTGACGGGGGCGTCGCCCGCGCCATCAACCCGCAGCCTCATGCCGTCCTCGATACCGGCCGGGATGTCGACGGTGATGGTCTTGCGTTCCCTCACAACACCGTTGCCTGCGCAGGACCTGCACTCCGAACCTCGGGGGATGGTCGTGCCCGTTCCGCCGCAGGCTCCACACGTTGACGCCATCTGGAAGCCGCCGTTCATGAAGTGCACCCGCGTTCCGGTTCCGTTGCAGGACTTGCACTCCGACCTTTTGGTGCCCTGCTTCAAGCCGCTGCCTGCACATGTCCCACACTCGGTCAGGGGCGTCACAGTAATGGTCTTGCTCGTTCCCTTGGCCGCTTCCATGAAGGATATGCTCGACTGAACCTCAATGTTGTCGCCAACGAGGATTTCCTGCTGGAACGGGTTCCGGCCGCTGGCGCGGCGTCCGAATGGCGAGCCCTGACCGCCCGTGAATGCCGAGAAGATGTCGTCGAAGTTGAAGCCGCCGCCGAAGCCTCCCTGGCCACCGAACCCGCCGCCGAATGGGTTTCCTGCTCCTCCGAAGGGATCGCCGCCGGGTGCACCACTGGGATCGAAACCAGCCGCGCCGTACTGATCGAATTGCTGCTTCTTCTTCGGGTCGGACAGAATTTCGTATGCGCTCTGGATCTCTCCAAACTTCTCCTTCGCGCCGGCATCTTTGTTCGTATCGGGATGGTATTTCTTCGCCAAGCCGTAGTACGCCTTCTTGATGTCACCCGCAGACGCAGACTTGTCGACGCCAAGGGTCTTGTAAGGGTCGCTCGGGGCGAGGTTTCTGGACGTTGCATGGAAAGCCTGTCACAGGAGCTAATCAGCAAGCTGTACAGACACTTTGGCACAGAGCGTTACTCACATGCTTGGTCGAAGGAGCTTGGCATGTCACTCGTGCAGCTGAGGAGTTCGTGGGTCTGACGGTATAAGTGACGGTATGAATCTGGGCGCGCTTGCAGACAGAGTCCTTGAGCTTGGGTTGCCGGGAGATACGGCTGGAGAGCAGACGGCCCGGGGCCGCTACCTTGGTAAGAATGCTTGCATTCATTGTGAAGCTTGACGATGCATCTGAAGCAATTGTTTCGCAAAGTTTAGGGGTTAAATCGAATGGGGCCGCGAAAAAGCATTGGCGCGCAAGTGGAACTCTCCCGCAAATTCTTTGCCCTTCGATGCCATTGACAGACGGGATGATATCAACTTTTTTTTGGCCCGATGCTAAGCCGAACTCCAATGACTGCCTCAGGCACTCACGGCATGACAGTGCGGGCGGATGCAGGGGTATTAGGGAGGGAGTTGGGGGAACTTGCAGCGACTGCTGCAGGCTTCACGTCAGCAATTGCGATGACTTTAAGTGGCTTGCGAAGCTGGCCCCACAGTCTGAGCTGCGGGTGGAAATTCGCGGCAATGCGCGCGTTGTGTGCACTCCAAATCGGAGAACAGGTACACATTGCGCCGGGGCTCGGAGGAGCAACCAAGAAACCGAAGCCACAGCAGGCGCCCGGTGCCAACAACAATGCCATGGGCCAAGTCCACATCTCCAGATCCAAAAACTCCAAATATCATTACTGTGTAGGTAGTAGATCATAGCTATGTAAAACTGCGAGAAAGGGCCTTGCCTTCGTCGTCTTTCGTCATGGGGTTCCCGCCCATGGTGAGGTATCATTATGCAGTCCAAATCGCCCAAACAGCCGGTCAGGCTATGCTCCAGCGACAAAATCGTATATCAGTCGGATCCCGTCGATGCGTTCAGTTCTCAATGCCGTCCTTTGCCCGTCGTACAAGGTTGTCATGCGTCGTGAGGTGTTGGCGTAGACCTTTTGTGGCGGTCGCTTTTCGTAATAGCATGGCTTCTGACTTTGTGGATAAAGTCGACGATGACATCGTTCTCTTGGATCCCGACCCCGTTGAAGTGCTTCCGCACAGACATTGCCAACTGTTCTTTGCTCTGCCTTCTGTTCTCCTTCTTGCGAGCCATCGTCGGGGAGTGTAGGCCAATGCCACCGGGTCGTGAGAGGACCAGTTGACGGTACGAGCAAGAAAACGAGGTGGGGGTGTTGAGATGGTGCTCGCGTCGGTATGCGTGTAGGGTGTCTCGGTCAAACGTGTTCCATTGTATCTGCCAGAAGAGTAGGTTAGCAGGCTGTGCTTTGCTGAAGGAACTCGGGGCGACGGTGCGTCACGAAGGCGGAGGCTTACCCCGGGGTTCTGAGCCGTCTCCTTTGCGGCGACTGGAGCGTCCGCAGCAGCGTTGGCGTTTGTCACTTCCCGCAATTGAGAGCCTGTCGAGCTGGCCACACGGCGCAGCTTTCCGTTCGAGTGATGGCCGCCAGAGCCAGACGTGTGCTTTTCTTTGGTGTTTGTGCTTTCGGACTTGGTGTCGTCCTGGGCGGTCTTGGAGGACTTGGGCGCCATGACGAAGGAGGGAACCTGGTTGAGGATTCGCCGAGGCCGTCGTGATTGGATTCGGTCTAGGTCGTAGAATCGAGGGGAAAGACGTGCCCAGGTGTCACATTGTAATCGGTACTGAGATCTGGGAGGAAATGGTGTGAGAGGGAGGAGACGAGTGCTGGGGGGGCAGACAGAGAAGGGGGTTTTTTTCTCACGTCATGGCTCCTAGCAGCGGCGCCTCTGTTGGTTGCTGCACCGTTGGCGGTTGCCCAGGGCCCTGCCTGGCTTCGACGAGTGAGCTGCGGGGCGTGCTGGCGGCATTCGGGGTCTGATGTGTGTGCCTGTGCCTGGGACCCGTTGCCTTCCAGGTCTCTTTGAAAATGGTGCGACAGGCAGTACGTATCGAACCTCACCAAAGGAATTGCCGACCGGCAAAGTGCTTATCTAAGTCACCTCGGAGCACCACTTGCATCGTTTGTTTTTCAGCTCCGGCTTGTGTTGGACAGCACGATCCACTAAGATAATGCCTACCTGCCCAATCTCTTTGCAACTTCGGCCCCTCCCCCATCTCTTCCCGCGGCACGTTTTGCAAAACCATCGTCTCTTCGCTTCGTGCTCTCCATTGCTACAGCAATGTCCCACCATGTCCAGGACGAGCCCGAAATATGCAGTAATAAAGAGAAGTATTCTCTCACGGGTTAAGCTCAGGCGTACCGAATCCTGACCCCACCACGAACCCCGCCCCTGGCGATTGACGATAGCATACGGATACGCAATGCAATCACGGAGAGACCGCACGCCAGCGATTTAACATTACGTATTCCTATTCAACGTCCCTGAACAGTAGCAGGCGAGACACCGGGAATAGCTTCGAAGGCAAAGACTAGGAGTTTAAAGCTTCCAACGGAATATTCTGACGACATCATCCCAACATCAAAGTCCGAACCATGAAACACAGTTAGCTTCCCGTAGCAGCGAGGATGGAAACAAAGAAGCCCGAGCCTCGCCGTTGCTCAAATCAATCACAAGAGAACAAAGACAACGAAGATCCCGTCCAATATCGCTATCCGGTTCTAGCGGAAATAATGTCTAGATTACACCATCTGGATCGAGCTCCAGCCAATGCGCGTCCTCCCCGTGCGGCACAAGAGCACTTGATCACATCGAGTGGGTGGGCTTCCGTGAACGAACTATCAGCAAAACGCCAAGGCCCAGCAACAGCTAAGATCACCACAGCGGCAGATCAGAGGGACACCGGTCAGGTCGAACACTAGGTCGTCAGCAATGCCTCGAGGCAGAGCCCGCTCAGAGTCTTTCCATTAACCTTAACCTCGTCACTAAATCCCCGCATCAAGGGAGGGCTGGGTCTCGAGGTCGCATACGACTACATTGACCGATTCCGCATTAGGCTACCGAGAAGTGTAGGACCGCTGTCGTTGCAAAGCACCCGGGACGGACCAGGGTCTCAGGTGAACAGAGTCGATATTGCCTCCGATCCAACTTTGATCGGCAGAACGTAGCTGGAAAAAATGATTCTCAACTTGCTTCTCCTACGCCGGAGGCGCAGCGACCCAGTAGCTTGGGTTGTCATCTCGCACGTAATTGATTTCGCACACATTCCGAGGGTCATCCCACGTCCGGACGCGGGTGGACCATGAGACCCCCAAACTTTCTTTCAACGCCTGCCTTTGGGGGACAATTTTTGCTCTACTTCATTTCTATGCACGATAAAAGCAGCGGTCTCTGGTTTCCCATCCCCCCCATGGTTTCTTCCCCTCTACACCGACACCAAGGGGACACAAGAGGGAACTGCTCGATGACTTTCGAAGTCGCCGAGTCATCGGTCGACACCCTCCCCAACTCGAGGTCCACCGGAAGGAGGGCTGAGACCAAAAATGATAGGCGGTGGTTTGGCACCTTGCTTTTTCTCAACCACAGGATCATGACCAACTAACTTATGGTGTTAGTCAGGCGTCTGCCGCTATAGGAACCCGCGAGGGCCAGGCGCGGCAGTCCTGCATCCTCTTGAACAATACCTCTCAAACCTCGATGCCGCTGTTGGCGCTTGGAAGGGCTTGCTGACTTTACAGTATATTTTCTCCTTCGCACGCTGTTCGTTGACGATGTTCGGGGACATCACTGGCAGTGACAGTCACCTTGGAAGCGTCCCAAGGATAGATGGTAGATGAGAAGCAGAAAGTTGATAGTTTCTGCATGGCGACTGGTCGGCGGTCGCGGCCTGGAACTATGGCTTGTTCTTTTTGTCCCGCTGGCGGCCCAAGGGAGGGCCTCACTCCAACCCTCGAGAACTGGCTGTACACTAAAAAGACCCATGTCCTTGAGAGCAGCTCACAGTGAGTGGGGATGGCAGTCTGTGGGTTGGTCACAAAATACTGACTGGCGATCAGCTAAAAAGAATCCTTGTCACATTCCCCACCAGGCTGATCGAAAATGAGATCCATCCCCAGCCCTTGGCTGGACAGACATCCGAGTGAGGCACGAGGGCTCTTGATTACCCTAGCCGAGCGACTGAACCATCAGTCGGTTGGCACGCGGAGGTTCAACGCAAATATCTACGCATGCTGTGCAGCGCACCAAACTCCGAGGCAGGGCGTACTTCACGGGTCCGCGACAACACTCACATCAAAGCTACAGTGGCCACCTGGCTTCCGACTATGAATACGAAAGGTTGCCTTTCATAGCGACCCAGCCTGCGTACGACCAATCTCAGCAAGTCGTTTCGCACAATTTCCCCCCCGTTGCAAACCACGCCTAGCGCTTCCTGCGCACTCTGTCTGCCAATGGTTGGGGCTACATTGAGACGCGCTGTCGAGGGGATTCTGACTTTATGACTCACTTAACACACCCTCATGGGGTGGGATAATGTACACTCCACCCTACGCGGGGTATGATCGCCAATAAGGTCTTCCGGGAAGAGGAAGAAGACGAAGCACGAGGCACGAAGCACGAAGCACTTTAGGCTTGTGAGAGGTGTTTAGGAGTGTCCTCTTCCGTTCTGAAGCAGCAAAATGGGGGGAGGGGGATTGGATACCAAACAAAAGTCGAATGCCGGCATTCCTGATCGAAACCGCACCCATGCCTCATTGGGAAACGATTACGAGATGAGAAGGGGAGATTAATAGTGCGCCGAGACACATTTGATGAGCAACACTGCGGAAATGCTCTGATAAACGTCCACTCACCCCATCTCGATACAGCTGGTGTCAAGGAGAGAGATTCACCCACGCTAGACCCGAGAATGCGGTATTTGTTCCTGATACGCCTTGCGCACCTCAGCCTCAAGGCGTGGGGTGTCGACACAAGACCAGCAACGGCATGGACTGAGTTACTGAATTAGTGTGCCACTTGATGTCACTACCTACATGATTGTCTTCCAACTCTGCAAGCAAGTACTCTAAGCTTCGCCTAACGGTTGAATCGCGATGACCGGACCAGTCGGCAGGCTCGGTGCGAGGGAAAACGTAAATGATTATGACACGGAGAACTGAACCCACGAAGATCGGCAAGTAAAGCCGAGGAAGTCCGCTTTGAAGGTGATTATGAGCCCTCAAGCGCCACGGCGCTGCGCTGCCCGAGCCTCGCACTTCACACGCGTCTCTTCTCCTCTCATTCTTGGGCTTCCGCGCTGAGGAGTCTTTTTTTATTTCCTCACGTCTCATCTCTCGCGGACGCCGCCATCCATGGCTATTCATTCGCGCCAGACGATTGACAGACCAATCATCTCGGAGAGGCAAGGCGCCTCGAAGCAAATTACGTGGTCGAGCAAACTAGCAGAAGCGATCTCGGTCGAAATAAGCAGCACCGTCTGTGGGCAAACCAATGCCCAGGCTGGCCAAAAGACTCGAGAAAAAACGCCCCTGGGAAACTCTACCTTGGGTAGGTAGTGTAGGTGACACCGGCGGCCGTTCCACGCACCCATGCCCACAGGTTGGGGAAGGCGCCCCAGAAGGACGAAGCCCAAGCTCCAGACCGTGCCCACCATCCCCACATTTTCGTCTTCTTCAAGTGAGCTTCACACACCGGCCATCCCTGCAAAGGGCTACCTGGCCACGCCAGTCACGGTCCGCATGGGCATGCTTGTCATAGGGCGAGGGATGAGAGCTCGGGGGGGGGGGTCTTGGGGGTCTTGAGGGGGACGACCCTCTAGCCCCGGGAGACCCGTGGACTGATGGTCCCTGGTCTGTATCCTGTCGTCTGTGTTGCTGTTGCCAGCCATGCATAGCTGATTGGGCTCCTGCCGCACACTGTCCCGAGAGTTCTTGTTGTTTTCTGGCAGCCGTCGTACGACGACAAAAAAGGCCATTCGACGTGCAATCATCAGAGCAGGCTCTGCAAGACCCGCATTGCAACTTCGCTTCTCGAGGCTATGTGGATCTATCACGAGAAAAGAATTGCCAGTCTTGGACATGCCGTCACTGGCCACTGCGACTTGCCGGCCAACATCCGTCCAGCGTTAGACAAGGCGGCCGATGTGACGGAGAGTGGGCTTCTTCCCGTACTTCGCAAGCTGGTCCTTCCCAGTCAGATATGGGTGCCGACTCCTTACGAGGTACAGGCCTGATGCTGACCAGCTCCGGCTAGGATCAGTAAGTCTGCACAAGTCGTATGGGCCTGGCAAACCACCGAGAAGTGACACCGCGGTGAGTCTTCTGCTCCCAATGCAATTTTCGTAGAGGACGAGGAAAATAAACCGCTGGCGGCGCTGCCTCGGACGGACATTCCACTTTCCTCCATGCTAGCAAATGACGAGGTGCAGGGAGACACATGCAGAGCTGGTCACTTGTCAACTTTTTGTCGGGTTCTCGCGAACGGTACCGAACACTAGCTAGGTGTCCGACTGCTTACATAGTAGTGTACACTGTCTGTCAATATTTCGATATTGGTTGGCCTGCATCCAAGGCGACAGCACCACCATTCCGCTAGGGCCACAGACAGGGACAGGGAGATTACGACTTCACCAGAGACGGGCTGCCCAAGATCGATCAGATGAGAATATAACTCAAGTGGCAGATTTGCCGTCGGTTGTCTATGCCCGCACAGGCATCACAGCCAACTCAACGGAGAGCATGTCAGTCAACTGACAGTCTTGTTGCACAGCTCAACCCAGTAACGCCGTCTCGGCGTGCCTCACGGTGTAAGCTTGTTTTCTCTCTCATTCTCCCCCCTCCTTGCCTGCCTTTCGGCGCGCCTCCTGCTTGAGGCAGCATGGTCATTTACGCAGAGGTGCCTGGCCGAGTCGCCCCCGCCTCCCCGAGTGCACCCCTAGAGGATGTTGCCAAGGGGGAGGCCGCGAAGGGAAGCGGCCCTAACAGGATCCAAACCGCCTCTCTTGTTCAAGGCACTAAGGCACCCCCCATGGTGTGGCCCACCACACCTTTCTGCCAGGCTACGGCCTCTCCATCGCGCCTATGGGAGCTTAGCTGCTTGGTCGACTGCAGGTCAAGACAGGGCACTCGCACCGCACGGCATCGCATCACGCCCCGGGCCTCACACCTAGACCCTGGGTTCACATCGGCCAGCTCGCCTGAGGCTGGAGGTGGGAGGAGGAGCGAGCGAGACAGACGCGGAGGGAGGGAAGGAGGGGGGAGTGGGAGTGGGAGTGGGAGGTGGCATAAGACTCGAAGACCCCCCACACTCGTACTCCGGGCTCTCTTCCTCAGTCCAGACGCTCAAATGCTCTTCCAACCCACTTCCCCAAGACTTTGTGCCACTGACGGCGTCACGACGACACTGCCCTTTCCGCGCACAGCTCGACTACGATAGGTAGGCAGCTACGACAACCAAATACCGCCCTCTGCGCTCCCAGCTTCGAGAAGCACCAAGGGATTCCATCTTGCGTTTGTTTGCGTGGTCCGACTTTGCTCACGCTCTGCTACAACGCTACCACCTGTCCCATCTTTCCTTTGCACTGTCTCGTCCGGGCTGCCCTTGCATCGATCGACTTGGCAAGGTGATTCTTCAGGTGAGGCAACCCCCATTTCTCCCGTATGTCGCAATTTTCTTCCGTCTCTCTCCCCCCTTCATGTACCGTCTCCCCATCTTCTCGCATTTCCCAAACCTCCAACCAACCCCTGGCGGAAAAGCTTTGGGTCTGGTCAAACATGCCGCGGCGGATCGCATACGGGCCGCCATGAAAATCCGTCTTGTCGAATCCCATCAACCAGGGCGTTGCATCAAGGCCAGGTTTCACGGGGGAGGGAAGGACACAACAGCATGGCATGCGACCAAGGTCGAACTACTCCCGACACCTCAGCGGCGCACCCCGACGCGCGCTCCGTCACTGGTCTCAGCTCGAGGTACCTACCTTAACCTCTGGTTAGCTGGGGGTGCCACTGGCGGCGGACATCAACGGTTCGCTTCGGTTCGCTTCGCCCCAAGGGATCACGCCGTCTGAGCCCAGGTACCGTGGAGCTTGGAGTACCTGACGTGCACGACCAACCCCCCCTCCAACACACATGGTGCGACCCCCAACAGGCGTACCCGGTACATCACCATCTCATGTGGTCTACCCCGATACTTTTGCCAATGATTTTTCCTGTCTTGCTTTTCAGAGGCTGGGCTGCCCCGGACGCCTGTGTGAAGCGTGTGCGACTAGAACGGCAGCGGCGCCTCCCCCAGGAAAGAAGGGAAAAGAAGATGATGCTCTTCTTGTCCTTTTACGTCCTCTCATTGCCTTCTTTTCCATCATCGCCCATGGCATCTGCCTCCTCATCCGCTTTTGCGCTTCTCCTACCTGTCTCTCTTGCTCGCTATCGGACTTAACCGCAAAAAACACGATCGCGCAAAGTTGTAGCGAGAGAACCCCAGACCGTCCACGCACACAGGGTTCTTTGCCTTGCCAGACACGGAGAGACGGAGATAGCTCTGGGCTTGCTTGGAAGTCCCTTGCCCCAGCTCTCTGCTCGACGGCAGCAGGCCTAGCCTTTTTGTCGTTACACCCCCGGACGGCACGCTTTGGTCCACGGCCCATGGTCCCTTGGTCCACTCCCATCCGCATCCTCCAACCTTGCCGTCTCTTATTTTTGACACCCACCCCCTCCACGTCCCCTCCTTTCGCGCTCTGTCATGCAGCCTGCGCTCGTCCATTTTACCGCAACAGGCGGCAGGCCCATCATTAATACCACGATCTCCACCAACATCCACTGGCTAACCCACCCCCGACAGCTTACCGGCTTACCTTGCCTGACCTCGCCTCAAGGGTGCCTATACCTCAACTGAGGGAATCTCACTCTCCTCAAAAAGACTTCGCTCTCGGCCGCCAACTCGACGTCCTCCTCTCGCATTCTACTCTACCACCTCGCCACGCCGCTGCCGCCGTTGACTCTGCTGGCGGGAGATACTCCCCTCTCAGTCATGTTTTGAAAACCCTCTCCAATTGGCTTTGGAGAGGCCGAACGCAAGAACAACGAGTGCGATTTTGCGCAACCAGTTTGTAGATTACGGAACCTGACGCACACAAGTCCAGTGGACTGATCACCCTGTCGGTTGGTATACCGCCAACGCTTCGCCACCAGTTCCAGGCCGAATATTACTGCTTTTTTCGACTACCTCGTCAAGACATATCGACAAATCCCCGAACCTTTCACCAGAGAGGCACGTCGCGCGTGAGACAGCCCAGGGTCTTCGCAGCAGTTGTCCGTCCCATCGCGACAGGACCCACGCCGCGTGCTATCTTGGTGTTGCCGACAACTAGCTTAGGAAGCTGTTACACTTGGAACCATGACTTCCGTTCTACCCGCGCATTCCACCAATTTCAAAGCCTCAATTTCCCTGTCTCCCACCAGTCCTGCGACCATGGCGCCAAAACACGAACCACGAGCGAGTCCGCAACATTTCATTAAGCAGGAACACGAGGCGGGGAGAGGCAGACTGCGGGAAGTTTCTGAAGACAAGGATGTCGACATCATGGATGATGGGGCCGACGGGGACGAAGGCAAAGCTGGCTCGTCTAATTCGGATGGCGGCCCCGCAAGGAAAAGACGGAGGAGTCGCAAAGGCCTGGACAAGAAGTTCGAATGCCCCCAAGAGGGCTGTGGGAAAAGCTACTCCAGAGCCGAGCATCTGTATGTCTGACTGCAAACTTGGTGACTTCCCCCCCCCGACTGACAAATCCCTAGGTACCGTCACCAGCTGAACCATACACCCAAGCAGATATACGCTTGTGACTTTCCCGACTGCAGCCGCACTTTTGTTCGCCTGGACTTGTGTAACCGCCATAGAGACCGCCACACAGCCAAGGGGTCTGCTTTGAATCGCAAAGACTCAATGATGAGCCACCTGTCTCCTACTACAGATCGACCCCCTTTTCCTCTCCCGGGATCAGCCTCGCCAGAGATGAGTCGGCCGGGCACTGGTTTTGCCAACGTACGGCAGGCTCAGATGCAGTATCAGTCTCCCAAAGACGCATCCGGTAGTCCGTTTGCCCAAGCAACAAACACTCCCCCCGGATACCCCATGGGCGCGCACCCTAACGGCATGGATGGCTTCATGCATCACGATAATGGCTATGGGGGCGTTCAGCCGCACCGTCCCTCGCAACAGTCGCCAAACGGTCCGAGGCCGACGGTGCCAACGAACGGGGCCTACATGTCGCCGATCCCAAATCAACATGGCTACCACAGTCAACCGCACAGCACCCCTCAGTCTGCTACGTACACCACTCAGCAAAACTTCCCGCCCTTCAATCTACCGCCCTCCGAGTTCTCTAACGGTGCGGGTAATGTACCCCGCGATGGCCAGACGTACGTACCGACCACCTCTGCAGAATACACTGAGCAGGGCCATCCCCAGCAATCGGGCGAGATGATGTTGCTCGACCAGATGTCCATGCCCGGGACGATCCCGGTTTTTGGAAGCGATAGCATACTGAGCAAATCGCCCTATGTCACGATCCCGGAAGACTTTGTCGCCTACCTGTTTAACACGCAACAAGGGGAAGGCTCGCCAATGGGCCATATGGTAGCCCCAGGGTACGTAAACAAGTGAGTGTGTGCTTTCGTCGAGACACGAGCTTGGCTAACCATCCTCAGCTACGGAGAGGTTCAAAACTCCTACAGTGTCCCATATGTAGGGACAGAAGGCGTGCCCATGGGCTATTTTCCCTCGGGGCCCCAGCAGGTCATGGCCGTCAACAACTTGCTCGATCAAAATCTCCCAGAGGCCACCATCTCCGAGGAGAAGAGTCAAGAGATCTACGAGTTCATCAACCAGAGGTTCCACGAGAACGACCAAGCTCCAGCGTTACGACAGCGTGACAGTATCCTGGAGGGTGATCGTAGCGATGCCGACCATATGCTCAGCAAACGAATGATGCAGGCATACATCGGATCGTACTGGGTCCATTTCAGCGACCAGATCCCCATTCTTCACAAACCGACCTTCTCTCCCGACAGAACACCGAATTTACTGCTCCTTGCAATGATGACGATCGGTGCAGCCTGTCTTGACAAGACACACGGGCAGAAAGTCACAAAGGCTGGGGCGCAGTTGTCCAACTTCTTGGCCTGGCATCTTCGATGGGAGATATTCATGGACCCGAACTTCCGGCCGCCTGCCAAGTTGTGGGTGTTTCAGACACTTCTCCTTCTCGAGCTCTATGAAAAGATGTACTCGACTAGAGAGCTACACGAAAGGGCCCATATCCACCATGCGACGACCATTACTCTGATGCGCCGTGGACGATCGCTCATCGGCAAGTCGGCCCTTGATTCGCCACCCAACCCTCGAGATGACAAGACAAACGGCTCTCGCCACTCCTCGACGTCCGGTGTGGCTCACACTGCAGATGAATGGTGGAACCACTGGATCACCAACGAGTCGACGAGACGGGCTGCGTTTGCGGCTTTCGTCATCGACTCAATCCACGCTACAATGTTTGGACATTCTACAGTAATGGTCACTCATGAAATGAGACTGCCACTGCCCTGTGACGAAGCTTTATGGAAGGCCACGAGTGGTGCAGAGGTCGGCAGGATTGAGTCCAACCTCCTCTCCAATGGCGTTAAACCCATTTCTTTTCTGGAAGGCTTGAAACGGACACTGAGCGGGCAAGGAGTGCAAACCAACCCCTTCGGTCGCATGGTACTCATGGCCGGTCTCCTCAGCGTCAGCTGGCACATGAACCAAAGGGACCTTCAAGTCAACGTACTTGGTGGTGGCGTGTCTCAGGCGCTGGGGGGCCGAGACAAGTGGCGGGGAACCCTGACGAGAGCCTTTGACGCTTGGAAGGAAGATTTCGACAAATCGCTGACAAGGACGGAAGGCTCTTCTGACCCTTACCGGTACGACTCTGCGAAGAAAAACGATGCCAACGTTGTCTTCGAAAGCCGGACGGTGCTGCATCACCTTGCTCACATGGCGATGCACGTTGACATTGTCGACTGCCAGATCTTTGCCAGGGCAAAAAGGCTTCTGGGAAGAGCCATTGGACAACAGGACCTGAACAGCGCACAGAGACGGATGAGAGATCTCTGGGCGCCATCGGCCAAGGCCCGGGACGCTACGTTTTATGCACTCAAGTTCCTGAGCTCCGTGCTCATGCCCGATGGGGGGCACTCGCCGCCGTCCAACGGTTACAAGTACGATGAGCCTTACACGGCGCGAGACGACGTGCTTCTCAACAGACCATGGGTTCTGTACTTTGCGGCCCTCGTCGTTTGGTGCTACGGATTCGCTCTTGAGGGCCCATGTCCTGGGATTCCGGTGCCGGGGACAAAGCATGAACAGGTGCAACAGATGCGAGACTATCTGATGAAATACGGCGGTGCCACCTCGCCCGATGATCTCAAAATGATGAAGGGGGTCAACACGAACACCGCGCTACTGCTGGTTCTGAAAGACTCGTTCGGAACCACACGCTGGGAACTACTTCACGAAGGTGCCAACCTTCTCAACAACTGTCTTCAGCTGAATACCGGAGCCATCACGATGTGAATGGCATCAACGCCGCATTGATGATCTGTCGGGTCTTTGCTCTAGAGGTATGGGTAGAAACGTCTGCCTTTGGTGGGAGGTTATGATGGCGCTTTTTACGATGGGAGGGTTCGACTTTGGAATATACCATTTCTTGCTATCGTATTTATGGGAGGAGAGCAGGGCGTCAGGACGATAATTTGGCATGGGAGGGACGGGGGCCGAGGCGGCCGAAGCAGTTCTGCATTTTCCTATATGCTGTATCGCCGTTGTTGTTGTTGTTGTTGTTGTTGTTGTATCTATACCCCCGTGATGCGCTCCTCGCGGAAGCGTTGCGTTTTGTCTGTGACATAGTAGTAGCATTGGTGCTGAGACGAAGAACACTAGGTCTCTGAGAGTATATTACGATGACATGTTTTATTTGATCACATATCACTTGCTCGTCCTCATGGTTGTCAACTCGCTGCTGACGCGGTTGGGCTGGCCCTTTCTTGTAAGACGGCCCGTCGGCCACTGAGATAACAAACCTGGCTTTGGAACGGAAATTGGGGTGTGGAATTCGGAGGGACGAGAAATCCCACCTATCCGGGCCCAAGTTAAACGACATCGGAGGGAGAGAGCTTTGGGATGGAGGGGTTACTTTAGAAGTTGATTATGATACACACCCACAGATTTCACGGTCGATCCTTTTGAATCCTTGGCTAATTAAGTGCTTCATTTTAGGCTCTTTTCCTCTGATACCTGTACCTTGAAGCGCATGATAGACGGGAGTGTGCGTGTATGAAGGTTATCATTGGGGGTGGTAGGTGCCCTACCCAGCCGCTCTCCGAATCCGACGCAAGCTCCTCATTAAAAATTGGGCCGTAGCCACGTGGCTCGGCTCATTGGAGATGGTCCTGTTCTTCGGGATCAAAGTATAAACGGTGGAAGCTTCTGTGTTAGCATCCAGAGGGGCGGCGAGCAAGATTGGCGGGGGACGGTTTTTGGAGGTGGTCCTTCAGCTGGAACAACCGGGAATTAAAATTGGGGCTGATCAGAGCGCCCCAACCCGGGGGTGCTCCTCCCGCCGCTTGGCAACCAAAGATTTTCGGATTCAAAGTAACCGCCCCAAATGCTATCTCGGATCGAACCAATTTCTGGCATGGTCGCCTTCCCCGAGGTTTGAGCTGACCGTGCATGGTTGTGGGGTTCGGACACCGACTCCACGGTTCTCCGTGCCCGCCGCAGCCGGATCCGAGTGGGTCTGTCACCCACTCCCGACACGGTGGGGCATGCTTGACTAACAGAACTACTTTGCCTACGTCATGATGAGTCGGGAAGCCAGTCTAGACTAGTGTAAAGGTATTCTGAGAGAATTCCCGAATGGCCGGTTGTAGAGTACAGTAGGATCGGGATCACAAAGGTGCTGCTTGAGGAAGCATTGAAGTCTGAGGTTTCGCAGCCACCGTAAGAAGGGAGAGCATAACTCAGCGGGCGAACCGTGGTGATGAGAACTTGCCTCATTCAGCCGTCCGTCCCCACCGCGCTGATACGTATGTCGGAGCTTACCTCAGCTCTCCAGCGTTACCTCTGCGGGTTCACCACGATCACGGATCGTAGCGGTGTCCACACCACGACACCACTCGCTCCCTAGGTAATCTACCCCCGCACATGTACCTAGGGTGCGTGGACCAACCAAATGGGCGACGTAAGTTTAAGCTTCCGTTCCGATGGTCATCCAGCCTTCCCACGTCTCACCAACAACCTCCAAACCCGCAACCAACTCTGAGGAACGTCCCGCTCGTCGACCCAGATCCTCGTCAAATCCTGATTGTGTTATCCTAAACCCCCGCGCCACTCTGAGCGACGCAGCTATCGCCGTCCGCCGAAGGGCAAAGAGACATGGCAACGGGTACCTCCGACGGGGCGTCGTGCGGGATGCTGCACCTCAACCTGCTGCCGGCGGAGATCCTGCATCACATCTTCTCGGGCCTCGACCCCCGCGACCTAGGACGTCTCCCCCGCACGTGTCGGTTCCTGCACGACTTTGTGAAGGGGAACCAGAAACTTTGTAAAGATGTGTACTTGAACAACCTCGTATGAGACGCCGCCCGCTTGACATTTTGCAACATTGACGTCGGTCTTTCTAATCGCGATAACAGGATACGCCTGCGCAGAGTGGTTTAGATTTGGACTGGGAGAGGGAAGTGCATGATTTTGTCAGACTCGGCATACTTTGCGCCGATAAGAAGGTGCACGAGCAGGTGAGATAGTGTGAAGACTCATCGAATCCGGCCCAGAGGACTCACCCACACATCATGTGCTAGGCTCATGAACTGCCCTTTGTATACGACACCGTCGACAGGCTTCTCAAGCATGCATCGCCGACGGGTGAGACGCAGAACGACGCCGGCACCCATGCGGTGTCCCGCAACGCCGCCGCCCTCGCCCGCATGTTCCGCGAGGAGCCCGCGCGCTTGGCCTTCATGAGCCGCTCCTTCATCTATGAGCGTGCTCGCGACGAGGTGAAGCCGCTCCGGCTCCCCTCCGTGCCCAGTGAGGCGCACCAACGCAGCGCCAAGCTGCACTGCCTGTACGGCCGGCCACTCCTCAACTATGGCCGCACGCGGTCGACGCGCGTGTACCCCTATGCTGCGGCCAAGGTATACGATCTGCGCCAGAACACGGACAGGACCGAGTGGGGCCCGTTCATGGAAGACGGGTCGGGGCGGGTGGATTGGGAAAAGGTCGAGGCCGTGATGATAGTGCTGGGGAGTAATATCCGGATGCAGAAGCTGACGGCCAAGGTGTTTGCGAATCTGTGGGAAAGGCCCTTTGCCGGGTCGTGGGCGAGGAGTTTTATGCCGTCGCCGAGCCGGGGGATCCAGGACCTGGATCTACTGGACCCGTACGGCGTTGCTGGGACGTGGCTGAGAGTGAGTCTTCTTTCCGAGCGCAGGGCATAGACGGAGGAATGGGGAGCCCCCGGCTTACACACAGAGACAACCAGGTGGTCTGCTTCGTCGACTACAACGACTTCTTCAGCTTCAACTTCCCCATCGGCGACCAAACGCCGCGTGAGGTCCCGCGCCCCCCGTTCGACGTCGGCGAGGCGACGCGCATCATCGTCATGAAGATTCACGTCACCGACGTACAGCCGCCCGGCGAGGACGACGGCAAGGAGCTTCCCGTGGTGCACTTTTACGGCGTCTCGCGGTCGGTGGACGACTCGTGGGACGAGAACGCCAACTCTAATCTGCGAGGTATGTGTTTGTCCCTGTCCCTGCCCCTGCCCCTGCCATGATACACGCCACCCGGTGGTTGTTGTCGGAGAATGGGGTGGTGGCGGTTGTTGATTGTTCTTAATCTGATTAGCAGTGAAAGGCACCGTCCGCTTGACCAAGGAGGGCGAGGTAAGGTGGACGACGTTCTCCGTCTTCAACGGCCACGCGCGGTGGCGGAGCGAAGGGATTCAGATCGGGGGCGTCGGATCGGCCCGCGGCGTCATGGGACACTGGTTTGATACGTACGTTTGCGCCCTCTCTCCCCCATCGATGGCAGCGAGATCACTCTGTATGCTTACACGAGAGGAAACAGAGACTATGATCCCCACGGTCCGTGCGGGCCCAGCGCCTTCTTCAAGGTGTCGGACCGGGCCCCGAGCCCCAAGGACGACGACGAGAAGAGGATCACGTTCCGGGACTTCATGCCCATCATGGACTTCGACGCAGAGCTGGCGAGCGACGAGGAAGACGACGAGGACTACGTGGTGGGTGAATGGGGCGAGGACGAGGATGACGAGGACATGAGCGAGGAGGATCTGGTGCAGGACCTGATGGCGCTGACGGCTCCAGACCCGGACCTCGTGGACCTCGTGTTCCACGGGCATCACCTGGTTGATCAGTAACGGACGGAGCAAAGGTTCCCAAGTGTATATTGTTCTTTTCCTGTTTTTACTATTCTGGATACAATGTAACAAGTCTACCGCTCTATAATGAAGCAAGATGTAGGAGTTTTCTCAACGAAGAAAACAAGCTCTCCGCCCTTTCACAGCTTGCTCGCCAGTGGATCCGTATTGAACTTGTGATGCTCGCACGTGGCCAGCACCAACCCGTCGCTCTTGCGGCGGAGCGTCCCCCTCAGCTGGCACAGCGTCTTGCCGATCTGGACGACCTCGCACTCAACGAGGCACTCCTCGCCGGCGGGGGCCGGGCGGAGGTAGCTGCAGTTGAGGGTGCGGGAGACACCGAGGAACTGCCAGAAGCCCGGCTTGTCGTTGATGAGGGCTATCGGTAAGGTGGTGAGGGAGTCGAAGAGGGTGGCGGCGGCGCCGCCGTGGAGGTTGTTGGCGCGATTGCAGTGCTCCGGGAGAACGGTGAAGGAGAAGATGGCGGAGGGGTTCGGGGTCAGGGACGTGGAGACGAGGGATATGGAGGGGGACAGCACGCCCATCCAGCTCTAGTGATGTTAGTTGTGGTCTCACGATGTCTTTGCACTAGTCGAGTGTGAAATGGGAGAGTCTAGGGGGGGGGCTTGAGCTGTGAAAGGTCGGTGGTGAGGGATGAAGATACGCACGCCAGACTTGGAGTTGCCCGCATCGTCTTTGTCGAGGGAGAGCCAGGCTTGTATCCGTTCTTCGCCCGTTTTGGCTTCGAAGACGGATTTGAAGTCTGGAAGTTCCCTGGTCATGATGGCGGATATGAGATTGAGAAAGCGGTTGGCTAAAGGTGAGATCTAAAGCCGGTTGAAAAGGTGCTAAGTGATTTTAGTGGGGGCTCTCTTGTAGATGGTGAGCACCCTACTTGAATATACTCCTCAGGATAAGATTGGTGTCTAATTTCTTGATAATGAAGCGAAGGAATTGACTTAACAATGACAGTAGACAATCGGGCGTCCACTTGAGATGAGTTATGGGTAGTGATGAGAGCAGTTTGGATTTCATATCTCAATTGACACTAAGCTGGAGGTCCAAGTACCCTCTGTAACAGGAAGTGGTCGCCCCGCATGCTGGCTTCCCCGGGTTCTGGGTCCCTATCGTCGGCACGCTAGTGGGACTGCCTCGGCAAATCCCTTCGGTACGTTCAACCTCCAACTTCTGACAAACAAAGTACCGACGATCGGCCTCAGTCGTCAATCCACATCACGTCCATCGCCATGTCAAGATAGCCCACATCTCTCCTCCGCCAACAACACAGACAATCAAAGGGAGCGCACTACTCCGATGCCCCTTTGCAACCCTCCGCCATGGAGTTCATGACCGCCCTCCGGGGCTCGTTCGACGACCAGAAACCCTCCCTCTTCGAGCTCATCTCCGAACAGCAGCTCAATTCCCTCCTCCCACCAACCATCCGCTACCTCCTCGTCGTCGCGACGCAGCGTTACCCGCGCTACTTCCTGCGCGCCCTCAACTCCTTCGATGAGCTCTACGCCCTGTGCATGCTCGTCGTCGAGCGCCACTACCTCAAGACCCGCGGCGGCAGTTTTACCGAGAACTTTTACGGCCTCAAGCGCGAAAAGGCCCTGCACGCCGAGATCCCGCGCGCCAGCGCCTCCGCCCCAAGCGTTGTCAGAGATACCCTGAAGCTGAGCACCAAGGATGTGTGGATGAACCTCGCCGTTATCGTTGGCATTCCCTACCTGCGGCGGAAGCTAGACGAGGGCTATGAGGTCAACGCGCCGCGCGCCCTCCTCGGCGCCGCGTACACCCAGATGCCGCCGAACCCGACGATGAAGCAGCGCTTCCTGCACTACTACCGCTGGTTCCTGCGCAACATCTACCCGAGCGTCAACGCGGCGTACTACTTTGCGCTGCTGTCCTTCAACCTGGCGTACCTATTCGACAACAGCAAGTACCACAACCCGTTCCTGTGGCTCATCGGCACCCGCATGCGGAGGATGACGGGAGCCGACTACCAGGCCATCGACGCGCTGACGAGCGGCAAGCCGGGCAGCAAGGCCGGGGCGCCCCCGGGGTGGCGATCGCTGTTTTCGCCGCGGGAGATGGGCCCGCGTCTGCTCTCCAGCCTGTCGCTGCTGCTGCCCATGAGCATATTTGCGCTCAAGTTCCTCGAGTGGTGGCACGCGTCGGACTTTGCCAAGCAGCTGTCGCGCAAGGCGACGGAGACGCTGGATCTCCCGCCGCCCGTGGTGTCGGGCCTTGGGGGCGGCAAGGGAGGAGCTGGTGTCGCCAAGGGCGGCGCCGAGAAGGGCAAGGGCAAGGAGAAGGCCGCTGCTGGTGGCGGTGACGACGACGCGGCTGTCCCGGCTGCTGAGACGGCGCCCATTGCGACGCCGTCGCTGCTGCCCATCTACACGGTGCCCGCGCCCGAGGACTCGTCATTGTGCCCTATTTGCGCGGATGCCATCGTCACGCCAACCGCGTGCCAGACGGGTATCGTTTACTGCTACACGTGCATCCACCGCTGGATAGAGGGCTTGCACCCTATGCAGGAGGAGTTCATGGGGGACAAGGAGGGCAAGTGGGAGAGCGGGCAGGGGCGGTGCGCGGTTACCGGCCGACGTGTCCTTGGAGGCACGGAGGGGTTGAGGAGGATTATGGTGTAAGACTATCATGGCTGCTGCGGACTGGCGGGTGACGTCCCATTTTCTGGGGATAGGATTGGACAAGCACCGATGAAAGGGATCGTCTAAAGGCGGTGGGCATCAACCGGAAAAGGCCGGGGCGTTTAGGTCATGATCTTTGACTTTTGGTTTCCCTGGTCCATATACTACTACATGAATAATACCCACTCTGATCTGGATGACTGTACCTTATTCTGCGGTGTTCACTCGGCTTGAAAACCCGGCGGAAGCAAGGGTTGAGGTGAAGAATGCGGCACCGGGACCGCCTCCACCGTCTGGAATGGAGGGGACCCCCATCACACGCGTTGAGCTGTCTCAGGCCGGGGGCTTCCAAGCCGATCCCTTTCTTCAACTCCACCGGGGCGTGAGCTGTGGCATTCGATACAAGTCTCCGGGAACACGTATTGGTCTCGCATGGTTTTTCCTTGGTCCGTTGCGGCAGGCGTAGGCCAAAAAGTTTTGGCCCATCCCGAGGCGAGACCCCCTGTCTCGATCTCGAACGGGGCTCACGGGGCACGCCAGGCGACCGCTCGTCAAGATGTCTTGGTCCCGTTCGGAGGTTCTGGAGAGGAGGCAACTTGTTCCAGGCTAGCAGCGCAGCATTCCTATTTTTCTTCCTTCTTCTGCTCCAGCTTTTGGGGTTTCGTCCTTCTCTGGAAGCCTTTCCCTTGGTTCCTGTGAGCGCGGCCCGGACTGTCCTTCTTGAATGGGATGCTGGTATTGGATTCTCCACGCTTCCGCTAGAGGAATCTAGCACGAGTTCCCCTATGTCTTCCGGCTGGTAGAGAGCTGCAGTCCGCTTGCCGGGCTCGGAGAAGCAGACGTCATTCGCCTAGACCGGGCTCGAACAAGAAGGAGGCTGGGAGAGGAGAGGCGTCTTGGGATTCTTTGGATCCTTGGGGTTAGACGGCGCTGGTGCGGCATTCCTCGCCGTATGTGAGGGCGGGGATGATGGTGTGTTCAGCTCAAGCTAGAGACCTCCTCCTCGTTGGTGTGCGCCTTTTGGTAATGCGGTGCCTGGATCGGTGTAAGGGATATGGCGAGGGCGAAAGGTTATAAGGACAGAGGTCTCAGGATTATCGGCGAGTGAGTCTGTCGTGGCGTTTCCCTCTCTGTTTCTAGCCGTCAACAATCAGAGTCTTTCGTTGTTCTACCGATACTCGATCACTAGCCTCCCTCTCTCGCTCATTTCACTGTCGTTGCTCGTGGATGGTGATCAATTACACGTTCCCTTTGTTTGGTTGACGCGACCAAGGTTGGAAAGGAAACAAGAAGACAATAAAAGAGGTGGAAAGGAAAGGCAGGGCACGATGGCGTACGGCCTGTCGCATTCGTACTTTGGTGCCAACTTCATTTCCGATTTCAACTTTATCAACTACGCCGACCCGTCCAACGGCTTCGTAAGGTACGTGTGCTTCCCCAAGCCTTCTCCGGAGGTTGTTACACGCGCGTGGAGGAGGGCCAAGCCCAAGATGTCGGCTGATTGACGACCACCCGGGGTGCAACAGGTACCAGAGCCAGCCCGATGCCCTCTCAAAGAGCCTCTACTCGATCAACCCGTCCACGCAGGCCGTGACGCTGGGCGTGGACAACACCAACGTCTACGGCCTCAACGAGGGGCGGCCGAGCCTGAGATTAGAGAGTAAGAGGCAGTACAACCATGGCCTCTTTATTGGGGATTTCGCGCACATGCCGCCATCGGTTTGTGGGTTGTGGCCAGCATGTAAGTCGAGCGGTTTTGTCTTCCTCTGCAACCCTCCCCGAAGAGATGATCTGCGTTGAGATGTACCGACTGACACGGCGAGCAACAGTCTGGATGTACGGCCCGGATTGGCCTACTAGTGGAGAGATCGATATCATCGAGGGTGCAAACCAAGTCACCAAGAACATAATCTCCGGACATAGGTGAGTCTAGTCTTCCATGTTAGCATCGTGAGGCCTTGAATGACATCGGAAACAGCACGCAAGGCTGCCGCATCCCAGACGCACCACAAGCCGCAGGCCAGCCTCTCATCCGCGATTGCGAGAGCCCTGGTGTAAGTCTTATCCCTCAGCTCTTCCCTGATGTGCCGTCGTTCTCACTAAAATACCAAACAGACCAACAACAACGCCGGCTGCAACTATCTGCCCCCTGCATCAGACCTGCACACCTACGGAGACTCCTTCAACGCCGTCGGCGGAGGGGTCTACGCCCTCGATTGGACCTCGGATGCCATTCGCATCTGGCACTGGCCACGGCAGAGAATCCCCCGCGACATCATCGCTAAACAGCCCGACCCGTCGACCTGGGGCCTCCCGTCGGCGCTATTTGGGACGTCGACTTGCGAGGTAGACAAGTACTTCAAGAATATGAGCATTGTGATTCAGACCGTATGTGAGAGTGAGGAGCGGCTTATGTCTTTTATGAGTCCAAGTCTTTTGGGTGATGAGGATATGTGTGCTGACTGGAGGTCTCGACGAGTAGAACTTTTGTGGTGACTATGCCGCGAACATTTGGGGTAAGGACGGAGATACTTGCAACCAGCGGGCTCCGACTTGCGTCGAGTACGTGGCGAACAACCCTGGTGCCTTCAAGAACGCGTAAGACGCCATGCCCCAACAGCGAAGCCCTCAACTAACAAGAAGCAAAGATACTGGGAAGTCAACTACATCGACGTGTACCAGACCGGCGCCATCAACAGCACGGGCCCAGCGGAGCCAACAACCACGACGACGATCAAGACCACGTCCACAATCTACACAACGGTGCCGAATCCTGCCACCATCGTAACGAGCCGAACACAGAACGGCACCGTGCTCGTCTTCACCACAACCGCCACCACCGTCAACCCGGCTGGCCCGACAGCCACCGCCCCGCCGAGCCCGTCCACCGACCCGATCGTCCCGGGGCGCGATCCGGCGACCATTGGCGAGTACACGTACCTCGGCTGCTACGGTTCCACGACCGGGTTCCAGACGTTCTTGCTCAGAGCCTCGGCGGTGGACCTGACGCTCGAGAAGTGTGTTGATCTGTGCAGGCCTGGCAAGTACGCCGCCATCCGCGAGAGGTGAGACTCTGCCCCCTACCCCTTGACTGAACCCGGATGAGCTTGGTGCTGATTACCCAATCTTTAGTCAATGTTTTTGCGCGGAAGAACTCGACCCTGACACCAGAGCCGAAGCAGACCGCGGGCGCTGCAACCTACCCTGCCCGGGTAACAGCACGCAGCTCTGCGGCGGCTCCACCAACGTATCGCCCGCCCCCACGCGCCTCATGCACCTCCACCGCCGTGCCGCGCCGGCGAACTACCTCCTTACTGTCTACGGCCGCGTCTCCGACGACGTGCCAGCGCCGGCACCGCCGCTGGGAGACCCTGAGCCGCATCCGCCCTCGACCTCGACGCTCGTGACGACCATCACGTACACCACCGTCTACGCGACCGATCCCGCGTCCCTGGTCCCCGCGGAGCATCGCACGACGATTCTGGTGTTCGGGTGCAACAAGTACTGTGGCGATGGGGCCCCGGCGGCGATCAGCGTGCCGTTGACGACGACGGTGGCGTCGTGCGACGCCTGCGGGGAGAACGGTGCGAACGAGGTCACGCTGACGGTGCCGTTGCAGGTCGCGGCGGTGCCGGTGACGGCGTCGGCCACGGGGTACTGGCCGTCCGGCGGGCAGACAACCATGGCCCCTCCCGGAGGCCCGACCGGGATACCCACTCCAGTTTCGGTCAGTGGCGCGGCGGATGTAGACTTTGTGTGGGCTCTGGGCCTAGGAGCAGCCATCGCGTTGGTGCGGTTCGCGTTGATGTTCTTGTAATGAGAGGCATCTGGAGCGAATCGGTGGGCTGGTTCCCGGAGCATTTGGCGGAGCATTTGAATATCCTCTCCTTAACTTTTACCTTTATTGCGATTTCTTTCTTCTACACGTTCATTAGCATAGACATCACCATGATACCACACCAGCGCAACGGGCGCATACATTAGTACTAGTTTTATACAGATGGCAGCAAGATATCAGTTTGTCACAAATCCACCACCTCTACCGGGTTTCCCAACCGCCCCGTGTTTCCGTACATCTGGGCGGCGTTGACCATCAAACTGCTGGTATTGCCGCCGGGCCCAACCATCACCCATTTCCACACAACGCCGTGCACGGCCCAACCTAGTACGCTGAGAGCATCTTTCCAACCAGAGTGCGGAAAGAAGTCACGGATGAGGCCACGCGGGCGTTGGGACATGAGAGCCTCGTAGGCGCGCTGGCACTCGTCAAAGTGAACGGCCTCGCGGCCGTGGCCCCAATGCACGTGGCCGAACACGTGGAGCTTCGGGCGGACCCGCCAGACCTCTTCGAGGAGGCCGGGGCAGCCCAGGCCCAGATCCAAATGGTTTTTCTGTGACATGTTAGGAATTGGCTTCGGACGCGAGTAAGGTGTGGATGACGGACGGGTGGAGTGTGAGTGACCAAGATGTCCGTGTCGATCGGGATGGTATTCGTCCAGGGCGGTGATGCGCGGTCATACTGGAAGGCCATCTCCGAGCCGCCGCAGGCCGGGATGTCGGGGGCGCCGTAGATCTTGAGGTGGCGACCGCCCTTGAACTCCAGCGTCACGGCATCGCGGACCAGGTAGCGGATGCCCTTGAAGTCGAGGGTCTTGCCGCGGTCGCCGGGCAGTCGGGCACTAGGGTCGAAGTAGCTGTCGTGGTTACCACAGACGAGAATCTTGTGCTGGTGGGGCTGGGCGGCGAGCCAGTCGAGCTGGGCCTGGATGTCGGCGGCGGTTCCCGCGTTGGTGAGGTCGCCGGCGTGGATGAGGAGGTCCCCGTCAGGGATGGCGACGCTGGTGTGGTCGTGGGTGTCGGAGATGCAGACGATGCGGATGGCGGGCTTGTCGCGGGGTGGGATAAATGGTCGGCCACGGAGGAAGAGGGTGATGCTGTAGATTATGGTGACGATGAAATGCAGAGGTGAGATGAGGAGAGAGTCGAGGAGTGTTGGGGGCTCCCAATCGTTCTTGCGGCGGAGGCCGAGAGCTGTGAGGAGGGTCATTGGAGGCGAGAGGCGTGCCGACTCTTTGCCTCGGGATACCTTGGCCGAGTGCCTTGTCGAGAGGAGGTCAATTGAGGTTATACGCGTTCCATTTGTGATGTTGTGAGAGGTGAGTGAGATGCGGTGAGGTGTCGTTGAGGCCGATTGGAGGTTGGGCCACGCGGGACGGATCTTCACATGGGACAGAGGGAGCTTCGAGCTGAAACCCCACCACCGATGACAGCACCAGCGCCTCGGTGGAGAGCGCAATTGGGCAACAGTGGAAAGTACGGCCAATGGAAGCCCGGCCGGCAGCTGGCATGGAGGGAAGGGATTCAGCCGTGCTGGGGTGAAGGCGTGGCCGGGGCAGCACAAGCCACCCACCATGCGCTCACTGCTACGCCAAACCTGGAATGGCGCTGCCGTGTCACTGGGCCGGAGGCGCTGAGGGACTGGAGCTTGTTCCCTGGAAAACCCTCCCGTCCAAGTCGGGGCCCTGCGCGGTGACGTGACGGTTTCCTCAATCTGCCCGCGCCCAAGCTTCCTCATTGCTGTTCTCCAAAAAAACCTGCCAAGCGAGACATCGCCGTCATTACTCCAGCCACTTGGCTGCATTTCACAACCTTGGCTTTAAAACACTTGAGTTCTGCCTCACGATCTTAGACTTTTGCGAATTCCGAAAAGTCCTACTCTCAGCCTACCCCGGGATTGTATCCCCTCCTTTGTTTGCAGACCGACCTCCGAGAAAGAACCTGTATAGCATCCGTGCTCAAGCTGTCGACGACAAGAGTCTTGGGACGAACTCCCGGCCCGCAGTCATGGCGAGCTTTAGAGACCTCTACAGCAATGAGAAGACCAAGGGTCTGGACTCCAACTTTGGTGTCGACTTTGTGATCAACTACAAGATCCCGCAAGATGGTGGGCCGACTAACCTCAACCCCTTTTCCCCGTCATCATGGCTGATTCGTGTGCTACACAGACCGAGCCGATGCCGAAGCGAGTTTCGTCCAGCTCATCGAGGCCCTGACCCATGTCGGCCTGACCACCGAGGTCCGGAGAGGAGACAAGGAGTCCGTCCTTGTCTTCATCAAGATCGCCGATAAGTTTCTCGACGACCAGGTCTACCGATCTCGACTCCAAGACTGGCTCCAGGGCGCCCGAACCACAAGCTCCGACAAGGACCTTTCCCAGGCCCTCCGCGATGAGCCCGTCTCCGACGCCGAGCGCCTGCGCCTCGTATACCTGCTGATGGTGAAGCCCAAAAACGAGGGTGGCGCGGGCATTACGCCACAGTCGGGCCGCTGGAAGCACGTCGACAGCATCTTCCCGCTGCATAACCATGCCTTCAACAAGCAGTGGATTAAGAGGGTGAGTACAAAGGGACAGACCGACGAGGCCGATCTCGACGAGATCCGCGACAAGTTCGGCGAGAGCGTCGCTTTCTACTTTGCCTTCATGCACACCTACTTCAAGTTCCTCACCGTCCCCGCCGCTGCTGGTTTCGCCGCTTGGGTGCTCCTCGGCCAGTTCTCTTGGCTTTACGCCCTCGTCAGCTGCTTGTGGTCTGTTGTCTTCTTTGAGTTCTGGAAGAAGAAAGAGGTCGACCTGGCCGTGCAGTGGGGCGTCCGTGGCGTTTCCAACATCCAGCACCCCCGTCCACAATTCGAGTTCGAGCGCCAGGCGGAGGACCCCGTCACTGGAGAGCCTGTCAAGATCTATTCGCCTATCAAGCGCCTGCAGACGCAGCTGTTACAGATTCCCTTCGCGGCGGCCTGCATCTTGGTGCTTGGAACCCTCATCGTGACCTGCAATTCGCTGGAGATTTTCATCAATGAGGTGTATAACGGGCCGTTCCAGTCGTACCTCGCGTTCCTCCCAACCATCATCTTGGTTATCATGACGCCGACTTTCTCTACCGTGCTCACAAAGTTCGCGACGAGACTCACTGAAATGGAGAACTATGAGACGATCGATGGTAAGTTTGCCGACCTTCAGTGCCAAGAGTCGTTGCTAATGATGTGCAGCACACCACGCGGCTTTGATCCAGAAGGAGTTCGTATTGAACTTCCTAACCTCCTATATGGCTCTGTTCTTTACCACCTTCGTCTACCTACCTTTTGGTGATCGTCTCACCCCCTACCTCGACTTCTGGCGGTCTACTGCACAGAAGATCACCCCGAAGGATGTAAACTTCCAGACTCAGGAATTCGTCATCAACCCCGATCGAATTAGCAAGCAGATGTTTTACTTCACTGTGACCGCTCAAGTGGTCAATTTCCTTACCGAGGTTATCGTGCCTTACGTCAAGCGCCAGGTCTCCCAGGAGGTCAGAGAAGTGCAGTCAAAGATGTCAAAGGAGGGCGACGCTGCCAAGATCCAGGATCACCCCGAAGAAGCCGCTTTCTTGGAGCGAGTGAGAAAAGAAGCCCAGCTCGAGACATACGACGTCACCGGCGACTACCGAGAAATGGTTATTCAGTTTGGCTATCTTTCCCTCTTTTCCGTAGCCTGGCCCCTGGCGGCCTGCTGTTTCCTGGTCAACAACTGGGTCGAGATGAGATCCGATGCAGTCAAGATTGCCATCAGCAGCAGAAGACCCATCCCGTGGCGCGCAGACTCGATAGGCCCTTGGCTCAATGCTCTCGGCTTCTTGTCCTGGATGGGGAGCATCACCAGCGCCTCGATTGTCTTCCTCTGCAGCTCCAGTGGCAAGGGTAGTGGGCCGCGTGGCACCCCTGGCAGCATCCAAGCATGGGGCTTGCTCTTGAGTGTCCTCTTGGCCGAGCACTTCTACTTTGCTGCGCAGTTCATTGTTCGGCTTGTTATGAAGAAGTTGGACAGCCCTGGCTTGCAGAAGGAGAAGAAGGAGCGGTTCATGATGAAGAAGAGGCTTCTCGAGGAGAACCTGGGTCAAGGCGTTTCGGACCAAGCCGCCACTCCTGGTATCGAGAAGACAGAGATGATCACGTTGAAGGCTTTGGAGGAAGAAGCTCGCAGACTCTCAACTCAAGGTCATGGGAGCGCCGAGGAAGCGTAAGTCATCTTCAAAACGACGGACCTTAGTCCCAAAGCTGACACTTTGCTAGATTCTGGCTGCGCCAACGAGGCATGGGCGAGACCATCCAAATCGGTCGAAATTTGATATCTCAGGTAATGTGACACATTTCGATGCCAAACGCTGTGTACTGACAATTGGTTTACTAGAGCATTTCTGGAAACTCGACGAAGGCGTGAAATCCTAGTCACAGTAACGGAACGCAAGTTGATGGATTATGGCGGAAGGCCACACCAACCCCTTAATCACGAAGACGTATGGAGCGTCCGTCGAGGTGTGTATTGCGAGCGAACATGTTTAACTGGGAGGCCAAAACCTTTCATACAAAAGGCGTTAGCTTAGGCTGGAATACGAGTTGCGCAATCTTTGAATACCTTGAGTGAGTTGACGCATGGAGGGCAAGTTTGGTGAATTCTTTGATGCAAGCGTGTGGGCTACCAACCTCTTCATTGTCGGTCCCCAAAGTGGTGACCGACAGCCAAGTTGAATAATTCGTGAAACATGATTTACGGTAGGCAGGTGATCATTTTATCCGTCTCCTGTCGGGCGAGGCAGACCTGCAGGCTTAATTGAGGAGCACTCATTGTTTAAGCAAGTTGTTGGGGGGGTTTCTTTGCTGAAAAGGGCCCAATATTAAGCTGCGCCTCTACGCTAGCCGCCTTGAACTGCGTAAGTGCATCTTCCACGAGATGGATGCGCCTAGCACAGAGGTACGTACTGACATGGAGCTAAGGCATTCCCCTCTCCAACCGTTCCTAAACTCCAGATAAGTCATCTCAATGTCATCCCATCGCTCGGGAGCGCCAATCGCAGGGCCCTGTTCAAGAATGTGCCACGCAGACGAACCCAAACGGGTCTGCCTAGCACGTCGCCCGAAGCATGGCAGTGGCAGCTAGCCGGACAGCTCTATCTCGAACCCAAGGCCCCTCGATCCAATTTACTATTTGGAGCATGTGGACTTTATCCTCGTTTATCAACCACCATGCCGGTTCCGTCCGGAAACTAGCCGCATCCTGGACACCATTTCCACCTGCATCTGCCTGCAAGCTGGGCGCCGCCTTGCTGGCTTCCTTGCCTACTTTCAGTGGTGGGCTTCCTGAGGCTCGTTGGCTCTCCAGTGAGAGCGTGTCTCGGTCGGGAGTCTGACATGCGGTGCGCCCTGCATCTATCCGCCTACCACATTCGCCCATGCTTAGCCATCCTGCGGCCTAGAGCTGCCTTCGGTCGCCGAAAGCTGACTCTGAGCTAGTTAATCAGCTTAGCCGCCTTGATACACATGTCCTTTGGGATTTCTTTGCGATTTCCCTCTTCCTTCTTTTACTTGCCATGGTTTCCAAACAATGCCTATGATCACGCACGACTAATACTCAAGCAATCGTTGGTATCGAGTATTCGACCATTTGAACGACCCTCTGCCAGCCCCGTTGCGCTGGCCTGGTCGCATCGTACAACCGCTATCTCACTCCATCGAACGAGAGAAGCGCCGCCGCGCTGAAGCTGCGACTATGGACGTCGTGGCCGACTTGGTGACGGGGCCCTTCAAGGAGGTCGTGGAAAAGGGCAGCCTCGCACTCGAGAACGCGGGCGACAACAAGGAAATGCACTCCGAGAGCCAGAAGCTGGTCAAGGGCGCCGAGCGCATTCTCAAAATCATTGAACCACTTTGCGAGCGGCACTTGGAGGAGTACGGTGTGGACTTTACGGATGCGCTCAAGGATCACAGTAGGCGCGACCAAGGGACCGGCGTTGCTGGAGTTTTTGACTGACTGCGGAGTAGATGAGATCGCCGAGTACAGGTCACAGATGACTGACATGCTGTGGGACTTTGACGACGTCGTCGAGGAGGATGCGTTTGAGAAGGAAAAGTACGTCGAGCTGCGGGAGCTGTGTAAGAAGGCCGGGCTCAGGACTGGAGAGATCTTGAAGAGAATGAAGCTCGAGGCAGCGCCGCGGGAGCAGCCCGTTGTTTCGCCTGTTGCGACATCACCGCCGGCTGAGACTGGTACGTATACTCAATGCAACGGCTTGTGGCTATACGCTGACTGTTGCAATCTTGATAGCCACCCAGGATCGGGATCTAAAAAGTCAAAACACCACCCAGAAGCTACTCCAGGAAGAGGAGCAGGCACTTGAGCCGAGTCCCAAGCTGGAAGAGATTCGGGAGCAGCCGCCGCCGCCGCCTCCCTCAACGAACCCCTGGGATCTTAGAGCAAGTCCAGTCATCGAAACGGGCTTGGAAGCATCACTAAAAACCCACATCGAGCGTCGGCCGCCAGTTTCCGCCATGAGTTCCCCAGTCTCTGAACCAACTAGCCCAGAGGATGTAAACAGGCTGTCTTACAGCTCTAGTCGACGGCTGGACATCCCCGTCGGGAGGGTGCTGCCTGAAGAAGAACGGTATCATCAAATGAGTCCTCAAGATATTTCTCGGTCTCCTGTTTTGTCAATGGACAGAAGCCCTCTCGTCTCGCGGGGGCGGGCGTCGTCAACTACCCTGGGCGTCGTGGCCGAAGACCAGCCGGTGCAGGCTGTACATGCGCCATTGCCGCATCGCTACTCGCAGGCAAGCTCAATCTACTCTCACCCTTCTAGGCAACGCTCCCAGGAGTCGCTACACAGTTCCGTCTTTGATGGGAGGAGGAATGATGGGTCCAACAGTCCTGCGATGACGGAGCATCGCATCTCCTCGTCTTCTGGGAATGATGCGCAGCTGAGTCCGATATCTCGGGGACCTATCGTGCCACCAAACTTCCCCCCAGGTATTCACGAGGGTATCGAGAGAGTGCCATTAGTTATGCATGATGGCGAAGGGCTGATTCCTGTCGAATCGGAGTCAACCAATACTACCCAGCCTCCACCCATGATACCGAGTCGACCAACGGACTGTAGCATTGGTCTAAGCAGCTCGTTTTACTTGTACAAAGGGTTCTGCGAGGGTGCGAAGGAAGTGGCCAGGGGGGGACTTGGCATCAAGAAGATCAAGAAGCCTGTGAGCAATTCCTGTTCTTTACCAAGCCTCCAACTAATGTGTTTACTTTTAGGGATTCTCTGGCGCGCACGAAGTAGCCAAGTGCACCAGCTGCTCCTACGAGCTCGATTTCAGGCAGGTCGAGCTGGACGTCAACAACACAGGTACGCGCAAGCCATTTCGAGCTCGAGACTTTGTTAGATACTGACACTCCCTACCAGAGCAAGCAAACTTCCTCTCACACAAGATAGCCTTCCGTCCGCGCTTCCTCCAGAAGTGCCATGTCGCTACTAAACGCGCCGACGAGCTGCTCTACGGCTGCGTCTTCTGCGTCCACGCCCAGCGGACCCTCGAGGAGTGCGACGCGACAGTCTTCTTCAGCCAAAAGAAGCTCTTCGAGCACCTGGCTCGGCACCCTCGTCCCTTACCGCAGGTGCCCGGTATCATGGCCATCGAAGAGGCCGAGATCCCGCCCAACTTGCGCAACAACTACGATCTACACTTCCGAGCGCCGCCAAAGGAGAGCCCTCTGGCGGGCAAGCAGACAGAGCTGGCTCAACGGCCCGCCGCGACGGCGACGCAGACGGTGAAGCGCATGTACGGCATGCGGTTGCTGTATGACAACACGCCGGCGTTCGAGCTGGCGAATGGGGCGAGGATTTCAGGGATTGAGTTCCCGCAAAAGTATAACGGGGAGTGGGTCATGGGGTGGCACGAGGGGAACTTTGGGTCGGTGCCGTTGGACGTGCTGAAGCTGGAGCCGCCGCCAAAGGGGGAGATTCGCATGGACACGACGAGCAACATCTCGGCGGTGGCGAGGTGGAAGTTTGCGCCAAAGATGAAGGACGGCGGGGACTGGTTGCGGTTTGACCAGGGGGAGAAGATCACCAACATCAGCTGTGAGTTTTTGCCCACCCCTTCTTGTTTTCATTTTGATCTTCTGCAACGTGGATCTGCGGTAGCCAAATATCGGAAAGACTAACACCGAATAATAGGGGCATGGCAGGACCACTGGTGCTGGTCCGGTACCAACGCCAAGGGCGCCTGGGGCATCTTCCCGCAGACGCACATCGACGGCAACACGATTCGCGAGACGTCGGACGGATCAAGTATTTCGAGCAGCGAGCGGCGGAGACGGTCCGAGGGGTTTTTCGGAAGGTTCGCAAGCAACCGCAAGGCGTCGTCACAGAGGGCGTCAAGCGTGGCGGAGGTTATGGTCTCTTCCGGGCCACGGCCGTCGGTGTTTTAGGAGTGACGGGGTACGAAGCGTGTGTCTACGGGTCGAGAATTGAATTTTGAGGGATTCCATGGTGTTTGGTTGTCAGGATGGGCGGTGTGGAGTTTTTATACCCGGGTAATTTATTGAGAAAGCTAAGTGGCCATGAGCCTAATCAAAATGGCATTCTGAAGCTTTAAAAAGGGCTATGCACCATTATTAACTTTCGCTTGTTACGAGAAAGGCACAGTGGAAGATAGGTGGTTGATGTATCGACTGTGTTCATGAAACGGAGACCGCGGTATACTACGTCTATAGGTCACGGGACATGTATTTTTCTTCCAAGATGTATAAGTCGTGATGCGACTGTGAAATAGGTATTTGAGCATAGAAGTCACACTACCGAGATTCAAACTTGAGAGATGTGTTGAGTCTTCTTACGAATTTGAGGTTCAATCAGCATAGCCCAAGACGAATTTTGGTAGCTAGATGCTCGTTAGTTTCGATTTTAGAGATCGGTCTTGCGTGACAGGATAACTCAGATAAGGCCGCCCGTCCCGAGAGTTTCCTCGGGAGCGTAGCCGCGAGTATCTGTACCGGCCACGGCTCGCAAGCCGAAGGGTGGCTCGAAGATTTCACAGACGGGTGATGGTTCACTGCCAGCTGGACGAACGCGTGGGTGGAACACGGGATACTTATCGGGGATAGGTCGGAATGGAGGCCGGTAGCATTTTACACCGAGAGAGGATACTGAGCATGGACTACAGAGGACGTCACCGACATTACCCCGCACCGCATTGACCCGAGGTGAAGAGCTAGCGCTATGCGGGAGCCACTGTGGGGCGCGGCAGTGGTTGACGGTACAATGAAGAGCGAGTTGATGACCTTTGATGGGTTTCGCCGCCGGAATTAAGCACCCGGCAACCCTTCTCCAACCCCCAATACCGCCCCTCGAGACGATGCCTCCCCCAACATTCTCAACCTAGTGACACTCCGAACTTTTTTTTTTGGGGACGACCGATTCTCGGACTGACTAGCGAGACGACACCTACTTCTTGATCTGCTCTTTTGAATTGCGACGGCCTTCTTTCCACTTATCTAGCTCGTCAAAGTGTGTTGTACATGTACTACTGCCCGGCTCATCTGATTTGAAATACCTCGGACCTGAACCGAGGACAAGCCACCCATAAAACTACGCTACCCCGTGGAGAAAGATCTGCCAACCGTCGGCCTTTACCCCGGATTATCCTGGGCTTTTGACAACCTCCAACCTCACGACTTCCATTCGTCCGGAATAGCCAACCAACCAACACATACAGCCAGCAAAATGGGCTTGAAGGGTGATGATATCGCGAAGCACAACAGTGCCGACTCTTGCTGGGTCATTGTACACGTAAGTTGCGACCGAGCACCTCATGCTACCGAGAAGGTCCTCAATTGACATCTGGTCGTTCGACAGGGCAAAGCATATGATGTCACAGACTTCTTGCCGGGTGAGTACGCCTTCAACCATAACTCTCGATTCATTTATCATTGACGACGGCTTTCAGAGCACCCTGGTGGCTCCAAGATCATCCTCAAGTATGCTGGCAAAGATGCGACGGAAGAGTTCGACCCCATCCACCCGCCCGACACCCTCGACAAGTACCTCGACAAGTCCAAGCACCTGGGCCCCGTCGACATGGCCTCGGTGGTGGTAGAGACGAAGGACGAGGACCCCGAAGAGCTGGAGCGGTTAGAGAGGGTGGAGCAAAAGCCGCTGCTGTCCCAATGCTACAACCTGATGGACTTTGAGGCCGTTGCCCGCAGAGTCATGAAGAAGACGGCCTGGGGGTACTACTCGAGTGCCGCCGACGATGAAATTGTGAGTCTTTGCCTCTCGACTTTGGCGCCGCAGAGCATCAAGAGCGATTGCTGACCCAATTCTCATGCAGACCTTGCGCGAAAACCACGGCGCCTTCCACAGAATCTGGTTCCGGCCGCAAATCCTTGTCGACGTCGAAAAGGTCGATTTCAGCACCACCATGCTCGGCGCAAAGGTTGACATGCCCTTCTACGTCACTGCGACCGCCCTTGGCAAGCTGGGCCACCCGGAGGGCGAGGTTCTGCTCACACGTGCCTCCCGTAAACACAATGTCATCCAGATGATCCCGACGCTGGCCTCGTGCTCGTTTGACGAGCTGATGGACGCCGCCGAGGGCGATCAGGTCCAGTGGATGCAGCTGTACGTCAACAAGGACCGCGAAATCACCAAGAAGATTGTGCAGCACGCCGAGAAGCGTGGGTGCAAGGGTCTCTTCATCACCGTCGATGCGCCGCAGCTGGGTCGTCGCGAAAAGGACATGCGTTCCAAGTTCACCGACCCCGGTGCGAACGTGCAGTCGGGCCAGGCGACGGACCAGAGCCAGGGCGCCGCGCGCGCCATTTCGTCCTTCATCGACCCCGCTCTGTCATGGAAAGACATCCCCTGGTTTAAGTCCATCACCAATATGCCCATCATCCTGAAGGGCGTGCAGCGTGTTGAGGACGTCATCAAGGCCATCGAGGCTGGTGTCCAGGGTGTCGTGCTTTCTAACCACGGAGGTCGCCAGCTCGACTTTGCCCGGTCCGGTATCGAAGTCCTTGCCGAGACGATGCCCGTGCTGCGCCGCATGGGTCTGGAGAACGCCATTGAGATTTACATCGACGGCGGCGTGCGCCGCGCTACCGACATCATTAAAGCTCTGTGCCTTGGAGCCAAGGGCGTCGGTATTGGAAGACCTTTCCTCTACGCCATGGCCGGCTACGGCTTCGACGGTGTCGACCGCGCCATGCAGCTGCTCCGCGACGAGATGGAGATGAACATGCGCCTCATTGGCTGCACAAGCATCGACCAGCTCAACCCGTCTCTTGTCGATACCCGGAGCCTGTTCAACCACGGCTCCACGCCTTCGGACAACCTCGGACTGGCCGTGTACGACCCGCTGGCGACACCAGTGCAGAGACCCAAGGCGCCCAAGTCTTCCAAGCTGTAAAAGGGCTTTGTCAGACTGCGAGTTTTGGTGAACAATAGAAGAGGACCTACACGTGTCACGCCTCTTTTTGGGAGCAAGCATGAAGCGTTGTGAGACTTGATCTATGCATCAGATGTATGATATTATACACTATAAACATGGCGATACATTCTGCGGAGGTGGGGCAGTACACGTACTCTTATTAAGATCTTATGGATATTCCGTTCTTATCCTCTGTGATGTTTTCTGGTACGGCCGTCGTCCAGCACCACATGAGTCAGTACGTGTGATCATATGTCCGCCGAGCTTCATCCTGGCTATGGCGGAAGAGGTTGAATAACGTCAACCGTCGATCTCCCGTTGACGCGAATTTCGGTAATCCATGCTCTGACCGTTGTAAGCATTGTTTGCTCGCATATGATGATTTATCACTCGCCGGTTCTGAGGTAATGTGCGAAAGAGGGCCATTGAAAGTTCCGAGAACACATTTATATGGTCCACAGACGCAAAAGGCCAAGGTCCTCATCTATGATTCAAATACCGTCGTATGTTGGTTAAGAAAGAGCCGGCATCAGCGAAAATTCATACACAGCCTGGTCTCGTCCTGCTTCCTGCGATGGAACGTTTCAGGAGAGTAACAATGAGGGCTTCTTGGGTTACTGGAGTCAGTCACCGGATGTTCAAGAACAGATGAATTGTTCGTTCAAAACTCCAAGTTCCCAGTCTTGCTGTCACGACCGACGGGTAAATATGGTTGTGTGTACGACCGACCTTGGCGAGAGCTGAAGCCGCCGCGCCAATGGAAACAATTCAGGTCAGCTCATCTACCAGGTGTCCCTGACACGACCATTGGCCGTGGTTCTGTGTCCTCGATGTCTATCCAAGTATCCTCGGGCAACAGACTGCCGGACAAGAGTTGTGGTTATGAAGCCCTGTCTTTGAACGAATATGTTCACCTCCTCGGAAAGACCAGCAAGCTTCGTCTTCAGCTCAAGCGGGAATAGTCTCTTTCCATCGGATGGCTCTGGCTGCTCGTCTACTGCCTGATGTCGCGCCCAATGCATGCTTTTGTGGTCCTGTTTCCTTTTTATTGTTCTTCGAAACAGGGAATGGGAGGTGGTTTTGCGACAACAAGTAACCGTAAATGTATGTCCGCCCATGGCTCCTGCGAGAAGGAATGATATGGATGCAGCCACTCATTGGCTGGGCATGAACTGCCCGCGCTCCTACATCGCAGAAACTACGAAGCTTATTCATTCCTGCTAGTTAGGAATAGGTAAGTGAGAATGATGAGCCTCAGCTAGATGAAACACCTTTGACTGCCATCTTATCTGTCGTTGTTCGATTTTGATGAAATCGCCGGACCCGTTGTACGACAGCATCAGCTTTGAAGACAGTCTGCCTTGAGTGGTGAGCAGTAGCACTGTAGCCAGATAGTCCATGATATGACAGCTTGTCATCGAGAAAACGGCTGTGATCGTAGGAAACATTCGCGAAAAGATGATGCATTGACACTGTCTACCTATGGCTAGACCAGGATATCGACCTGTCAGGCACACTGATACTTCCCGAGTGTTGGAACTGGTGGATCTACAGAGGAAGCAATTAACCTTGGAATGCTCGAGACGATCAGAATGCACACAAGAATCGATCCGCCGTCTACTCAGAAGACTACACCATATCAACTCGTAATCCGGCAATAAACTCGCATCAGGACTAAGACGCAAGCTACGACTTTTAATAAGGTCCTTTTAGCCGCCACGAGTTGGTCTCTAACGGAGACCCCTCTGAGTTTCTAGCCCCTATCTAAACAAGAGTAGTGACGGGCAGCCTCCACGACCAAGTTACTCTTCTGGGCTGTGTGCACCGTAAGCACGTGTGGGGCACTCGAAAGAGGTATTGGTTTGGTCACGATCGATGTCGTAGGTCAGAGCGATACACGTCCGTGGCACCGCGCAGCTCCTGGGCTGTAATTATCTGTCATAAGGTTAGTGCGACGTTGCTTTACACATGCACCTGTCATCCCAGTCGAAGTCTATATCGGCACCGAATATATACCGAATGTAGAAAGAAATGGCCGAAAAGGGATGGTGGTTCTCGACTATCGCCAACATCAAACCCGTAGCGCCCGCGAACAGAAGCGCACAAGGCCTCGAAAAAGAAACCTTTCGCACTGGCAGGGTTACCGGTCGAGCCTCCTTTCGGGCGAATGAATTCTCCTCGGCCGGAAGCTAGCCAATAGCGCTAACAGCAAGATGAGTCGAGACTGGTTGTCCGATGGGTTCGCGCACGAACACGATCCAAACGACGGGGGCTGAGCTCGAACGGCGCGTGAAGCCGGCAGAGCCTCACTTTCTCACGGCAACCGAAGCGCTGGCCGAGTCGAGTCCTATATTGAACGCCGGCTCAACCGGCCGTACTGTGCCGCATTATGCATCGGAGATTTGCACTGGAGACCTGGCGGGTGCCATGGATACTTCTATGCACAAATGACCCGTCCGTTCTGATGCATAGCTGTGTAAAGGCGAGGATGGGGGGGAAGGCGAAGTTGTAGAAACTATCACGGAGTATCGCTGGAGCGATTCAGCCTCCGAGGGTTCTAGGTGAACGCGAGTCATACAGGGACCTGATTCAATCAAAAAGACATTACGGTACTTGGAAAGGGGAGCCGAAGCGCTCCACGATCTTGAGATGATCAGCTCGGAGTAGCTTAGCGCCATCCCGAATAAGCATGGGTAGGGATGTCAGGCTGGGAGGTGATCGACGCCGAGTATTTCTCGTTTCAGGATCCGGCCGATGGCGCTCTGTCTTCCCCTCTCGGTAAGGTAGGTACTCCAACGACCCCACAGGTCGTCGGTCAACCGTACTTTCTGGGCGTACCTGTAGGCACTTCGGGAGCATTCTCGCCTACGTGGTTCATCCCACACGGCCTTCTATTTTCGTTTGGCTTTAGTACCAGAGACAGACACCGAACCCATTTTTATCTTATTTAATTTTTTGTTTTTTGTTTTCCAACGCAGATTACCGGCGGCTAGCTTTCGTAGGGCTGTGTTGGTTAGCAGCATCAACCCTTTTCCAGTTCATCGCATCGCGTGCTTCCAGACTATCTGATCTGGAGGCGGTCAACCAGGTGCCCTTTCTCAGTCCACTGGGCCACGATCGACATGACGCTACTCTTATGCGAAGACGCGAACATCCGCGGAATCCGTACGAGAACCTGAAGATGCCCCAGACTTGACCCTGTGATGAGCGTGGGCAACCAACGACGACCATCGGCACTCTCATGTTTGCCTTGAGTTGTCGATGAATCCCTCAGCCCTCCCCCTTATCTCTAGTTACTGGCCTGGGGGTAAGAAAAAAGGATATCTCGCTTGTAAGGGTCATTATGTGTCTGGCGGACGTCATCACGAATGGCACTGACAGGATAATGCTGACAAGTTGCATGGCCGCTTACACCTGGTTTTCCCACTGGACATCAGACGACAGGCAACCTTGTTTGACAGCTTTCATGAAAAGCGGAAAGTTCGGACGAGCATGAAAGTTCAGACGAAACACCACCTCTCAAGGCCCGGAGGCATTGTCGACTCATGCCGCCATGTAGTTGACGGCATGAGTCCGAGGGGGACACCCCTGGCGGGACTACTGGCCCAGAGCCACGGAGACTCTCTGCGGGTCCGTGCAACGATAGATCAAAGGGGGAGGGCCAAGGGTTTTTGGTCAACCGCCGTGCCTGACGGGCACTCTTCAGTTGTGGATCCCAGGTGTAGACGGCGCCTCGAGACTCGAATGAGAGAGAGCCTGACGGCCTCCACACATTTCTTCTGTCCATCGAGTTCCACTTCACGGGCTGTTCCTGCATGGACCTCCACCCGCCCCCCCCATGGCCGACACTTGTTAGTACCTGGGCATTGTTCCCACCTTATTCTCTAGATGGAGAACATCAGCCCGGGAACCGTTGCTATTCGTCCACGATCAAGCAGGCGTTGACGAAGCATAACTGCCCGGCCGACTTTAACGGCCTGCGCGATGGCGCAGTCTAGCAAGGGGGTTTAAAGTTTCCACCCTTTTCCAGGATGGATCTCTGTTGAACCTTTCTTTCCTTGCAGCAGTGCCGCTTTGGAGGCCATGTGCACGGCAAAGGTAGTAAGTCGGTGGTGTGTATATACATACCTATCACCAGCATCGTCTGTCCTACTGAGACCTCTTCTCCCTAACGCCGCTCTCGCCGTCGAATTCACGAGCAGCCTCTTCGTTCCTTTCCTTATTCTTTCCATGTGTTATTTCTAACCACAGGCACAATTCGCTCGTTTCTTATACGTGCCTGATAACCACACTCGCTCATATTCGCTCCCGTCGAGCAACCACATTCATTATAACACGAGCAACTCGCTCCATACGCACTGCAATCGGACCAACATGGTTCGTTCAGCCGCTTACAAGGTCATTGCGGCCGCCTCTCTCTTTTCACAGCTCTCGTCCGCAGACATTACAGCCTGCCCGAACAATGAAGCCGTCTGGGAGACGCCTATTGGCGTCAAGTACACCGTCTGCCCCGGTTCCGACTACCAGCTCGGTGGTGGCAGTCTCCAGCTCGTCAAAGACGTCCAGTCCACCGTCGAGTGCGTCCAGATCTGCGACACGGATGCTCGCTGCAACAGGGCCGTCTACGACAAGGTGAACAAGCTGTGTCACGTCAAGAACAGCAAGAACCAGATGTTCTGGGCCGCGGACAACAACTTTGACGCCATCCGCATGACCAACGACTTTGCCGAGGGCACTTTCCTCGCCACCTGCCCCTTTGACGAAGCAACTTACCGCGTCCCCAAGACCAACGTCGAATACCGCGTCTGCCTCAACACCGACTACACCGGTGCCAGCGCCAAGATGGTCCAGGGCGTGACCACTATTCAATCCTGCGCGGAGCTCTGCTCGAACACCCAGGGCTGCAAGAAGGCCGTGTTCGACAACATCAACAACGTGTGTCACATCAAGGCTGCCGAGCCCGCGACATCCCTCTTCTGGGTCCAGAACAAGCAGTTCAGCACCATCCACGTCACCGAGAACATCAACCCGGCGGTCCAGGGAAGGTGGGGTGACCTCATCCGCCTGCCCTTGATCCCCGTTGCGGCCTACATCGTCCCGTCCTACCCCGAGCCCAGCAGGCTGCTGTTCTTCTCCTCTTGGGGCACCGATGCCTTTGGCGGCGCTTCCGGTAAGACGCAGTATGGCGACTACAACTTCGCCACGGGCGCCATCTCCCAACGCACCGTCACCAACACGCACCACGACATGTTCTGCCCCGGCATCAGCCAGCTCGAGGACGGCCGGATCATCATCCAGGGCGGCTCCGACGCCGAGGCCGTCAGCATCTACAACCCCGCCACCAACGAGTTTACCCGCGGCCCCGACATGAAGGTCGCCCGCGGCTACCAGACGTCGTGCACCCTCTCCAACGGCAAGGTCTTCACCATCGGCGGCGCCTACTCGGGCAAGCGCGAAGGCAAGAACGGCGAGGTCTACGACCCCGTCGCCAACACGTGGACCTACCTCCCCGGCGCCGACGTCAAGCCCATCCTGACCAACGACCACGAGGGCATCTGGCGCGAGGACAACCACGCCTGGCTCTTTGGATGGAAGAATGGCAGCATCTTCCAGGCCGGCCCCGGCAAGGACCAGCATTGGTTCGGCATCGCGGGCACCGGCTCCGTCACCAAGGCCGCCACCCGCGACACCGACGACGCCATGTGCGGCGTCTGGGTCATGTACGACGCCGTTGCCGGCAAGATCCTCTCCGCCGGCGGCAGCCCCGACTACACGGACAGCGTCGCCACTCAGCACGCGCACATCACCACCATCGGCGAGCCCAACACCCCCTCCACGGTCGAGCGTGTCGCTGACATGGCGTTCCCCCGCGGTTTCGCCAACGCTGTGGTGCTTCCCGACGGCCAGGTCCTCGTCACAGGCGGCCAGCGCAAGTCCTTGGTCTTCACCAACACGGACGGCATCCTTGTACCTGAGCTCTTCAACCCCGAGACCAAGCAGTGGAAGCAGATGGCGCCCATGGCCGTTCCGCGCAACTACCACTCCATGTCGATTCTCTTGCCCGACGCGACCGTCTTCACGGGCGGTGGCGGCCTGTGCTACCTCGCGACCATTGGCGGCTCGAGCGCCAACTGTGACAAGACGGTCGACCACGCCGACGGCGAGATCTTTGAGCCCCCCTACCTGTTCAACGCGGACGGCAGCCGGGCGGCGCGGCCCGTGATTTCGGCCATCGGCACGGAGGCCGTCAAGGCCGGCGCCACGCTCAAGTTCACGGTCGATGGTGTCGCGGGCCAGGGCAAGGTGACGCTGATCCGCACCGGTAGCGTCACGCACTCGGTCAACAGCGACCAGCGTCGCATCCCGCTCAACACGGTCCAGGTCAACGGCAAGGAGTACTCGGCCGAGCTGCCCAGCGACTACGGCATCCTGCTCCCTGGATACTACTACCTCTTCGTCTCCACGCCGCAGGGCACGCCCAGCATTGCGAAGACTGTGCACGTTATCTTGTAGAAAAATAGAAAAGAAGCGTCCTTGTTAGCGTCGGCGTCGAATTCCTCGTTTGGGAACTTGATTTAGGGAAAAGGCAGCATGATATCCAACACACATATACACACCTAATTAGATGCGAAGACAAGAATGCTAATGTCTACAACAATTGAGACTTTATCTGCAACTCGGTATGAGGAGGGGAATTTGCGGTGTATTTTGTCTTGTGGCGATTCACCATGTCACAGTGAAACAGAATGAGATTGCAGCAAACATGGTTGCGATGGTGTGGCTACTCGGCCAAGAGCCCGGCAACGAAGTGAGGTTGCAGTCGGGGGCCGAAATGGGGGTTTCCTAGACACGGTGCGGCCCAAGTTTAGAAGGACAGAAAGAGCCTCCCAATCTAGACGCGATCTCGCGCAATAGACCCATAGACAGACCCAAGTATTGAGCTGTCATCTGGCGAGAGCTGTGAGCTGTCCGGACTTGGCTTGCATCAACGGCATCAACGGCCGCTACACCGACAGAGGAGAAGCGGTCGACGTGCGCGCCAGGCCTGGTGGGCTAGGGAATAGGAAACAAAGCGGACGTTGACGGCTTATCGGACGCGATGCCGAAGACGGCCGAATTGGCTTCGGCCGTGCATGTCACCCCCCGTCTTGGTTGGGCAGTCTTCTTTTCGTCTCAATGGTCAGCAGCTGCGTAGGTACGTAGGTTTGAGGCGGCCGTTACGGCAGGAGCGCTCTCCGATGGGCGAATGACGACATGATGCATCTGCGGGCCCAGGCGGTGGGGAAAGGGCCTCACCACGCGACCACCCCATAAGACACTGGCTGGAAATATATAGGAGACCGCCCCCGTAGCGCGGTCGCGCCAGAGATCCAGCGTTTGTTTCAGCGGGGAAGACGGCGCTCTGCCACAGAGAACTAGGTGAGGGGTGTATTTCAGCCGAGATTCCCATGGTCAACATCGAGTTGAGTTCTCGTCTACTACAATAGGCAAACTGTAGCAGATGCACCATTCCTCGAAATCTGATACGTCGCCCCCCCAATGTCCATACATGCAACATCCTTCACATATTCCATCCCATCCTTCGCGGGCAACCCGCGTTCTCCAGGAACCGTTGGAGTCGCTAAAAACAGACCGCACACCTCGTGCCTCTTCTGGTAGGTAAGGTAGCAAGCTGGGTTAGAGCAGCCATGATCCCGACCCGCGGCCTATACTCGTAAATCCCCCCCACGTCGACCACTCAACTCCATACCTCTGGCGGACGCTCCAGTCTCGAAAAAAGAAGACGGGGAATGGAGAGAGGACGCAAGTCCAATCCCCTCCTCCTCTGAAACCCACTCCCGAGTTATCTCATGCTTGAAAACGGAGTGTGAGCGAGGTTGTGTGCTCGAGCGACAGAGAGGCCGTTCGCCGCCCCGCAAAATAAAGCCGATTCCATGTCTTCTCCCCCCCCCCGTTCCCCGTCCGTGATCCTCCCCTCTCATCCCCCCATGTTACGGAGGCGAGCAGCGAGAGCGCGAAAAATAAATAAAAGGAAAAAATAAAACATCAAAACATCAACAAAAAACATCGCAAACCAAACCACCCGCATCCTCGTCCCCTGCTGCCCATCCGTCCGTCTTCTCGGAGCCGAATCGCTTTATTTTCCCTTTCCAGCGACTTCTTGCACCATCGTCACCAGTCTTCTTCTTCTTCATCATCCTCCCTGCTTACTTCTTACCTCGGAGGCTTGGCCCCGAATCCGCACCGACTCGTCCTCCCGCCCTACCGAAACGGCACCACCACTACACGCACCAACGCCAACCACGCGCCCTCACTCATCGGCCGATCTCTGACCTCGTGGTTGCTTACGTTTTAAACTTGGCGCCGGCGTGACTACGCTTAGATCCAGCAACATCCAATTGTCCCTTTTTGTGTGTGAGATACAAGAGAAACCCGCCGCCACCAGAAAGGCTATTGTGGTGTCCATGTACAGAGGTACTCTCGTAGTATAGTACCATAGACGGAGCAGCCGCATCGTCGCCCAATCACTCCATACCGGGCGCACCTTTTGGGACCTCGAAACCACACGCTCATCTCACCTTGGCCTCGGAACCACATTATCGCAAAAAGGTCCCTCTTCCCCCTCCCCCCCCATCGAGGATTAGCACGACAGCCACTCCCGCCCGAGTGTGTGTTCCCCTCTCTTCTCCAACAAAACTCCCATTCTCGCCAACATTCCTTTCCCCTTATCTCCCTCACCGAATTCCAAAACTCCCTCCCCTAACAGGCTACCGCCTACCTCGGTCGCATCACCACCGAAACCCTCGACGTGACCGAAACCCGCCCGACTCCGCCCCCCCCCCCCCCTGACCGATCGACCGACCACCCCGAAAAGAAGCGCAACTCGCGCTCTCTTCTTCCCTCCCCCCCTTCCTCCCACAACCCCTTCGTCCTCCGAGATAGACGAAGAATGTCGTCCCTCGAGGCCAAAATCGTCGTGCTCGGCTCCCAGAATGTCGGCAAGACGAGCCTCGTCATGCGCTATTGCAAAGGGTCCTTCAACCCGGCCCAGACGACGTCGACCGTCGGCGCGAGCTTCATGACCAAGCGCGTCGTCGACACGGACACGGACACCATGGTGCGCCTGCAGATCTGGGATACCGGTATGTCGCACCCCTTGACGGGCTCCTGGTTTTCGCAACCACAAGAAACCTTGACTAACACTACCCCCTCTCTCTCCCCCAGCCGGCCAGGAACGCTTCCGCTCCATCTCGCGCCTCTACTACCGCGGCGCCAACGCCTGCATCCTCTGCTACTCCATCACCGACGCCCAGTCCTTCACCGAGATGGGCATCTGGCTCACCGAGCTCCGCCGCAACCTCCCCGGCGACGTCGTCCTGCACGTCGTCGGCACCAAGGCGGACATCGTCGCCCGCGACCCCTCCCGCCGCGAGGTCCCCTTTGAGCGCTGCATAGCCTACGTCGCCGAGAACCTCGCCCCCGGGCTGGCCTCGACGCCGCCGCCCACCGCCACCCCGAACGGCATGCCGTCGCTGCTCTCCTCCTCGGACCCGCGCCAGTCGTCGTCCCAGGTGCACCAGAGCACGAGCACGTTTGGCGGCGGCGGCGGCGGCGAGCCGCGGAGCCCGAGCTCCAAGAGGTCGTCGGGGTTCTGGGGCCAGGAGGTCGGCTGGGACGCGTGCCACGAGATCAGCGCCGAGAGCGGCGAGGGCGTCGAGGAGGTCTTCCGCGTCGTGACGCGCAAGCTGGTCGAGCAGAACCGCAAGATGCAGCAGGCACTGCTCATGGCCACGGCCACGCCGGGCACGCCGGGCTACGAGACGGGCATGGACGGCGGCTACTTTGACGGCATGAACCCGCGGGGCAGCTTCCGCGTCGGCCGCGACCGCCGCAGCTGGCTGTTCTCGCCAAACTTCTCCCCGGCCGTCACGGTCGAGCAGGGCGGCACCGAGCAGGACGCCGACGAGGCCGACGGCAAGGCGCGGAGGAAGTGCTGCTGAGAGCGGGGGCGCAAAGAGACGTATGCCGTTCCGGGGGGGCGACCTGGAAATGGGCGTCCGCCTGGTCTGTTGTTCTTTTGCTCGCATCTCCGGCATGAAACTCTGGCGGGGAGAGAGAGAGAGAGAGAGAGAGAGAGAGAGAGAAGGAACTGGCGCCGGGGACGACCGGCAGAAAGAGGGGACTTGATGAGCATTTCTTTCTTACTTTGCATCCCGCATGACACGAGCAGATGGGGGGAACTGATGGAAACGGGAACGAAACGATGGGATACCCCCGAACGCACGACGGCCACGCACATGTTTTCACTTTTGGCATTCCTCTTGCACATGGGATGCGTCAGAGGGAGTCGGCGAACGACGGCAACCCGGACTGGCACCGGGATACACTTAATCACACAACACCACCGACTGACACGAACACGAACATGAACACGACACACGTCTTTTTTCTTTTCTATTTTTGCGAAAGGGGAGGAAAGGGCGGCTAAGCATGGTGCGACGGCGTTTTCCGGGCGACATTGCAATTACGGGTATGCTCTTTTCGGGATCACGGCACATGGAAAGGGACTCTTGGTTTATTTTTGTTTTTTTGGCTTTTTGGGGCTTGACACGGGTGGTTTTTTTACGATGCGCACGCACGCACGTCGATGGGAGGGGCACGAAGGTCTTGTTTCTCTTTTCGTACGAGACGCATTCACTGGTCTATTGATACTCAATGTTTTTGTTCTACATGGAAAGGGGGGGAGCGTCATCTCTCGCAAGAGGGCATTGCTCATTGTATTTTCTCTCTTCTCAGGACTTCATTTGCAGACGTGGAGAGGTTCTTCCTTTGGTTCTGGTTTACATCGTTTCCATTGCGGGGGGGCATTTTCTTTGGCGGGGGTAAACCGCCTGCAGCCTGCACTCTTCTTTCTTCATTGGCATCATGGCTTCTTCGTGTCCTGGCCGCATCTAATACCAAACCCATTCGCGCTCTGCCAAATCTTCATGACTTCCACTCCGTGCCTCACGCCCGGGACGCGCCGCCACCCTGCTGCTGCGCCTGCACCTGCGCCTTCTTGGACTTGTCCACGTCGTCGTCCACGACGGGCGCCGCGGGGACGTCGACGCCGACGCGGTACTCGAGCCCGATATACGCGTCGCTGACGACGATGACCTCGAGCTTCCTGCCCTGCGCGGCCTCGGGGACCTTGAGGCTGGCGCGGGCCGAAGGCTTGGACCCGACGGCGACGCTCCTTCCGGGCCCCTGGGACCAGCCGGCGCGCTTGACGGCGATAACCTCGTCGTGGGCCGGGTCGGCGAGGACGACGAACCAGCCTTCGTTCTGAGGCTTCGGGAAGCGGGGCGCGTAGACGTGGGCGTCGCGCTCCGTTAGCGGGTTCAGCCGGCGAAGGTCGACCGAGACGGACAGCGCCGTGGCCTCCGGGACGGAGACGGCAAGGTTGGGGAGCTGGGCGACGGCCTTTGCGAAGCGGGGCTGCTGGTGGGCCGGCACGGAGAGCTGCTTCGCCAGGTTGGAGACCTTGCCTGGGGAGGCCAGGGCGGCGATCTTGGCGAGTGTGAGGTTGGACTTGTCCGACTTGAGGGTGTCCACGCCGACGCCTGGGAGGATGGAGGCCGGGTGGTCGGTGGGCCAGCGGGCGGACTTGATACACTGCAGAAGCTTGACGAACTCGAGGCAGGTGGTCAGGTGGCCCAGCTCGGTGGTGACGTCGATCGAGGCCTGGATGATACGGATGGCCTGATCGAGGACGCTGGTCTGGTCACCGACGTAATCGGTGATGGGGAGAGAGATGCGCGACATGTGTGCCTGCAGCAGGAGGAAGGCCTTCACATGGGGGTCCCACATGGGCAGGCCGAAGGAGCTACCCGGGAAGAGGAGGTTGCGCGAGAGCTCTTCGTTGATAAGATCCTCGTTGTGGCGGACGGGGAGCTCGTCGTACTCGGTGGCGCGGGACATCCACGAGAGCACGTCGAGGAATGAGGCGTGGGCCTTGACGTGCTTGACGAGGTGGCGGACGGTGATGTGGGAGAGGTAGTAGTAACTCATGATCTTGCCCATCGGGGTGGGGTCGACGTCGCCGTTGGGGAACACCTCGACGCAGCTGGACTGCGCGAGCTCATCGAGGGACTTGTCAATCATGTCAATCATGTAGTCGTTGGCGAGCGTCTGCGCGGCGATGCTGTTATGTTCCTCGGCCGAGACCTGGAGGCCGTAGTACGACGGGTTCTTGTGCAGGCGGCGGAAGAAGAAGGTCCACGTCAGGTAGTCCAGGGCGTCCTGCTTCGTCACAATGGTTTCGGCCGAGACTTCGGCGCACAAATGGTTGTCGAGCACCGTGTGCAGGGACGACTCGACGGGGAAGCCGGTGTGGAGGAAGTGCTTGTAAAAGTCCTTCTTGGCGTCCTTGGTGAAGATGCGGGCCACACCCGAGTTGTCGAACTGCGGACGGCCAGCTCGTCCTAACATCTGGAGGACGTCAGTCAGGTCCATGTCCTTGTAGCCCTCGATCTTGGCGTCGTAGAACTGCGTGCCCTTGACGACGACGAGGTGGGCGGGTAAGTTGACACCCCAGGCAAGGGTACTGGTAGCGACCAGGATCTGAATCTTGTTGTTGAGGAAGAGTTCCTCGGCCAGCTGGCGGTCCGATTCGACGAGACCGGCGTGGTGGAGCCCGATGCCAAAACTGATGGCCTCCTTGAGAGCGTCATCCTTGACTCTGGCAAGGTTGAGCTGCAGGTCGTCTTCGTCCATGTGCAGGAAGCGGCGGGGGTTGTCTTCCATGCCGCAGTAGTTGATCAGGTCCTTCGCAGTCAAGCGTGTCTGTCTGCGAGAGGGTACAAAAACAATGACGGGCTTGTCGGGGCTGTGTGTCTTAATTGCCAGAAAGGTTGGGCGGTTCATGGACTGCATCAACGGGCAGAAGCCCCTGGTTTCAGGGAAACCGTCAATGTAGAGCTCCAAGGGGACGGGGCGGACGGAGTGTCTGAAGTTGAACAGTCCCTCCTTGACGCCGAGCCAGTTGCCCAGATCCGTGGCATTGGCGCACGCCGTCGACATGCCGAGCAAGCGCACAGAGTTCTTGATGGATGCCGCGATGTAGTTCATGCCTAGAGTGGTCAGCAGCTTGGACTGTGAGAGATGGTGGCTTGCACTTACGAGAAACGATGATTTCCAGAATCGGACCACGATCACCAGCCAGCAAGTGGATCTCATCAATGATGACGAGGCTCACTTGACGTACGTAGCCTCTCGTCTGCCAGCTACGAGAGATACCGTCCCATTTTTCAGGCGTCGTAATGATGATATCGGCATCTTTAATCGTGCGAGTGTCGGGAGTGTTGTCACCTAGGAGACGTCAGCAAGGGACCGAGGTCAGCATCACGCAATCCATACCTGTCAGTTCGACCAGCTTCAATCCTAGAGGCCGAGCAAGCCTAGCTCCCCAATCCTTTACACGCTCACGTACAAGGGCTTTCATGGGCGCGATGTAGACCACTTTGGATCCTGGCCTCTCCCTGAAAGCCCACCACATGGCCAGCTCTGCCGCGACGGTCTTGCCACTACCCGTGGGGGAACCGAGGAGGACGTTGGCAGGGGTGTGGTATAGAGTGTGGAAGATTTGCGTCTGCATGGGGTTGAAGAACTGGAAACGCTTCGCGTAGATCTCCTCGAGGGCCGGATTCTTGAGCGCGCTGATGGGCAGCGGTTGCAAGTTCAGGAGGTCAGTGTACACACTCTCCGTGTCGGGGCGGATGAGATGCTGGAAGGAGACAGGCGCCACCGTCTCGGCACCGAGCCATCGGTCAGAGACCGCCCGCACATAGATCTGAGTCGGCAAGGGATCCGAAAGCGGGATGGTGAAATTGAGCTCGTGATCATCGTAAAGTTTTCTCCTGTTGAGAATAAAGAACTCGTGATGGTAAATCTCCGAAGTCTCAGAGTTTTCAACCCAGATGTAATACGATTCGGAGGTTCCATGAGTGTGGTCGTTCCACCTGAAGTCGGGCTCGATGAATAGCTTGATACGAAGAACATCGCGGTTGAGAGGAGCGATCTCGGCCTCGACACTGACCGTCGGAAAGTTGTTAAGAATGTGGGCAATCTTCTTGCCAGCACTCTGGTTGTGAACGAGAGCGCCAATTTCCGCAGCATCCATGTCTCTCATTGCTTCGATTGACATGTTGTCCTTGGCGTCAAGCTGATTGAAGACGGATTTGGGGAAATCGAACTGGTGCAAGGGATGCTGGAACGGCCAGATGCGCTTCTCAATAGACTTGGCAAGGGTAAGCAGAACCAAGCACTGGTGGCCCCATCTCCTATTCAAGGCGATCATGAACAGAGCTCTGCAGATACGGCCAGCCTGCTGAGCAACATAGTTCAGATCGTTTCCAAGAGCGAAGTCTTCCGGTTGAGCCCTCGAGATGTATGCCTGCAGCAGAATGTTCGTCTTTGCCTGGGGCGTGTCGATGCCGCCGTCAACGTCACAAGGCACAACATCGTGTCTCAGACGGGAGAGCTCCTTCTCCTCAGAGTCTCTGGACTGGATATTATCAAACTCTCCACTCATGCTGATCATCTTGAGAATGTCAGCTTCGGTGGCCATAGGGCGCATCATGGTGTTGAAGATCTGGATACTGGTGTGCAAGATGTAGTACTGGCTGGCAATGCGGCCAATGTCCTTGCTGCGAAGCTCCTCAGTCACCTCGTTGAAGATGATCATCTGGCTCTGCTGTAAAGTGCGGGCTGCCTGGATGGCCAACTGGCGCCGTCTCTGGACGAGCGTAGGGTCGTCTCTGATCTCAGCCCACTCAATGCCGTAGCTCATGGGGCTCCTCTGCATGCGGACAAAAAGGTACGAGTATCCAATCCACTGGACAGCCTCGGGAATCGACGTGACTGTTCCCAGGGCGATCTCAGCGTTTAAGTTGTCGACTAGTTTCGTGGAGAACTTGGACTCAATGGGCTGCTGCTCCGTGACAGTCGTCAGGTAGTGATGGAGTCTGTCCTGCGTGGTGCAAATCATACCAATACCAGTGTCCTCGAACTGGGGACGACCAGCACGACCGAAAATTTGCAGGACGTCGAGAATACCGAGATCAACGAATTTACCCTCCTGTGCACTATACACTTGGGTTCCCTTGATCACGACAGCGGCTGCGGGCAAGTTCACACCCCAAGCAAGAGTTGCCGTACAGCAGAGAACTTTGATGACGCCTTCACCAAACAACCTTTCCATGAGGTTTCTGTCGGAGCGTGCCATACCGGCATGGTGAACTCCCAAACCTTTGGGGATCAGTTCCCGCAGATCACGCGCCTTGGATTGTTTCATATCTCGGACCGCGTTCTCGTAGTTGGGGTGGCCAGTGGGATCAAGCAAATCCACACAGAAGTCCTCAATGGCCTTTTCGTGGAGCATCTTGGCGGTGAGAAGAGTATCTCTTCTCGAGTGGACAAAGACCATGATTTGGTGACCTCTTTGGAGCATGTCCCTGACTTTTTCGAAAGCCACTTGATCCAGGTTTTCCTTGGACTGCTTCGACCCAGCTTTGCCCTTGACACCGATGAAGTGCTGCTCTAGCGGGACGGGACGGAAAGAGGCGTCAAAGTAGAACATGCCGGCGTGTCGATTTACTTTGAGGAAGTCGGCAACATCCACGTAATTCGGAAGCGTGGCACTGAGACCGACGATACGAATCAACGATTGGGTGCTCTCAACTTGACGTTCGGTTCTGGCGACGAGCGATTCCAGGACAGCACCACGCTCATCGTGAAGCATGTGAACCTCGTCGATGATGAGTAGACGGACCTTCTGCACCAACTCGGTGTCGCCGGTTCCCTTTCTTGTGACAACATCCCATTTCTCAGGGGTGGTGACGATGATCTGGGTTTGGACGATCTCAGCCTTGGTGAGGTGCATATCTCCAGTGAACTCTCGGCACTTGATACCGAGCCATGCCAGGCGCTTGCCGAGCTTTTCGGTGATTTCAGCCGCCAGAGCTTTCATCGGAGCAACATAGACGATTTTGAAATCCTGCGTTTCGACAGCGAAATCCGCGACAGTCGGGTCTTCGATAGGATTGGGGGTGCAGTAGTGGCCAATGGTTTGCAGGATTGTAAGCATGGCGGCATCCGTTTTACCCTACAACAACACATCAGTATCTTATGGCGATCGTCGCGGCACGAAGTGACTTACAGCACCAGTAGGAGCACAAATGAGCATGTTCTCGTTCGTTCTGTATGCCACTGGGTGCACCAGACTTTGCATGCGATTGAGGGTCTTGTAGCCCTTGAATGTGCCGCGACAAAGACCATCCATCTCTGAGATCTTGACCAGCCTCTGACCTGGGCCCAAGACGCCCTTCTTTCCTGCTGGAATGGCATACTCCTCGTACTTCTCGAACTGAAGCCTCTCGCTGCCGGTCGGGAGGGCATACTTCTTTCCAGAGTGGCTAAGAGAATTCCCGGCGTTGTATGCTTTGTACACATGGGGATATTGGACCTCTCGGGTCATGGCGGGCGCGAGAGACGCACTCTTGTGTTCGTGGTCCTGTCGTCGCAATGCCTCTTCACGTTGTGCCTTGCTAAGAAGCCTCCCCTTGGATTCCTGGGACCCCTGAGACGTGACAGCCGTTACAATGTCGTTGCGATGACCAAGCAGCTCGATGATGAACTCAAAATCGTCGAAACCGATGAGATCGGCGAGCTGAGACTGGAGCTCCTCATCACCCTGGCCAGAGGTCAAGACGCTCAATATTTGGTTCTGGAACACATCGTCGGCCAGACCGTTCTTCGCAGCTACAGCTGAGCACTTGCCAGCGAACCACGCGGCGCCGTAGGGCGCGTCTCCATTAGTAGCACCGTGAGCGTCGAGCTGGTCACTACTGTAGTCGTCGTCTTCGTCATCTGAGATAAAGTCCCAGACGTCCTGCGCGCCGCTCCCGGAGGAGTATCCCTCATAATCGTCGTCGAAGTCCACATCAGAGGGCGGTTCTGAAGGGAGCTTCAGGCCCGCCAAGGCGGTCTTCATGGCCTCGAACTGAGCCCGCCATTGGGCCTCTGCGTTATCGAGATTGGCCGACGCCATTTTGCGGTTGTCGACGGGTACTGAGGGATTTCGATGTTTGGTTTCGAGTATAGAAACCAGGTGGTTCAAGCTTCCTCCCAGTGCTCATATAAATCCGTCAGCGACGTTGAAATGTCAAGCTCACTAGCGCTGCAGTTGGGGTCTTGGAGGAGTCATTCACCGAGTCGCCACGGTTGGTGGGGCAAAAATGGAAGGTATGTACAGTGCGCAGTGTTCCTGCAGCCGCCAATCCCCTGTCATCTTCAGTGTCGGTCAGCGCTGGCATTATGGGAATTCGTTGCACCCGCATCCAATGACGTCCGTCTTTGGCGGGGTTCGTTGTCACTCTTGTTCGTCGATCCCTCTTTGTACACACATACACTACACGCACACAGGCTGACCGCCACAGCTGAGGACGGAAAAGGCGCCCGACCGAGCCTCCGAAGCCGTGGCGACACGGTCGAGACCCAGACAGGCTGCCACAATGCTTTATTCTCCCCCCTTCCAGGCAGGTGAAGCAGGTGCCTCGGCGGACCCAGCCAGCCTAGTAGCGTGCGTGCCTAGACCACATAAAGTCATTTTAGAGTGATGCGATGCCCGGACGCACAGAGGTACCTTAATGCCTTAGGGTACCTAGGTAGATAAGGTACCCCTAGAGATTATTCTGCAGCCTGAAGGGGCAGCCCACTGAGCCAAGTTCCCTGGTGGGTGGTGCGTGGGTGGTGCGTGGGTGGTGCATGTGATGTATCACTGCCCCGGGCCAGTGTGCCAATGGTACCCGTAAACCTTGACGTCGCCGAGACGAATCGTTCTCCATCATCCTCCTCCAACTTGAGCGTCCCCTTTCTCCATTTTCCATCTCAATTCCTACGAACGCCACGACCTGCCCTCCGCCGCCCACGATAAAACAAATCTGCCCCGGAACCCCGACAACTCGATTCCCTGCGAACCGCGACGACAACCCACGATTGTATACACCACTACCCCTCGTGCCCTCCCCTGAAAATCCGCCGTAAGTCGCAGCCGGATCTTCCCCCGCCCAGACCGCTTCCATAGCCATAGCGAACAAACGACCACGACGACTAACGTTCATACCTCGTCAAGACAATGAAGTTGCACTACATCGGAGTACGTCTTTCTTCCCGCTTCGTCCTATCTGCGCGGTGGATTGATTGCGAATAAGCCCGCCTGTCGCCGTGGCGCTTCAATCTCGACATGTTGCTGACGTTTTTGCGCCCCGCGTAGATCCTTCGCAATGACAGCAAGCCCGCCGTCGAGCTGTGCAGCGAGATGGAACTGTCGGCATACTCGAGATTTACTAGGGGTTGGTACACCACGGTGCGCGAGGGAGGTGCCTTCGCTACGAACGGAGCGCCCGCTTGGAGCCTACACCCACCTCGCGATCGAATTGGACTGACGATGCTGTAGGGAGCTACGCTGAGTTCATGACTCTGTTTTCTAAGAAGGTCGCAGAGTCGACACGCCCTGGCCAGAGGCAAGACATCGAGGAGGGCGACAACACGTTCCACTGCGTGGGAAGAAGCGAGGGTATCTGTGGCGTGTAAGTCGACGGGCCTCCTCTCCGGATCCGTCCCTAAGGGGTGTGTATCTGCGAAAGTCCAAGAGGATGATATTAACGGTTCCGTTGCAGTATCATTTCAGACCATCAGTACCCGAGTCTAGTCGCTCATCAGCTGCTCTCCAAGATGTATGTTCAACCGCTGGCCAACCGCCAAGCCTCTCCAACCGAGTAGGACCATGTACTGACCGAACCACCAAGCGTTGACGAGTTCCTCACCAAGCACCCCCGCTCCACGTGGGCGACAGGCGAGCCCAATCTCGCCCTCCCCGAGCTCAAGGAGTACCTCACCAAGTACCAGGACCCGCAACAAGCCGACTCCATTCTCAAGATCCAGAAGGAGCTCGACGAGACCAAGATTGTGCTGCACAAGACTATCCAGAGCGTTCTGGAGCGTGGTGAGAAGATTGACGACTTGGTGGCCAAGAGTGATGGCCTGAGCTCCCAGAGCAAGATGTTCTATCGTAAGTCGTCGTTCAGACGTACTGTTTCACATCGCCCAGAAGCTGACCCCCCTCACAGAGCAGGCAAAGAAGCAAAACTCATGCTGCATCGTCATGTAAATCCGGCCAACTCCCTCGAGCCTCTCTCATGTCCTTATTTGGTCATTTCATGTCTGGCGTTGGAACCCCCTTTGGACTCGTTTCAGCATAAACGCTCGCTCTGGTCACGCTCGCTAGGCTGTTTTCCCGCAAGCAAGAACGTCATTGTTTCTCTTTTTGCAAGAAGTTCCTTTCTCTGGAGGAGGAAGGGCGTGTTCATATATTCCACCCTACACGTGCAGCAACGGTTTCGGGTAGTGACAAGGGACGATGGTTCAGGATTAATACAATTCTTCCGTAGCGAACGTCACAGAGACTGTCCCAATTTGAGACACGGGCTATCCCGAGCGTGAGACATTGCACGGCAGTTGACTTGCACTCCTGCAACTTCCAAGATCCGGCCTCGATGGAGACGGCCATGTCCGTACTGGCTCGTTCCAGAGGACACCCCTTTCTACTTGCTGCCTCAATGCCGTCTGATACTGCTGGATGGCATCGTCAGCGCGGAAAAGACGATCGCCATCGGTTGTGTCAGCCCTACCCCATCCTCCTAGTAATCAGTCCGGACACGAGCCATCGACCACAACTCTCTACACTAGATTCGCGGGCACGCCAGAATGCGAACGCTCAGGAGAGCCAGGTATTCCTTGTCAGAGTCCCCAAGCCGCGCTGAACCCACACGGCATGCCTGGGATTCAAGCCTTCTGTGTACCAACCGTCGCTGAGTGAGAGTACTCTTACGGGGATGTTCAACCGAATTGCACGAACTGCTCCGCCTCGAGAGCGGTACACCAGGAATCAAGGTTGAGAGTATAAAAATATGCGTGCGATGTGTAAATTTAAGCTTTACGATTATCCAAAGGAACAAACTCCCAAAGGCTTTCGTGTCAGCCTTTCTTCTTCATTTCAGAGTAACTTGCCGCTGATCTGACCAGGGAGCGCAAGAAGAAGAAGACAAAAAAAATTGGACAGATGTTTTCATCCCATCCACCAACGCGCCGCGCCGCCTCCGTGTCTCCTTCCCAACAGTGGTATCGATGCGGAAAACTCGAACCCTCTAGGGGCCGTGTTGTGAACAACAAATGAGACGAATGAAGAGTATCGCCCAGATAGCCCGTAAAAATACATGTTTCGTTGCTTCGCTTGCAAGAGGGAGAAGAGCTTTTTGCTTTTTCTGTCTGATGCCTCCGCCCAACCATCCACACAGCCCGCCCGCAAACTCATGATGATCTCTCTCCGAAAACGCATAGATTCAGACGTGGAATCAGGTATACCAAGGTTCACCTCCCCAAGAAAAGATACGTCGTCATCCATTCCAATCATAGTCAAACAATGGTCCTCCAGAATAATAGGGTAAAAACATGAGAAACAAGGTGGAGTAAGGGAATAAGTGGGTGACTGCTGAGAACGTGGTCAAAATGACAAAGGGTGGTGGTGCCAAATGTGGATGGCGAAGCCGGGTCGCCATCGAAAGAGTGGACGAAGGGAAATATGAAGAGTGTCCGAAAGATGACTAGTGTCGTAAACATCACATGGAAACGTGTCGGTGCAATTACGCCTACTCGCCCTCGACGATGATGCGTTCGCTCTTGCGGTTCTGCGCAATCTGCTGCTCAAACGTCTCCCCGGAGACGATGAGCGTCGGAGTGGAGCTCTTTGTCGACGACAAACGCTCGTTCCTGCCAACTGTGATGGTCGACGCAGGGCTCCCGAGGGCAGAGCTGGCCGCGCCGCCGCCGACGCGGACGGCCTTGGGCTTCAGGGGCGGAGCATCTGGCGTTGCTGCCGCGAGATGCTAATCTGCCTTGCGATGGAGATCTCCACGGCGGCACGGAGCGCGTCGTCGGGCTCCGACCCGTCAAAAGATGGCTTTGTCATGTGTGTCTGGACGGACGACACCGACGCGGGGGAATGATCCTTTGCGCTGGGCGCAGCGCTCGAGGGAGCGGTCGAGTTGGATGGCGTGACCATCTGCCACGCAGGCTCGTAGATGGTCGGCTTCAGCTGCTCTGTTAGGTGGATTTCCTCGAATTCGTCATCAGTGGTGGGCGACTCGAGTGTGAGGCCCGAATGTTCGGGGTCGAAGACGATTTCTCGCGCAGCGGGCTCCGGCGGTTGATGGGGTTGGCGACTTCTCGTCTCGGGTGACGGGGTCTTCCTCCTCGCGGCTTCTCGGTGCGTTTCTGCGGGTGCGAAGCTTGCCCTTTGTGGGGATGAGAGCAAGGCGGGCGACGTGTTCGAGCGGTATCGGGGAGATTGGGGAGGGTTGTTCGCCGACTCTGAGGGAGTTGCTGGAAACAGTGAAAGCGAGAAGGCCGGTGACTTGAGCGGCTGTGGTGATGTCACTCTGCGGCCCCTGGTCCGATCTCTGTCCTCCTCTTCCTTGATGACCTTGTCGTTGATTGTCTTCAGTCTGTCCAGCGTGGCTTGCCGCCTCGCCAGAAGCGAGGATGCCATTTGTGATGCATGCTGCTCTGCCGTCGAATCATGCGATCCTTGTGGTTGCCCCAAAACGTTACCAAACATGACACTGTAACGTTCCATCTTGATGCTTGGGATCTCAACGTTCAAGAAACCACCCGAAGGCTTCGGCGGCAACGCCGGCACTCCCATCGACACATGCACGGGTGCCGAGATATCAGACTTCTTGACACTTCGTGTTGATCGCGTTGATGCCATCCTACTCAATAGTTTTGGGCCCTTGGAGTCTTTCGGACTTGGGGCGCTACCGGACCGGTTGTGTGTGAGCGGATCATTGGCGGCTTGCTGTCTGCCGGCCTCCTTTCCGTGTTCCGTCTTCCCAAGTCACTGGCCTGATTACTCGTCGGTAAACTATCGAAGTCTGTCCCGTTGGCTGGTGATTGCTGCAGGTTCATGGGTTGAGAGATGGCAACGGGGGACGATGCCAGTCTCTTGCTCTTCGAACGCCCGAACAGTTTCCATCTTCCTGACTTCTGTTTCGGTGCCGGCGAAGGTTCCGGTGCTTCCTGCGGTGGTTCCGGCGAGGCCCTGATCATGCTGGTGCTCATGCTGGATGCCTGTGGTTGCCAATCGTTTCTCGTTGAGGGGACCGGCGATGCCAGGAACTCGCGGGACGCAGTGAACTCGGGCGGCGGGTGTGTCGGGCTCCCTATCGCCATGCCTATTGCGATCGTTCCCATGTTGCTGTCCATGGAGTCTGGTGTCTGTGTCCTGACGGTGAATGTGCGCGCGGGCGAGAAGTCGTGTGAGAAGTCGCCGGGACTCTCTACTGGGGACGCTGGGTTGTCCCGTATCGGTATGTGATATGACTTGTAACCTCCTCGAGCCGAAGAGTGAGGCCTGACGTACATATCATCTTTGGACATGCGTCTATCAAAGGTCTTGAAGCTGGCCGTGCTGTAGTTATGAGGCAAAAGACCCCCGCTAGTGCTCGGCCGCTCAGCCATGGTCGATGATGCCTTGGAACGAGGAGGTGTGGGCAGAGGGCGATGGCGGTATGTGTTACGAGTTTCAACGGCAGCAACGGCGGCGGCGTCGGCCTCGGCAGCATCCTCTGGAAAGAAGGGCATGACCTCGTTTTGAGAAACGCCCGAGTCTTCCTTGGTCTGTTGGAAACTTGACACAAGACCCGGCGACCCCAGGACGGGGGACTCTGGACCGTGCGTCTGCGCACCACTGGGGGGCCTCCACCAATCCTCATGCTCTTCATAGATCTGGAACGATGGACCAATTTGAACATGCTCCCGTAATAGTGCAGGAAGGACTGCACAATGCTGGCGCCTAGCCAATCCTTGTTGACAGGGCTAAACAGCAAGAACTGGGCTGGCTGCCGAGGACGTGGAGCGGGGTGATCGGTTTCGAAAATGGAGTTGATGAGAAACGGTTGCAGAACTAGTAGAACCGAAGGATTAGAAAGAAAGCTGTCAACCACCCGGCTGTGGAGGCAGGAGTATGTGTGAGGGAGAGAAGAAGGAGACTGTCAATTCGTAGATGGAACGAAAAGAGACCGAAGACCCGATGAAAAAAGAGACCCCCGAGCCCATATGCAGAGAACAGGAGAGGACCCAGACAAGGGTACACTGACTTAACTCTACTTTGATATCATTCCCTCTGATTTTGCCTCTGCAGGGCCTACTCAGAGCCCAGAAGCCCTCGTTTTCCCACCCCCAGCACGCGACTCGCAACTTGGTCGCCTGTTTGAGATTGATAGGACGGATATTTTAGGGGGGGGGGCAGATCAACGCAAGGATGATGAACCTGGACATCCTGTCCATGGGGTGGCCTGTGGATCAAGGGTCCCGGTTGTTTTTGAACGACAAGTCACGTATCTTCTGCGGTTGAGTGGAGGTCTTACGGTTTCGTGTGTCAGACTAGCCAGAACTGTAGGGAGCACGGCTGCGAAGCATGATTAACGGAGTCGTCAGCTGCGTGGTAACCGAGAAGCCCAGAAACTCTGGATGGTCTGAATGTGTTCTGACACTGCCGTGCGGCGTGCGCTCCCGGGTTGGCTGAGAGGGTGGAAGGGGTAAGGGAGGGGCCTGGAAGCTGACAGCTGATGAGTGAGTGCTTATTCGTGAATAGCCTCAAATGACTCCATCGCAGACGCCACGGGCGGTTCCCGGCAATCTCCAGTCTGGAGCTACTCATCACGGAGCTCATCAGAAGCAATCTGAAGCCTAATTGACGACGCCCACATGCCTTGATGGTTGATGTGTCCACCCCGTCGTATCGCGCCGTACCTTACCGCCGGAGAGAGAGAGAGCTAAAGAGCCCAGAAGAGAGGGATTCGAGAAGGATGGAAGAAGAGGGAGGGTCGCATCCGTGCTTGGTCTGCGGGACATCCTTGGGAGGCTGGGCTACCCCGGCCCGGGGTGCGCAAGCTTCAGGGCCGTCCCTGTCTTATTGCACGTCTTTTCGCCGTGGTTTACGCCCCCGTGGCCACAGACGCCGAACAAGCCTCATCTATGATGGAAATCGATCCGCAACGCTGGGGGAGAGTGCCACAGCTTTGATGCAGCTTGGACCGTTGTTGACGTCGCCGTCAACCCATCCAATGGTCCCAAGAGCATGATTGCACTGCCGGGATCCGAATCGACTTTGGAAGATGGGACTGGCCCAGCCCCGAAAATGGGTCATCTGGGAGCCGTCCACTTTGTTGCCTGGTGCCGCCAAGTGGTTTGCCCAACGGCGAACAGGCCGAAAAATTGCTTCATTTGAAGCTCAATCTCCCAGTCGATGCAGCCAGCGAATGAGTGGCACGACGTTGCAGTCGCGGATCCTCTCCGCACTGCTGGCTAACGACGCCCTGCCCGCGCATATCCCGATCCCCCACTGTGACATCAAACGGGCCTCTGGTTTTAAAATGAAAGGATCAGAGACGTTGTCGCTCATCCCGCATCCCACCAACCAATGTCCACAATCAAGGAATTAACCTTCTCACACAGGCTCTGTCTGCCCAGCGTGACGCCAGCGCTGGCTGCTGTAATTTTCTCAAATCTTGCTTGTTTCCTGGCACATTTCCCACCGCTTGTTGGACCCATCGCCTTGCAGGTGTCTTAGTCTCGTGAGACGGGCATAATAACCCGTTATGTTCCATTATACGACCATGCAATTATACTGCGAACACGATGCGCATCGCTCGCAACTCCTGGAAGTTGCTGAGATGGGAGACGCTCTCAATTGCGCGAGATTGGTGGTTTGCAGAAATAATTACGGCATGAGTCTCTCGCCTAAGGGGTCATCGTTTGGGGGAATTTGGGGACGACACACCCTAGTGCTTCGTATGCGACCTGCTGCCCAAATCGACGGTTTGCCCAGGCATCCAAGAGGGGCATGCGATGGGTGACGCATTGATAACAAGGTGTCGTATTGAAACAGAGTTCCAGGGACACGGAGCGCTGTCGCTTGGCATCGCCGAATACTGGAGACGTTGTTGTTTTTTAACAAGTCTTTGGTGTTCAGTTATATACTGCAACGTTTGGGCCTTGTCGCCGACAAGCCAGCCGGCCTTTCTCGATCCATGGTACCTAGACCCGTTGTCGAGTGATATCTGGCTCCGAATTACATCAAAGGATCGCTGTACATCGAAGAGCTCTGTGTGGCGAGGCCGACCAGGTTGAGACGTAGACGGGAGCGAGAAGAGAACCGGAGGTGCGGCAAGACTGCTCAGCGACCGAGTTTCAACTGTGTCGACCAGGGTTCGCCAATCGAATGATCGTCTCAAGATTGCAAATCCACCAGCGAATCTCACATGGCCAGAGGGTGGACGAGGGCCTTGCAATTGGCGAGAAGAAAATGTTCCGGCATTCCGATTGCTTGTTGGTGATTTCGCTTCTGCAAAGATACCAACCCGCTGCCCCTGAAGGCGTCGTAGCCAGACAGGCCCTTGCTCTGTACTGCAACATGCTCTTGCGCCAAGAGGTAAGCACAATGCCATCAAGAGGCAAAATTGGTTTAATGGACAGTAAACCGTTTCCGGAAAGTTCGTCTGAAGTGACTACTCGTATCCTTCTTGTTTTGCCCTTGATGTGCAGTTGCTCGTGTAGCCAGCCTTCAAACCGCTGGCTTGCAGGAGCATTTCGCTGTTGACCTGTGCTGAGTGGTTGGAAGACGACTTAGTCCGGCTACCTCAAGGTTCGAAATCGGATTGCGCTAGGCGTACCGCGACCGAAACGAAGGGACAAAAGTCAAGTTCGGTTTCTTTAATTCTTTATCTTGTTCTTCTTCTTCTTTCTCCCCAGTACTCCTTGATTCATGTTGCAGTCGCGTAAGTTCTTCTCCGTCGATGGGCTGAGCGATTCGACCATCTAAAGATGAAGATCTGGGGTCCTAATGGGACGACCAGAGACCACGTCGATCAAGTAAAGTTGAGACACCAGCGATCCGTTGTACAATCGTAGGCGCCCTAGACGACGATCGATTGACAGTGTAGCATCCCGTGAGAGGCTCGTGTAGGAACGACTCGCACAGAGGGTCTATGCCTGCTCAGTCGATCGGAGGTGCATAATGGTCAGCAGTAGTCATCCGATAAGAGAAGTTAAAGCCTTCGATGGATGTTCTACAGAGTTAAAAACCAAAATGGCGGGGACGAAGAAGTTACAAGACCGCGAGTCGGTTGGGCGGATGACTGAACGAACCCGAGCTGCATGGACGTGGAAGTACCTCACCGAGCTGTCTAGAGCTGTCTTTGCGAACGGACCTTGACCGTCGGTGCCCGTGTTCTCCTGATATTGCCTCTTGCACATTGCATACTACCATACTATGTAGAGCAGCAGTGGCATTAGTCTTGGAGGTAAGTGAGTTGACTTCAAGCAGATGCAGGGCTCGAAAGTATGCCGGCCGGCTTGGCGCGTTTGATGACGGGGATGGGTGCTGTTGTGGCTGAGGCGAGCATGACATGTGGCGTCCTGAGGCGGTGGTTTTACCTAGCTCAGTGGAAGCGGCCGACGCCAGAGATCCCGCACTGTGTCTCAACCGACTGACTTCACACAGTCACCCCGCCATCACGTGATTAATCCGTGCGTTTGGCGGGGCAGATTCCGTAAGTTGGACGGTGCTCTTCCTTGCTGGCGGACGCTAATTACACAGCATTGGTCGGAAGGCAAGGTACGGGCTCCAAAGGCGGTGATGGGAAGACCCGGCGGATCATGGAGAATGGCGGGAGTGACTCGTCGGGTGGATTGACTTGGAAAAACAGCATCATGGTATTTGTCGGGGGATGAGGCTGAGTTGCGAAATTAAATAAAAAAGGGAGCAAAATATGGTGAGATGTCCGGATATGGCCCAGCGGCTTGTGGTAATCATGCTGCTGCTGCTGCTGCTTGCTGTATGACACCCATGACACCCGTGGATTTCCAGGACAAAGCAGAGATGCCGAGAGTGGAAGCAACGAGAAGCACAGGTACTGGCCTAGTCGCAAAGGGCGCTGAAGAAAGTACCCCGCACCGCTACTTTGGCACGAGCAACGACCTCTCAACAGGTAGCGCGGTACCCCGCCCGGCCCGCTGGACCTAAAAACTGGTGTACCTCTTGGGAGGGGCACGTCAGGCAGGAAGAGGAACAAGAAACATCAACAGTCACAAACCGAATTCCTCTCTCTCCCCCCCATATCCCACACCGCGTCCAAGCTTGAGCTTTTACACACCCCTTCGACATACAGAAGCTTCTTGTCTCTTCCTCTTTAATTTGCACCAGCGAGCACTAGTCTCTTGTTTCTCTCCCTCCTTCACAATGTCGTGGCAAGGTAAGCCCATCGCAGTGCTGTGCAGTCCCCCGACAGATGCCGATGCGGCGGTGGCAGCTCCCCCAAGGAGAGAGGCCATCCCCAAGAAAAACCCCACCTTAGGAAGCAGAGAGCTAACCATCTCATCGCAGCTTACGTTGACACCAGGTAGACTCGCACCAGCTCCCTCCACGGCGTTCTCGTCTCGGGGAGGACTCGATGGATTATACACGGACTGAAAACTGATGTGGATATTGTAGCTTGGTTGGCACTGGCCATGTTGACAAGGCCGCCATCATCAGCATCGCTGGCGACAGCACGTGGGCGTCCACCGCCGGCTTCACCGTACGTTGGACCTCATTCCCGGCCGCCCCTTCTACCGAAATGTTTGTACCTTCACCGTGCTGACAATTTGCTTCGCGCATCGCAGCTCTCCGCCACCGAGATGAAGGTTATTGCAGACATTGTCAAGGGCGACACGGCCGTCAAGGACAAGGCCTTTGCCGATGGTCTCTTCATTGGCGGTGAAAGATACGTCATGGCCCGTGCCGAGGAGGGTGCTATCTACGCGCGCAAGGTTGGTCGACACTGCAATTGACACTACACTACATACAAAGTCTAACAGGACCGTTCAGGGCAAGGAGGGCATCGCCGTTGCCAAGTCCACCCAGGCCGTTCTCCTCGGCCACCACAGCGAGAACCAGCAGGCCGGCAACGCTACGCAGGCGGTGCAGAAGCTGGCGGACTACCTCGTCAGCGTGAGCTACTAGACTACCAGCGTGGAGTGGATTGGCGCAAAGGGAGGCGGGAGGTTTACATTTCGAGGCATCCCCGGAGAGTTGTTACTGTGTGCGAGGCAGGCTGGGCATCTCGCTCCCACACACACCCACAAACGAGGATTTGACATATGAATCGACGAATACTAGAATAGCAAGAGTTACCAATGGCGGAATCTTTGCTTGGCCGCGGCCGCGTCCCAAGGATACAGACCCAGCAAATCACGCGTGTTCCGAAGTCCAAGTGCCACTCCAGATCGAACATGTCCAAGCGTCTTTCATTTCAGTCGTTACGTGTGATCTGACCTCATGCCTCTGCTGAGGCTACCCGTCTAACTCTGTCGAGTGCACAATCAAATACAGAACACGCCTTGCCAAGCCTCCCTCCGACTCAAGCCGCGCCATTGTGGTATACAATCCGTCTATACACTATCCCCACAGCCGATTAATGAGTGCCCGAAAATTATTGATGCGCCATGGCTCCAGCTCCGACCAGGCCACACTGGTGAGCTTTACACGGGCAGCTCGGCGTTCCGCCGTCCGACCCCAGACCGATCGACCGCAGCTCCAATGTACGGCCCGATAACAGGGATGTTGCGCGCGAACGCGGCGATGGTGCCAAGGAAGTCACCAAAAAGGACCATGATGCCGTAGAGCTCGACGCAAAAGCCGATCAGGGGCCACCGCAGCAGAATCAGGGCAAGCCCCGCGAAGAAGGCCGCCGTGCCCTTTGCCTTTTGTTTCCGCGCGAAGAACAGGAGCGTCTTTTGGGGTCCGATGATGATGGTCAGGCCGATGAGGAAGAGGATCTAGCGGGCGCGCAAACGAGGGTCAGCTTATTGTGGTTTGCACTGTGACGGATGGGTTGGGTTGAATGTTTCTCGTTTCAGGGAGGCGAGGGAGGGCTTCGTACGTTTCCCATGGCAAGCCTGCGGGAGATCACTTAGCTGCGCCCGCTACAAGAGGAATTTAGAGCGGGAGGATGGCTTACATGGCCCGATCGAAGAAGAGCATCACTCCGCCGATGAGGAAGAAACCGCCTGGTCAAGCGCAAAAAGCTGGCGTCAGCTCCGGTGAACTCTTGTCTCGTCTTTTGCTCTTCTATGCGCCAGAGCTTTGGCAGGGCGCAAACTTACCTCCGGAGCAGAAAATCACCCCGATTTCTGCAAGGCATATTAGCTGTGATCCCTCCTGAGAAGCAGAGCTCTGGAAGTGGCAGGGCGCTGCCGTCGTAGAGCTCCGTGGCGCAAAGACGTACTCTGAGTATCGGACATCCACATTGACGACATCTTCGATAGCTTTGGGTCGGGTGTACCGGACTGGGGGGGCTTTCGATTCGGGCTGATTAGAGGTGTGTTTCTTCAGTCGTATTCGAACTCGACGCGTTAATGAGGACTGCAAATTAGGAGCAAGGCGAGATACGTGGAATTGGTAGGTACGGTAGGTATTAGCTCATTGTTGGGCGAACAAGAATGTACTTTTTGGTTAGACAAAGAACAGATCACCAGGGGTTAGGATGCCTTGGTTTCTGGCACGCGAGCAGGGGTCTTTGCTGCTGCAGTGCTACAAGCTGTTGCTACTGCCGCGCCATCACGGATCTCTTGGACGCGCGGGTGCACTAAGAAAATCAGAAGCAAACGGCCCGGGCATCGGCCAGGGCATCGGCCAATCAGGCGGGTCCGTGGATTTTCCCCCCAGAGACGGATTTAACACACAGCGATTGGAAAATTCAGAACTCCCTTTTCCTCCTCCCATCCTCACTACATTCTTGTTTACTTTTTGCGATGGAGCGCTCGACAACACACGCATGACATGTAGATGGCTGGCAGGGTTTGCGATTCATGCTGGCGCACCGTCTCATAGATCGCGCATTGTTTGAAGCTTGTTGACTCGGCAGAGAGGTGTTCGCATTCTCTTCTGTGCTGGAAACTCCGCTCGCCAAGGTTACACAAGATGGCAGACTTGGCTCTGGATGAGGCATCTTCCCGATTGCCGCAACGTCTCACTCAAGCTTGTTGGGCGGACCTTCCAGGGCTCATCTTCTCTCCTATCCAATGTCAGACGAGAACAACGTCCGAAGTAACAACAATAGTGGTTGCTGGCAGACACCAATACGTGCTGTACCGCACTGCCACTAGCAGACTCGACAAGCGTCTGGTCTGTCAACACATGGTGGGTGACAACATAAACTGCTCTTGCAGTTCTGCCGCGGCGGCCGTAGCTCTCAAGCTATGGCAACTGAGTATCGTCTCCCCATACGTTCTCGGTAATCTGTCGATTCACAGGCGGAGAACAACCAGTTGATCACGATTAAGCCGGAGTGTCATCTAGCACCCTCTGCTGAAAGGCATTGGGCTGTATAGTTGAGATTTGACTTTGTTGGTCGCACATATGATTCCGTTTCCAGCCCGTAGCTAGCTTCTATGAATTACAACTCAAAGACATTCCCGTACGCATGCTTGTCCCCCTTTCATCCGTGACTCCATAGCTTGGTAACAGCAAAGATGCAATCCCTAAAACGCCTCGTCGCAGGTGTCGCAAACCACCCGTCCCAGTAATGCAGCATGCCCGTAACCCAGTCTATTTGAGGACGGTATGCGCGCCACGCGCCTCGAGGTACTGCTCGGCTGCGCCCTGCGGCAAGGTCCGAATCAGTCCAAACACCTCCTTGTCGTGATAGCGCAGCCGCGTCTTGGGGTCGATGTACGGCGCCGGCAGGCCAGTGATGTCGCAGTACCGCTTCGTGTGCGCCAGCGACGGCGCCGACTCGATGTTGGTGTACGTCACATTGGGTCCCGGGGCGCCGCTGCCGCCGTTGGGCCGCAAACTCTTCTCGAGGACCAGCTTCGACAGGCTACGCGAGGCTTGCGCCAGGTTGGGGTTGTCGTTGCCGTTGCCGACCGGGTTCGCGGGCGTCGAGGTGCCGCTCGTTGAGAGGCCGTCGTCGCCGCCGCCCTGCTTGTCTGCGGCGGGCGTGGCCGCGGCGCTGGCTTCCTCTTGTTGCGGGGTCGCCATGGCTGAGGCCTCGCGGCGGGAGGCATCGCCGAGGATGGTCTTGATGTTCTTGTTGCGGCGCTGGTTGGGGCGCCAGGATGGGTTTCGGAAGCTCTTGTGGATGGAGTGGATGTCGAGCTCGTCAAGGAGCGCCTGGTGGGCGATTTGCGCCTCCGTTGCTTCTTTCGGGGCCGCCATGTTTTCGTGTTCGTGGTATCGTGGGTGAATGGGTTCTCGGACAGGGTCTCGGGGGCGTTGCCGGTCGAATTGAAGGCGGACGGGTGGTCGCGCACAGTGGTTGAAGCAGTGGCAGGGGAGCTTATTCTGCCGGGCTTGACCGCTTGTATAACCAACTCGGTGAGCTCGGTGTGAAGCCCCAAGGCTATTGCACTGGGGCACTGGCTTTCGTGGGGTATCGCACTGTGAGTAAACAAACACATCACAATCGCAGACTCAAGCCCCGACAAGATGGTATGGTGACAACTCGTAGGACTTGGTTGATACAGAGAGCACAGAAAACTGATGCTTTAACAGGAGAGTCCTCACGAGCATCAGCAGAACTTGCTGCTTTCGCGCATCATCACCAACGTGGTAAGGTACCCAACGTCAGAGCAATCCTAGATCAACGGCACTTACACGAAGATTAGGAAAAACTCAACGAGGCCGTCGTGGTCATGAACAAAGCTTTACAAGTACGTTTGTATGCTTGGTGACCGACTAAGCAATGATTGACCATGGATTCAGGAAATCAACATCCAGAACATGAACGTTGAGCTCGTCGCTCAGATGTTCAAGAACTACCAGTCCAATGTTTTGTTCCATCTTGAGGGTAAGTCTGCCGCCACGATGGATCTTATCGGTTACTAATTCTATGCCAGCGACCGATAACCTGAAGCCCCCTTCATAAAGGGAATGGGAAATCTGTTTCAACCGGGAAATGGATGAGGAATGAGACAAGATTGATGAACACTATTCGGGCGCAATTTGAATCCCGGAAACCGTAGAGTAAATACCCCATTAAGAAGCTGCCACTGCTCTGGCAGTTGAACCAAAGAAGAATCAAATAAAGTTGAATCAACCGATTGAAAACATTAGCTTTGCCATATTCGTCGCAATCTGCCATCTTATTTAGCAACGTCCCCTGGAGCATCTGTGAGCTTACGACCTAGGCCGGGCACTGGGATATACGTATACCAACACGCATTCACTGTAGGGGCAGCGCTAAGATCGCAAAGCCGCCCTGCAGCAACTGCTAGGGGTCCACTGAAATTTACAGCCTCGCAGCCTCGTAAGACGGGCGCATTACAGCTTCAACAACCACAATCGAATAGACGCATTGAACGTGCCGCACGTGACGTAAACGCTTGCTATTAACCTTTTCCGACGGGGGCGACCAGGCACGACCGACTTCGAACCAAACAACAACTGTCCGCTGCCCGAGCATGGTCTGTCGCGCCGCGACATCCTAAGACCTGACCACGAACACACGTCGCGATGGCGCCCTCAGCAACGGGCGAGATCCCCCTCTGCCCGCGCCCCCGGAGAGAACGTACCCACCCGCGAAGATATTCCCGGTGAAGGAGGCCAAGTTCGAGAAGCCGATCCCAGTGCAGCATGATGGACGGGAGAAGGCAATGGCGCAGTCGTCTGGGGGTGCGGCTATTGTCATTGACAATGGTGAGCTTCCCGAAAAGCCGTAGGTCATTACGAGCTATTCCCTGCTAACCATCATCATCACCAGGCTCTTCAGCTGTCCGCGCAGGATGGTCCTTTGAGGAGCAGCCGCGGTTGAACATCCCCCCGATCATGTCCAAGTACCGCGACCGAAAAGCTGGGAAGACGTACTCTTTCGCCGGCAGCGATTGCTACGCCGATACGACGGCGAGGAGCCACATTCGGTATGCGCACGAGCAAGGGACGGGCATAGTCAGCAACTGGGATGTCATGGAACACGTTCTCGATTATATCTTTCTCAAGCTCGGCTTGAACGGCGACGATGCGTCCATAGACATACCCATCGTCATGACGGAGACGGTGGCTAACCTGCCCTATTCCCGGAAATGTAAGCTGAACTTGGGGAAGCCTCATCGACTGCCTGACTGACGTCTATATAGCAATGACGGAAATCGTCTTTGAGTGCTACGGTGCTCCGTCACTAGCGTACGGTATCGATTCGCTCTTCTCGTACGCACACAACAAGGGAAACACGGGCATAGTGGTCTCGTCATCCTACACCTCTACGCATGTAATACCCGTTTACAACCACAAGGCGATGCTGAACCAAGCCACAAGGCTGAACTGGGGAGGATGGCATGCGGCAGAGTATCTGCTGAGGCTGATCCGGCTGAAATACCCTGCCTTCACAGGGAAGCTCAACGTGTCGCAGGCCGAGCACATGCTTCGCGACCACGCATACGTCTCAACAGACTACGACAATGAGCTTCGGGGCTACCTAGACTGGACCGGTCTTGAGGACCGGGACATCGTCATCCAGTACCCCTTTACGGAGGAGGTCATTGTGCAGAAAACCGAGGAGGAGCTGGCACGTATCGCCGAGCGGAAGAAGGAGAGCGGTAGACGTCTACAGGAACAAGCCGCGAAGATGCGTCTGGAGAAACTCATGCGCAAGGAGAACGAGCTCGAATCACTCAAGAAGCTCCAAGCCAAGCTAGAACAGCAGACCAACAAGAAGGAGGTCAGGCGGCTGTTGGACAGCAACGACCTCAAGGACGAAGCAGCGCTGGAAAGGGCCATCGCGACGCTGGAGAAGGCGGTCAAGAAGGCACGAACGAAGGACGTCGGCGGCGACCCCGCGGAGGAGCAGCAAGAGCCGGTGTTCGACCTCCTGGACGTGCCGGACGAGGAGCTCGACGACGCCGGCCTTAAGGCCAAGCGCCAACAGAAGCTCATGAAGTCCAACCACGATGCGCGCGCGCGCGCCAAGGCCGAGAAGGAAGCCGAGAAGGCCCGCATTGAAGAGGAGAAGCGGCTGGACGAGGAGCGCCGCGAGAACGACCTCGAGGGCTGGCTCGAGGAGAGACGCCAGGCCCGCGCCGTTACGCTCCAGAAGATGAAGGAGCGCGAGCGCCTCAAGCAGGATCTCGGCAACCGCAAGTCGCTCGCGTCGCAGATCCGCATGAAGAGCATCGCGAACCTCGCCTCAGATAACCCGACCAAGAAGCGCCGCCGCGGCGGGGACGATGACACCTTTGGTGCCAACGACGACGACTGGGGCGTGTACCGCCAGATCACAGTCGGCGACAACAGTGACGACGAGCAGGAGGAGGAAAACCTCGAGGCGAACCTCAAGACGTACGAGGAGGACCTGCTCCGCTACGACCCGGAGTTCACGTACGAGCACACGCACGAGGCGCAGACGGACTGGTCCAAGTCAATGCTGCACGCCTTCGCCCGCGGCCCGCGGCCGTTCGACGCGGGCTCTCAAGCCGAGCTGAACCAGATCCATCTCAACGTCGAGCGCATCCGCGTGCCCGAGGTCGTGTTCCAGCCGTCCATCGCCGGGGTCGACCAGGGGGGCCTCGTCGAGATCGTCGGAGACATACTCAACCAGCGCCTCGGCAGCGTCCCCAACCGCGACGACTTCTTGAAGGACATCTTCCTGACGGGCGGCAACACCCTCTTCCGCGGCTTCGACGAGCGCCTCCGCCAGGGCCTAACCCCGCTGCTCCCCGCCGACTCGCCGCTCGCCATCCGCCGCGCCCAGGACGCCCTCCTCGACGCCTGGAAGGGCGCCGCCGGCTGGGCGGGCTCGTCCGCATGGAAGGCCGCCACCATCACGCGGGAGGAGTACCAGGAGAAGGGCTCCGAGTATATCAAGGTAGGTCGCCATCCCCCAGTCCGCATTCTCGCATTCCATCCCTTTTCCGGTCTCTTGTCGACAGATGCTAACCTCCCGCTCCGCAGGAACACGACCTCGGCAACATGTCGTATGTATGATTAGTCAACCAGGAAAAGGGGCGCCTCGCAGCAAAGGGCGGGGGGAGGGTTCCAATGTTGGGGGGGGGGGTTCGTTAATCAGTCTGTCCCAGTTCAATGAAAAGCAAGCTTCGTCGCCTTCGTCCTGTGTGCTCTTGACTCGAGAATCCCAACCAACCACCATCCCCTATGCTCACAGGCAAAGTCGCGTCATCACGTGAGCAGTACACTTCAGGTAACAATGGCAATGCAAAGTGATTCAGCGAAGACTATCTGCGACGAGAACCGGGTCGCGCCGAGGCCTCAACTCATGCTGTTGGAAATCGACCGGCGGAGCAGCGCTTCCGCTGCCGCATAGTCACCGCATGGAAGACCGACTCATACAAACAATGCTCAAGATAATCCCGCCGAGCGGTTTTCCTCAAGCCCTCGAATATCTTCGTTTGGTACGCTCGCTTTCGTGCCAACGTCGCGACAACCACAATACCACTCCTCTCCCTTTTGATGAAGAACTCAGGCCCGAGGGCATCGCAACAAAACACCCGAAAAAGGTGGGTAGAAGAAGCCATGCCGGTAACGCCAGCCCACTAGTAATATCTTCACAAACCATTATACCGCAACGCCATCGACAAAAACCATGGGATTGAAATACGACGCGCCCTTGTTTCTTGGGCGCAATCACATAGAAGCGGTCGGGGCGGGAAGGCTATCCGGCAGTTGGGGATCAATCTCCTCGCCCTCCCGTCGCGTTTCCTCCTTCATCTGCTCAGACTGGAAACCTTTGCTTGTGAACTGCTGCCTCTCTGCAAGCTGTTCCTGGGCCTGCAGGCCGGCCACTGCCTGCGCAACAGCTTCGAGGGGGCCAGCGCCCGCATTGCCGGGCGTGATTTCCGGGCCACTCGTGGGAACGGCAGGAGCTGGCATGGGCGGGTGCTGGAGGTTGACGTTGGGAGGAGGCTGAGGGACTTCGCCCTGAACATCAAGCAAGCGTGACTGAAGATGAATCACGTACTCGCGCAATGCGTAGTTCTCTGATTGCATCGCCTTGTACTGCTGCTCCATCTCCATGTAGTCTCTGACCTGCTGCTCAAGCTTCTTGATGTATCCCTCCTTGCGCTGGCGGAAAGCTCTCTGTAGTGTATCTAGGTCAGCTCAAGCTCGTCACCAGGTCGTAAAGGAAGTTTGAATGGGCGCGCCGGATACAACAGGATTGGCAGCAGTGAGTGGCCGGTCAGACAGGCTAACGAGCCACGGAGTACAGTAAGCACTGCAACAATGTTCTGCGCCATGCGCGGTGTAAACACGCGCCATTGATCCCCGCGCACCCATTTTCAATTGTGAATATCGTACCTGAGCAGCTCGGTTCTGGGCGGCGCGCTTGGATTGCGACAGCTCGCGCTTAGCTTTGCGGCCTTCTGCGGTCTCGTCCAACGCCATGCCTGACGGGGGCGAGTGGGTGGGAGGCGCCGTGGATGGGCCGGCAGTCGGCGCAGGCGGTGAAATCTGCTGCTGCTGCTGTTGCTGCTGCGGTTGAGGAGGTACGCCAGCGGGCATCATGTTGACGGCTGGCGCGTGGGTAGCTCGAGCTCGGAGATCAGGGTGTATATGCGCTTCGGAATCGGCTTGGTTGTTGACTATCGGCGGCAAGACGTCAGTGGGTGGCGAGGTCGAGCCGTTACTATAGCCATGAGCGGGCGACGCGCTTGGTGGGTTGGCAGCTTGAAGACGAGCTCCGCGGGATGGGGCTGTCGCGTTGTCTGACGGGTTGGGCGTGGTGTGCTTGCTTAGTAGCTCAAGCTGCGCATGCAAGTGGGCGTCTGTGGAGAGCACGTATCATGTCAGCAAGATGTGTCTAGGCTCAGTGCGAAACCAAGACTTGTCAAAACGGACAGTTTAAGGACCAGTGAGATTCGGGGCTGCTTTGGCTTGATATAGTAAGGAAGATTACAGCTCGATGGAGGTCCCAGGGAGTACTGGAGTCCCCGTAGCAGCAGGGGTCTGGGAGAGTCTGGGAGATGCGCCGTGAGACGGGGAGGGAGGTGTGAGAGCTAGCCGCCCAAGCCGGAGCTGAGTCTTCGCGTTTGCTTCAAGCGACTTATCGCGAAGACAAAGAGAGAAAGGGCGTAGCTCGGACAGCTGCTGGGTGACTCTGGGGAGTCGGCTGATGGGAGGGAAGCTGATGGGGGAGGGGGGATGATTACATATCAATGGTGGTGGTGAGGGAGCGCAATCTCTCCTGGGATGTGGCAGGTGTTGGTGATTGTAACGTAGTTTAAAACGAAAAAGGGTTCGTCTCACGCAAAGAACGTGAAATCCGGGCACGGTACAATGTACGAGCAAAAGTTGAAAGCTGAGGTAAGGCGGAAAGCTAGACCAGCTGCCGGAATTGGAGGACGGATTGAGGTAGAGGTGAGAGAGAGGGAGGAAGAGGGTGATGGCAGAAGGGGGATGGTACGGGAACGACGGGGAGTGGCAGACGCCTCGCTGGTCGGGCGGGCCTGCAGGATGGTATGAAGAATAGAATAGGAAACGGGGATGGGATTCAGGAATCAGAAAAACGAGAAACAAGAAAGGCCAGCCACTACTCACCTGTGTTAGTGGTGGTATTCGCAGAAGGCGAGGGCGAAGCGCTCTGCATCTTCAAGCTCCGGTTCTGACTCAGCATGAAGTGGACGGGAGGATTGATTACTACAGGCACCCGACCACGACTTATAAAGAGGGCCCGGACGAGCAGGCTGGATGAGACGGAGGACCGATGCGGCAGTTCAACGAATGTTTAGGTAATCGGCTGGGACCTTAGCGCGCCGTAGAGGAGGGGAAACCTGACGAGGGTGTGGGTAATCTGTACGCGGTAACGTAAGGTGTGAGCAAGGTATCCGTAGGTACCGTGCCTGTTCCGGAGAGGTAAGGACCAAGGTAAGGGGGGGAAAGGCAAGGTAACGTAAGGTAACGCAAAGGTCGGGTCGCGTAGCTTGGACCTCTTTTTTTTTTTTTTTGTGATCCGCGGCAGAAGCATGCAATATGAGTCTGGTGTGATCTGGTTGCCCGCCCCTCGGTTGTTTTCCCCAGGTGTGGCCAAGTGTGGGAGGAGCTCTCGGTTTCGGTGATTGGAAAGGTGTGGGAGAGCTCAAGAACCAAATTTGACGCGTTGAGTGTGTCGTGTCGTCCTGTTTTCTTGCTTGCCAGCTGTTGTTCCGGGATTTGTGGTGAAAGGGGTCGAAGGTTCTTCTTGCGTGAGAGGAGGGAAGAAAGGGGGAAATGCGTGGCTGGGAGTGAAGGATTTGCTGGTTGGTTGATTGACTGATTTGGGGAGAAAGAAGAGGGATTGGTCGTGGACGCGACGAGGAGGGATCTCGGTAGGGCGGAGAGGCAGGTGTGGCAGGTTCAGGCAGCTTGTTGCTTGCCGCAGGAAGGTACTTCGGTGTGTACCTGCCTGAGCTCGCGAGGTACCTTTCCTGTCACCTGGGCGTCCTCTCCTGCCCCCGACCCGGTACGCCTTGTGCCGTGAGACAACCTGGTGACTGAAGAAGGTACTCTCCTAGACCCAACGGGATAGGTCAAGCAACACCCAATCAACCAACAGAAACAGATGCGAGGAATTGGACGCGAGAGATGAATGAACAGCCTTTGGATCTCGGGTCATTCTGTCAATCTTTGGTACCGAACCTGAGCTTTCAATCTGATCTAAGATCAGTTATAGCCAGAACGAGTGCGATTGGGGTTTTTGGGCGGTCTTCTAATTCGATGTCTTCTGGAGTCCTTCTCTGTTTGATACGGCAGCATGCCATGTCCGTTATGCTTTGCAGAGTTCAGGATGTCAAGCTGAAGTGCGGAGTGCATCGACGGCATTTCCTCCGTCGAGGTTTCTTAACCCTCACAGGCGGGATACATCACCTAAGGAAGAGACCGAATCCACCAGATTACTAACCCGCCAACTAATAATGGTTCTCACTGCTGTGCTGCTCATGCACACTCGTCTGGCTCCCTTCTCGAGATGGAATCTGTGTTGGGAGGTGTAGATCGAGAGCTGAATGCAGATGTGCTCACACCCGCGACAGCGGGCGTGTATACGTCTGCCGTGGAGCCTGGGCTTCTCCCTTGATTGGCGGCGAAGATGTCGTGGTAGGCCACGTGACTCTAGCTGACACCCCTATCTGGTCTTCCAACGAGACCGTGTTGAGCAGTCAGAGGGAACGAACGGTCGGCATGATGCTCCAACGTATCTGTTGATTCTTTCCGGCATGAAGTTGTTATCGCCGGGATAGTCAGCAAACCGGTTTGTCAGCAATGCGACCCAGGTCTGTGACATGCGGCGGGAGCGCAGAGTAACAGCGAAGCAGGATAAATTACCTCATCCAAGCCAGTCTCCATAGGGGCTAGCCCGACGCTTCCATTTGCCAATGGTGAGAGAGCACACTTTCAAAAGTGAGCCGACGGACTTTGCGAAAGGGCCGACGAGAACAGGGCGACCACGGCGCCATAGGGATCCATGCGGTAGGTTCTCCGCATCCTGACAGAGTGGAAGAACACAACCATGGAACAGATGTGCCTCCACCCCTGGGATGTGGCGCAGCACAGGATAGGATGCGCAACTCAAGGTGCTCTACGCGCCGTATTCCCGCATAGCTCTTTGTAAGGTGACCGGCTAGCAAGCGCGGATTTATCGCCTCCATGAACCAAATCCGATACCGCGATGCCTCCTTGAAGAGTGTTTGACCACCATTGGCCGGCCTTGTCCAACGTCCGCCTGCCGGGAAATCCTTCTTTCCCCTCAACGACGTACTTAGAAACACCCGGGCGACTCCAGAGACACCTATCTCACTGGACGACGAGATGGATGGGGGACCGGGCTTTCCTCGGCCTACAAGAGCCGCGACTCCCGGTGTTTGACTTACATAAGCCCGAGGCCTTGGCGCGTCTAGCATGCGCCTGTGCTTGCATCGAGTCTGTGCGGGTCCTGGAAGACCACACACTTGCTCGGATACTTCCTGGCCAATAGCATGTTATTCGCAGGATTATGCGTCTGGTACTGCTCCTCTGGCTCCGTCTGGCAGATGGCCAACGACCACGACGCAAGCCATTTGGAATTTCGAAATGGTACTCATCGTCGCGAATAATCTTCGTCTTGTACGAGGCATCACATTCAATGGCAGTAGCGATGTCACGGGGAGCATGTCCGACATTGCAGCTGCCCAACACATCTGTTCAGGAAGCTTTCTATTGTGGTCATTTCGGCATGACCAACACTCAATCTTTCTACTTATGGAATGTCATTTCTCGGCCCTGGACACTTCGATATGTCAACTACTTCAGCTTGCATTAAGGGAAGGGAAAGACACTTTGCTGTCTTTCAACATGCACTACCTTGTCAGCACCTCATGCATCTGATCTTAAACACATTTTCTGCTCACCAGCGGCGTCCCTGCCGTACCAAGTCTTTCGTGTGCTTCTAGTGGTATTATTAGATTACTCTCTTCTGACCCTGCAAGTCCAAGGATCACCATGTCTCAAGTTGGAGCACACAAGAGCATGGCTATCATAGATGGAGGATACCGTCAACTTGGCCGCCAACAGCAGTGACCCGTACGGGCTTCAATCCATCTCTCCGCTACCGCCGGTCTGCCGCTGCCACCACGATGTTGTTCGCGAAACATGTAATCAGAGGTCTGCAGGACCTCCAGCGGAGTCTGGTTGGACGCTGTTTACGAGCAAACCTATCAGACGCACGTCCTCACCCTCAAGAAAATCTTGAAATAGAGCCACTAAGACCAAGGGTCGTTACTGACGTGGCTTGCTCAAACAGCATTAGGGTTATTTCAACAGTACGCGAATTGTGTTCAGTCAGCGTTGTGACTGCTAGACTTTGCCGCCTCCAGGAGAGGCCTACGACGCCCACTTCGACACTGGAACTGCCGAGGATCGAGGGTCCTGTGGCTACGGACGGGGCGTTCACTTTGTCAGGAATTCCGCTAACTCTTCTCGAACAGTCGAGTTACATCAAGCCACCGCCAACACATGGGAGGCATTCGGCGGCTAGCAGGGAGACGACGTTGGACAGAGAAGCTATTGTACGTTTTTGGTTTGCTCACCGATAGGCTAGTCGCTGACTGATTGGCAGGCGGATCTCCGCTGCGACAACAAGCAGATGTTTCTTTTCCGGGCAACACCGTTACATTTTCGTGCGGTACTGGTATGTACTGACTGGCTACTGGGCTACGCACCCATGTAAAGGTACAAACGCTGACTTTTGTCCTAGGGGGACTTGAACAACTGACCCCCTTTCCAGACGTGGGTGATATTCTCCTTCTTCACCAGAACCTCGATGTCATCCAGAGGGTTCTTCGCGACAGCGATCAAGTCCGCGTCATATCCCTCCCTGAGTTGCCCGCTTAGGGGCGCCATCCCTCCGAGAACCTCTGGGCCGTTCGCGGTGCCCGCTTCGATGGCCTGCAGCGGCGTCATGCCGTTCTTCACCGCCCAGTACAGCTCCATGGCGTTGTTGCCGTGCGAGATGCCCTTCGTGCGGTCGCTGCTGAGGCTGTCCGTTCCGAGCGCGATCTTGATGCCTCTCTTTATGGCCAACTGATACGAATCCTTTGCCTTTTGCATTAGCTTCTCAATCTTACGCGCGATGGGGGGCGGCAGCTGTGATGGATCGCCGCCGACGGCGGTCACGGCGTGGTGAGTCGGGACGAAGATGGCGCCCTTTTCAAGCATTGCGTCGGCCACCTCGTCGTCGAGGTATATGCCGTGCTCGATGCTCTTGACGCCTGCCCTGAGCGCGGCCATGATGCCCGCCTTCCCGATGGCATGAGCACCGACTGCGCGACGACTGCGGCCCGCCTCGTCAACAATGGCCTTGAGCTCCTCGTCCGAGAACTGCCTGTCCTCCGGGTCATCCAACAGACTCAGGACGCCGCCGCTGGAGCAGACCTTGATGCAGCGCGCCCCTCGGCGGACGAGCAGCCTCACGGCCTTGGTGCAGTCGTCCGCGCCGTCAACGATGGAGCAGGGGCCACCACACTCGGCGAATCTCTGCATCGTTTGGATGGGGAGCGAGTGCTGGTCTCCGTGGCCTCCGGTGATGGACATGGCGGCGATGGAAGAATACACGTTGGGCCCCACAAGACGTCCCTTTTCGATGGCGGGGACCAGGTCGCCAGCGTACCCGGCGAGCTCTCGGACAGAGGTGTATCCCGCCATCAGGGTCTCCTCCAGGTCTTGGACGATGACCGCGCCAATAAGGGCATTGGATCCAGGCAAGACGTCGAACAGGCCGGTATCAATCCCAGTCACCACGTCAATGCCGAGAAAGTGGGTGTGCACATCCCACAGACCGGGCATGACGACCGGGACTTGAACCGGCTTAACTGAGCGGTACTTTTCCGGGAGCTTGTCCGACTTGCCGACATGGACTATCTTGCCGTCCTCGACAATAACGGCGGCGTTCTTGATGGGGTCACCGCGGCCCGGGATGAGCAGTTCAGCGACAATGACGGTGGCACCCTGTTCCACTGCCGGCTCCCCTTCCTGTGAAGTCATTGCAGAGGCCTGGGAGACGCTTCGGGTTGCAGTGATGGGTGAGTGCGATAAGGCTTCCGCCGGTAAAGGCCTATAGGGTACGCGCATGTTTGATGACCTGTCCAGGCTCGTGCGATTGGGGACGACGGACCGTCTGTAGGAAGTCTTTCGCGTTAGCTGTCGGCAGTTGCGTACTCTTACGTGGTTTTAGTTCACGGGTTGCGAACCATGATTTCGGATGAACCCAGAAAGACACGACACGCAGCTTATATCAAGCCGTAGCCTGTCGTCATGTCCCGGAGCTTCTCGTCATGCGTAGGTTCGAAGCGCGGGGTAGCGTACCCCCTGGCACTTTGGGATTCAAACATCTCTTTTCCCCTTTCGATAACTGGGAAAAGGAACAGCATGCTGACACAAGCTCTTGAGCTGTTCAATGGATTGGCGCCGAAGGGAGCCGAGCAAGCGCGGGCTGGGTAATCGACCTGCTAAATCCAGAAGCGAAGGTGAGAGCTGTGCCGTCCTTCAGAGCACGATGTAATCCTTCGCGTGTGCCAGCTTGGCGGGCACCCATCCTAGGATTGGTGACAGTATGGCTGTTGGGTTTCATCGCCGGGCTTACTGCGTCAATGTCTAATTCGTCAATGGCGCACACATGCTGCAGACGCCGGGGGAATAATACAGTGAAGATCATCCGTCTCTACAGGCCCGGTAGGTAGGCGGCAGATGGTATTGTGCGACGTCCACATTCATCCCGGTGATACTGCAGTTTTCTAGCTTTCCCAGTCTCGCCTGTCTCAGAGAAGCCCAAATTTCCTCATCACTGCTGATTTACATTCGTCTTATATTGAGTGCCCTTGTAGCTCAACATGTTTTCAATACAAAGGGACGGAGACAAAATGCACAAATTGAGACGGAGAGAAACAGGCTGTTACCAAGTGACTGGTCGATCTTATTAGAACCCCACCTGAGCTCGGCCGCGAGCACCCGGCGACAGGGGGTACACCCTTAGCATCGTAACCTCCAACCAGGCCGGCGGGCTCCTCACCACCATTTCGCTGACGCTCTGCAGAACTTACATCACCGTTCAAAGCACAACCACGTCCAACACCTCACAACACCCGCGGGGCCATTCACTCCCACTCACGCCGACCCGTCAGAGATGAACGCCCCAGCCGTTCTCCGCCGCCTCACACATCAAACGCCGCGATCCCTCACCGCATCGTCTCTGTTCCTGAGAGCGCCATCGGCACCACCCCGGCCCGTCCAGCGACAACTCCGTCGCCCTCACCCGCGAGCGATGTCGACAACATCCGCCGCCCCGGCCCAGGCCAAGGCCCGCTTCTCTCAGGGCTCCGACGAGGCCTCGCTGTCCTCGACGCTGGAGACGCTGCTGGGAGAGGGACGCTGGGCGCTCGTGAACGACGGCGAGGCCGTCGAGAGGAGCTTCAAGTTTAAGAACTTTGCGAAGACGTGGGTGCGTGACAACTCACCTCTCCCTCCCTGCCACAGATCTATGGTTATGAGCTCAACCGCGGCTCGGCGTGGGAGGGAGAGGGGAAAAAAAAGGGCGAGGCATGCGAGAACTGACGATGCACGTGAAAAAAGGACTTCATGACGGCCGTGAGCCTGCAGTGTAAAACACACAACCATCACCCCGAGTGGTCCAACGTACGTCACCCCCCGGATATGAGATTCGCAGTCTTTTTTTCAGTAATAGGACAAGGGGGTTGCTGCAACATTGTGCTTCCCATGGAGCTGACGAACACCTGCGCGCTTAGGTCTACAACACAACCTTCATCCGCTGGACGACGCATAACCCAAAGGGCCTGTCGGACAAGGACCTCAAGCTAGCCTTGCTCTGCGACGCCCTGGCCAAGGACTTTGGCGAGGTCGAGGCGCCGCCGGCCGTCGAGGGGGAGGCTGCCGTCAGCTGCGGCATCCGGGGTCTGGCTGACAAGGCCGCGGGCACGGCAGGAGACTGCTGCACGCCAAAGAAGTGAGGCGAGGCCTCGGTTCCCGCCCCGGCGGCTGTAATTGGTTTCGGGTCCGAGGTTCCGCCGTTGCGGAACGTGAACATCTTGATCCCCAGGACCCGGGTTCGGTCAAGTTCTCCGTGTAGTATACTGTAAACATAGTGACAAAGGGGTTCACCCAAAGGAGTGCGAAGAAAGAACGAGTGTTGTGCTGTAATTAAGTAGTCTACTAAAATGCCATTTTTCTGGGTGGCCGTCCCATTATATACGACAGAATTCGCATCATTGATTCTTCTCTTTTGCACAAACGTCAATCCCTCTTCAAACGCCGTTCCAATGAATAATTACGTAGGCTTTGATGGACTCGGTGTCGAGCCTCGTGTCGTTTCGCATCCTTGCGATTTCCGTTCCCACCACTTCTATACATCGTATCATGAGACACCCAAATCAGTATCTAGAGCTGCACTCAAAGCACTGCTAATGAGCGCGTTGTCCTCTATCGACGCAGCCAACGTCGGCCTTTGCAATGTGCGAGTCGCCTTGAGGCGCCAAGCCAGAAGGGCACACGGCACATTTACTGGGACTTCTGAGCCTTGATGGCCTTGAGCTTCTTCTCGCGGCGCTTCCTGTGGGCCTCGAGGCCGGCCTCGGTGTCGAGGCAGTAGTCCCACCAGCGGAAGCTGGAGGCGTAGTTGCCGATGAACTTCTCGTGGTGGAGGTCATGGTGGTCGGCGCCGGCCCAGAAGGGGAGGAAGTGGCGCAGACTCCAGGGGAAGTCGTAGCCGCTGTGGGCGTCGATGGCCTGGAAGAGGCGGAGGACGATCCATGCGTACATGGTCAAGAGATGGAGGTCACCGGTGAGGGTGACCCAGAAAATGGGCGAGCCGACAATGCCGATGCCGAGGAGCATGACTTCGATGGGCGAAGCGTACTCGGCGGCGAGGCCGAAGGGGGCCGAGTAGTAGTGGTGAAGCTTGTGGATGGCCTTGTAGAGGGGACCGTAGTGCAGGGCGCGATGGAACCAGTAGTGCCAGGTATCCTCCATGACGAAGAAGATGGAGATTTGCATGGCCATCTTCCAAAGCGGAGGGAACGGGACGCCGTACTCCATGCCACACCACGTGGCGAGGGGGTGGAAGAGCCAGATCTGGGGCAGTTCGACGGTGAAGTGGCTAATAAGGACGACCATGGCGCAGTCCCACTGCTCCTTGAGTGTCGGCATTTTTTGCTAATGAGAATGTTAGTGGTTGTTGTGTTGACTCTATGGAGCGCGCGTCGGTGCTTACGGGTTGGATCTTGTACTTGTGGAACCAGGGGATCAGGTCGAAGATGATGAAGGGCAAACTGCGGCCGAAGTAGACCGTCTCGTGCATGACGAAGCTCATGATGCCGGTAGCGAGGGTATCGTTTTGCATCCAAAGATACCAAGCCTACGTAGGAGAACATGTTAGTCGCATCGCAGGAGGGGGCGGCGCGCGGAAGGGCGTTGACATACGGCCCAAAGGCGCTCGAAATAGTTGAGTTGGACATTGTACTTGGAGACCTCCTCAAAGACGCTGAAGTACGGCTGGGTGTGGTTGAAGGCCGTGTTGATCACGGTCGAGTTGCTGTTTGAAACAAAAGTATCAGTGACCATTGCTCAAGATCGCGCTCAATTAAAGGGGCTTCGGGAGTCAGGTGGACTGGGGCGGACTCACATGAAGGCGGCCATGATGGCGGGGGGCAGCGCAGTATTACGACTTTTGCTTCAACAAATGCACAGCTACAAGCAGATGCTGGAAGGAAAGATGAGACGGGGAACGCCAAAACTGGCGAAGAAGAAGTAAGTAAAGGACGGCGGTCACTTTCTCCTTCGACAATGCGCGCCGAGGTAATAGTCGGGTTTGGGTTAGGGGAGAAAAAAGACAGCGAGCGGCGAGGCAAAGGGTCTAGGACCGGGTCTTGTTGAGGTTTTATCCATGGATCATTTCGGTTGACGGGGTAGGGAAATGGCACCTGCAGCTAACACGCAAAGGTATTTTTCGTTGCGACTTCGAAGGTGGGAATGAATTGTGCTATGAAAACGCCCCTTAGAGTTGTGTTGTGCACCACTGGAGAGTGGGAATGGAGTCGTGTTGGTGTCGTCGGGCCAATAGGAGGCCGTGTTTGGACATCAGGCCATGCAGTTCGTGGGTCCTTCCGTCTTCCGGGTGGACTCCGACCAGTAAGAGGCAGGCGCGCCCTGGCGATGGGTCGGGCGGTGTGCGAGGTCCCGAGAGATTTCGGGGGGCGAAAGGGTGTGCAACTTGTGCCCAGTTGGGCCAGCGCCGCCAATCACAGGGAACGGCGTTGATTGGAGTGCACGGTTCCCATGGAACATGGAACAAAGCTCCTTTTTCCCTCGGTTGTTTGCCGTCTTCTCCGATCCAAGCTCCCAAGGCACAAGCGGGAAGTTGCTGCCAGTGGCGGCAGCTTAATTCCATGTCGAAGTAAAGTAAATGTCAACATCGAACTCAGAGCTGTAAGCAGCGGCCAAACGAGGGCCACCAAGATCAAGCTGTCATGGAAGGGGCCATGTGCATACTTTGCCCCATGATGGGCAACGCAAGGGGGCCGATATGGATAGGCCTGCCCTATCTTATCGCCCTGCATGAAGCACTTCGCACCTCGACTTTTTCGCTGCTACGCCTCGCAGTTTGCGTGGACGGCGCAACCTGGGTTGGGGCTACTGTGACGCGCGGTACGTACCCTACTCCAACACGAATACGAATATGGAGGGGCGCGCGTTGTTCATGTCTTGTTTGGCTTGGGCTTCACGCTACCGGTTTGTGCCTGGTGAGTGGCCACGACTGCTAAGCGGGGGAAGTTTACAAGGTTGAAGATGAATGACAGTGACATCCCTAAGCGTCTGACAGCCCCAAAAGCTTTCCGTATCTGCCAACGTCCGATTGCCGATGACATCCATCTGACCACCGCATCCGCCGCGCCGCCCTGTCAGAACGGCCCGGGCGTATCCACTATTAGTACTATGCGCTGCTCCAGCATGGCGAACTGACCATTATCGCCGCCACTTTTCCATCGGAATCTTTGGATATGGACATGGGGGCACATGGCAAACTGGCGTGTTGCGGTTGAGCTTGATCCGACCCAGCCATGGCTCGGGGACGTCCAAATTGTGGATTCGGCCTTTGTCAGCTTGTCGCCTGGGAGCCGGCGGCTGCGTTGATACTTTCAATATCCGATCCTAAGCCGTTGCAAATCTGGGAGCTTATGAAGCCCTCGTCCAGCAGCAGCTGCTGCAGTGCCAACTCACGATGCGTATCTTGTATCTGAGCCTGTGCGTTCCAGGGGTTCAAGCCACTATCGAAGTAACACAATGCCCGACAGTCTTGACATCTTCTCAGCCGGTCGAAAAGCACGCAGTGCCTTTCGTCGTCGTCTCCGTTCTCTCAAGGGGCTCTTATTCTCGTTGAACATGCAATTTGGCAATGCTGGGAATCCAATCTCTGTTCCTCGATACCAATGAGTTTTGGAGCTGTTGTTGGCGTCAAGCCCACCCCTACGTACCGATGCCGCTCCGGCGATCTGGCTCCGTCAGCGGCGCCAGCTCACTCTGATGACTAAGACACCTCAGGCACCTACCCGTCATCGTATGTCCCGCTCCCACCCTTCACCGCGTAGTCGGCCCCAGGCCCTTGCCCATGTGTTGCCCGGGGCATTCGCTTACCTGATGACGTCTAAACCCAAACTTCCACTCGGTTCTGTCTGTCGAATCCAACCTCACGCGACTCTGATCTTCACAGCTCCGACTCCAAGACTTACGTCCTACTCAAGAATGTGGAGGAGGAGTGCTCTCTGAGTGAGAAGCAATAATGTCTGTTGTGGCCGAGTCAGTATATTCCGTCCCATCTTCCCCCGTCCTTTGAATTCTCGTCAACCCAAACAAAACACACAGTTATTGACATCCGCTCTTTCCTGCATATAGCCAAGTCCGTCGCTTAGACGCGCAGCTGGATCGGATCCCTCTGGGCTTGAGCCTCTCCCAAGAAGATGGCGAGCTCTCTGCCGAGGAGCATGGCATTTTCAACTCTGCTACGGTAGACGCCTTGTCGTCACCAAGAATCGACGAGCTTCTCCACATCGCGAGAGCTCTGTCCACCACCTCGTCCTCGCTCTCCCTGCTGCCTTCCCAGAAAATCCGTGCTCTTTTGCTTCAGTCAAAACTCGCCGAATGGGACTTCCACGCGGAGCAGAACCAGGGGGCTGGACGAGGCCACTACCAATCCGAAATTGAATGGCTACTCATCAGCAAAGCCACAGTGCAAACCTATGGGATTATCTTGAACACTCTCCTGGACCAGATCATTCCTCTGAGTGACGAGATGTGGTACTGGGACGAGGTTTTGAGCTCTTACACCTATAGCAGTCTCTACACTGTCCAGACATCGCCCTTGCGTCTTTGGGCTCTGACTAAGGATGTCTACCATGAGAGCAAGCATCGGATACAAAACCTCAGCCACGCGCCAGGAGACCTTGTCGAATCAACAAGAACTGGCCTAAGCCAGCAATGGAGACAATTTTATGGAATCGTACGAGACAGCATCAGGGACTCGTCAATTACGACTCTCCAGCGCAAGGTCCTTTCGCCAGTGGCCCTTAGCCGTGGGGAAGCCAGGAGAAAGCTAGCGCATCTCAAACGTCTGCGAGACATGATAGCCAGCGGGCTCGGCGTGCTTGTTGATGAAGGACTGACATTCGGCGGAGACGACGACGACGACAAGAGCGAGGCAGGTGTCAACAGCCATGACTGGAAAGGCGTGGTGGAGAGGAGCGTGGCCCTAATGGACATGGTCCTCAAGGAAGCTCTGGTTCTCGAGTCGGGGGTTGCCGAGTTCGAAGACAAGGTGTTCGCCGGAGTTGAGGAAGATCCAGAACTTAGTATCCATATCGAGGACGCCAACGCCGTGGAGAAGCCTTCTGTTCTCGCCAGACGCCTCCTTAACATTCTCGATACCGGTCTCCCCACCCATGTCGCCGCGGCGCAGATGCTTGTTCGCGATAACGGCCGCCCGTCAAGATTCATTCGATACTGGCTGCCAGCGACGGCAGCCCTGCTGTCGTCGACGACCATTCTCCGACTTCTCGCCAACAGACGTGCCGAGATTCTCGGCTGGGTTCAGGACATTGGCGCCACGATGCGCGACTTTTGGTTCAACTGGGTTGTTGAGCCGACACGCAAGATTGTGGGAACTATCCGTCACGACTCAAGCAGCGAGATCGCCATCATGAGTCGAGACAGCCTGAAGGCCGACCGAGAAAGCTTGGAGCGCATGGTTGTGGACTTCGCCCTGGACAAGCCTCACTTTGCAGGTGATGGTTCCTCGCTCACCGATGCTCAGATTGCCACCATCAGAACCAAGGTCAGCGAAGGAGATGTCACGCCGGTGCTCCGCGCATTCGAAAAGGACCTGAGGACTCCGTTCGTGGGCGCAATCAAGGGCGACCTCGTCCGGTCTCTTCTCATCCAAGTGCAGAAGACCAAGGTCGACCTGGAGGTGGCCATCAGCGGCATCGATTCGTTGCTTAAGAGCCAGGAACTGGTCTTTGGCTTTGTGGGCCTGACTCCCGGTGTGCTCGTGTCGATTGGCATTGTTCAGTATCTTCGCGGCATCTTTGGCGCCCGCAAGGGAGCCCGTCATAGCCACAAGGCTGGAAAAAGCATCAGAGTGTTGCGCAACATTGACCGAATATTTTCGGAGGCGACGCCATCGCAGAACAACCTTCTCTCATACAAGGACCACGGTCTTCTTCTGTGCGAGGTGCACGTGCTGCGCAACCTGATGCAGAGAGTGCTGCCCCGCGACAGGCAGAGAGAGTTTCTCGAGGATTTGGATGATCTGGCCAACCTGAAGGGCATTCAGGTGCAGGTTAGAGCGTTGGATCGCATTCGCTGGGCCTACGCCAGGTGGCTGCAGTAAAGGCGAAGGGGGAATAGAGAGCCTCGGGCGCAATAACGATTCGCATGGATACACGGTCTTACGGGTTTCAGCATTCAGGTCACTTTTATTACGCACAGCGGGAACTGCCTCTCAGTGGAACATGTACCATATCTGTACGTTCACTGGAGGCATCACGAATTGTCAACGGAGCATCACAAACTGGCGCCGGAGCTTAGAAGGCGGCATTTGTCACTAGGGACAGCGGTTAAATCAAAAGTCGTTTTGTTACGCAATTGAACATGATTACTAAACTCGTGTCGTTGATAACCTGAACAGGCTAGGAGGCTGGGCGCCAGAGAGACAACCTCCCCACGGGCAGGGTGTGCGACGGCTGTCCCTTGTGACCATGGGTTGCCTACCTCGGGCTCCTTGGGTGAGGTGTGACCTGTGACCCGGCTCTGGACCTGGACCCTGATGCGAGACAGTGCGATGACGTTGGGTGTGGCTTTGCAGCCTCCTCGCAAGCCTGGCAGAGGCGGGAGACCGAGCACGTTCAACACCGAAGAGGCAAGGGGTCAGTCAGTGTACTTCAAAGTAGCCAGCGATCAGGACACCTGAATGAGAAGGGCTTGTTCAACGGTGCTGTTTTCAACGAGCCAGTTCCAGCCCCATGTTTCCATGACGAGGACGGTCAACTGGACAGCAGGCTACGGTGCTCGCTAAGGAGACGCAGCAACGTCGGATCGGCGTCGGAGGGTAGCGAAAGGTTAAGGAAGAAGCAAAACCTCCATGGTCGATCCAAGCGCCTCGTTGCAGAAAACAACGTGACGTTGGGTACGGTACGGAGTGTAGAGTGTAGAATAAAGCACACTTCAAAAGAGCTAGCAGCGTACTATGTTGCGGACGGTGTGCTAGCTAAACCCACCGTCGGTGCCAAATCCCTCAGGCCCTGTCCCAGCAGGTCCAGCCAGCGTAAGCAACAAACGTCAGTTCAAGTCGGGTCGGTCAAGCAAGAAAAGGCCGGGTCGTGTCTTACCCCAGACGACAGGCACCACTCTTTCCCCCCCAAAGACAAGCGATTCGACGGGGCGCTACGCTACCCTGCGCTACGTACCTCCTCACAGTAACGCGGACTGCACAGTCCCTCGCCTCAGGTCGCCTGCAGCCCAGAACTGACTGCATACCTCTACTTACTACCTTACTCTACGACCAACTACCTAGGCCGGTTTTCTTACCACATCCCAAACCCGATTTCCCTCCTACCCCCCCGTCCCCCCGAATCCGACGACGAACATCGCGACAATCCTCTCCCTCACTCCCCGTATTCTGATCACAACAACCCGCCCGGTACCCCCTACGTCGCCGCCCGGAGAAGCAACGCCATTCCCTTCCAAGATCGGCCCCCTCGGTTCTTAGTCCCTGACCACCCGCCGCCGCCAACATGTCGAGCAACCGCAATTACGACTTCCTTGTATGTGTCGAACGCCGCTGCCCCTCCCTACCTCGCGTCCCGCCCCTTTGCTTGAGGTGATGCCTGTTCTCTGGATGTCCCTCCTTGGGGGGCGGCCCGTTTCTCATCGAAAAACGCACCGGCAAAATGAACATGACATCGTGTTCACATGTGGCTGACAAGCACTCCAGATCAAGCTGCTGCTGATCGGCGACTCGGGCGTAGGCAAGTCCTGCTGCCTGTTGCGCTTCAGCGAAGACTCGTTCACGCCGTCATTCATCACGACCATCGGCATCGACTTCAAGATCCGTACCATTGAGTTGGACGGCAAGCGTGTCAAGCTTCAGATCTGGGATACCGCTGGCCAGGAGCGCTTCCGCACCATCACCACTGCCTACTACCGCGGCGCCATGGGTATCCTCCTCGTCTACGACGTCACCGACGAGCGGTCTTTCAACAGTACGTCTTCCCTTGTGTACGCGGTTGCACGGCCTTATCACCTCGACTCGGCCAAATGCTGCGACCACCAGAACAGACCCCTTACGAACATGTGATGAAGGCTAACAAATCCCTCCCAACACAGACATCCGCACCTGGTTCGCCAACGTCGAGCAACACGCCACCGAGGGCGTCAACAAGATCCTCATCGGCAACAAGTGCGACTGGGAGGAGAAGCGTGTCGTCTCCACCGAGCGCGGCCAGCAGCTCGCTGATGAGCTCGGCATCCCCTTCCTCGAGGTCTCTGCCAAGAGCAACATCAACATCGACAAGGCTTTCTACTCCCTCGCCGCCGACATCAAGAAGCGCCTAATCGACAACCAGAAGAACGAACAGCCCGCTGCCTCGGGCGTCAACGTCGGTGAGCAGGGTGGGGCCGGTGGAAAGTGCTGTTAAAGAAGGACAAGGAGGAGACGCTGGATTTTTTGCGCTGTTTTTCAAGAGAGAGAGAGAGAGAGAGCAAGACTTGAATGTGTTTTTTGGTCGATTCTGCGCTGCCGCCGGGGACACAGCGCTTTTCAACGAAAGTGGCAGAAGACGTGCAAAGAAAGGAGGGCTTCCGCCATCATGGGGCTTACAGCGGCCCTGGCCGCCAGAGAGAGATGAAGTCGGGGAGAGGAAGAAATGACTAGGGGAACCAACGGAGCAATCCCGGGTATTCCGGTGAGAGAACGGGCCGGGAAGAGGGAAACTCACAAGTTTGGTGGCTTCGCGGTAGGCCGGTCGGCCGGGCTGGGAGAGAAAGGTACACGTGGTGGTGCTCACCGACCTACCTACTTACATTTTGGCCCCCTTACGGGAAGAGAGAACTGTGTGGTCATTGTCATGTGGTTTCTTGCCGATAACGCCTTTCATCCCCTAGAGAGCAAATATCTGGTCTGGAGTTTCGGGTTTTATTTTTGGGTTTTATAATACATCCTTTTTTTTATCCAACTTCGTCCCAGATTCATTGTGACGCTTTTGCCAACGTCCCAGGACCAATGGGGTATCCTTCTAAGTATTCCTACACATGCTGGGACAAGGAAGCCGGTCCACGTGGCGCGCCCGGCAAATCAATCACTATAGTACAGTATGGACAAAAGCATAAGACCGCCTCATTGGATCACCATACAACGTGGGTGTTCAGCACCACGGTCGAGCCGTTTGATAAGACAAACTCGCGCCGGTGCCACGCGCGGACGAAACGTCTCGCCTCGTGTACATCCGGGAATGACAGCACGAAGCGAGCCGACATGGCGTTTTCGTCGGGCCCGCCGCCCTTCTGCTGCCCCTCGGCGCCCACCAACGGCGGCGGCGCGTCGTCGTCGCCGCCGTCGTCGTCCCTCCACTCGGACTCGTCGGCCTCTGGGCTCTCGCCCGGCGTGACGGTCCGGCGGTCGACCTTGGGCGTGAAGTAAGGGCGCATGTGCTGCACCGGCCAGCCCAGGTTCCGCTCGCGCGCGTCGCGGCGGAACCAGTAGGTCAGCATGCGCTGATCGACGGTGCCGCCGTCGACGGAGAGGATGACGTGGCAGTTTGCGCGCGGGGGGGGCTCGGGCGTCATGCTCAGCAGGCCCTGGATGCTGAAGGTGTTGAGGCGGGCCTCGGTGGCGCGGTCGAGCTTGTAGAGGTGCAGGCTCAGGGGGGCCCTGGACGGGGGCGCGAGGGTGAAGATGGAGGGGGCCGAGCCGCCTGCGTCGGTGCCAGAGGCCGGGGCGGAGGAAGACGAGGTGAGAGGGGCCGCGGGGGATATGAGGGAGCGGCGGACTGCGGCGTGGCGGCGCTGGGCCTCCTTCTGGTAGGACGCGGCGGCGGCGTACGAGTCGAAGAGGATGAAGTAGCGGTCCATGGGCTCGAGGGTGCTGTAGTCGTATGCCTGCATCACCTTGCGGATGGAGGAGGACCAACCGTCGAGGTGGTGGCCCTGGGGGCCGATGCGGTAGAAGTCGCTCTCCAGGAGGTTCGGGCTGGCGTTGGAGAGGACGAGCATGGCGGCGCGGTCTGCCAGTCCCGGGGAAGAGGTCGAGGAGGATGTTGTTGTGGTGGCGGCGTCACCGTCGGCGGCGCCAGTGTCGCCCTTGGGGAGAGAGTCGAGCCAGGATTGGAGGTCGTCGTGGTTGACGTACCGGTCCTCGGACAGGTGCTCGTCGGCCTGTCGGCGTCCTGCTCCCGGGTCTGGGTTCGAGAAGAGCTCGTTGAAGATTGAGGGACTTTCTCCATCTGCTGCGCCCTCCCGATTCTTCTTCGCCCGCGACCGCGACTCGAGTATCTCGGCAATGCTGGCGGGCGCCTCGCGCTCGGCATGCTTCGAATTCTGCTTGTACTCTGCCGAGTCCGATTTCCCAGGGTCTGTAGACGTCAGGAAGCGGACCTTGACTTTCCCGCCCCCCTCGTCCTTGTCTGATGTGTTCGGGGCATCCCAATGGTGCTGGCCATTTCCCCGGTGCGGCGCAGAGAGGTCCTCGTCGGGGAAGAGCTCCTCGAACAGAGAGGGTAGTTTCGGCCGTTGCTGTTTCCGCGAGGGCTTCTTGGTCCCCTGGTCCTCTGCGGCACGCTGGGCTCCGGCGGAGAAGGACCGCATCCCGCCGGCGTGAGATCTACCGCGCCATCGCGGCGTCGATGGGGGCGCGCGGGGCAGAAGCAACAGCGGGAGCCGTTGTCGGGCGGCGGTCGTGGTCATCCGGGCAACTCCTCTTCGTGTCGAGCTGCTCAGCCCTCGGAAGTCAGCCCATTGCATGGGGCCCGAGGGGGGAATGCTATTTTCGCGGTGGGCGGGCGGCGCGTCGAGTGTGACTCCTCGAAGGGGAGTTGACTTGTCGTCGTAGAGCTTGGTGAAGGTGGGAAAGTTTATCGTCAAATAAAGGATACGCAACGAACGAACTCGGAGCTGGGCTTGACGGGCTTTCTTCGTTGGCCGGCCCGGCGATGCGACGTTGGGCACTTGCAGGGAAGTACCCCCGTACCTGAGCTGGAGTGGGGCCGGTTCTGGAAAGAAAATTGTTAGGGGACTTTGAATTTTTCACAGGTCCCTTCGTTGGATGAGCGGGCACTTACACGAGTCGATGAGTATTGGTTGGTTCACTTCGGACAGTATTTCCAACCACAAGGTTAGGGATAAAATAGTTAAAAAAACTTCTTGCATAGACTGTGTGTTTGTCTATTGAAACCACGTCTCTGAGGACGGTCAATTCACGTAAGACGGTCGTTGCGGTTCCTGTGCTTGCCTATAGAAAACTCATCGTTCCCAGTTCTCTTACAGCAGGGTTTTCTTCATGTCATACCCGGTCTGGCCCTACACCATTAGCAAGAAACAGCAACTCATGTGGGCAACGACGGGTGCTGAAGAGTAACAACATCTGAATAAACTCGATCCGTACGGCAAAGGGATGAAGAACTGAGGATCCAGACACAATTACTTGCTTTCCCTATTTCAGTCCGAAGTACATTTTCTGTCCCATTCCTCGGGTCGCGGTAGACAGGGCCCTGCACGGCCTCTCATCGAGTATTCAGTGAGATACTCACGAAAGAGCCGACAACGACGAAGACGAAGACGACAACGATATTAGCAGCCCTTGCGGCGTAAGAAAAGATGGCCAAGACCATCGACGGCAAGGTCCGCCCCCTCGCGCCCTTCGACAAGACGCTCGAAAAGTCGACGCTAAAGGGCGCATCCCGTATCTATGTGAACCGGGACTCTCTTATTCAGCTCACGGGCAGTGTCGACAACGGCCGCCGCTGCGTCGTGACGAGGACCGTCGCTCAAGATGCGACAAAGTCCGCAACGACGGAGCCGCTGCACCGCGAGGCGGCGCTCTGGACCCTGTCTGACAAGAACATCAGCCCCAACATCATCCTCATGAGCGAGGCGTACCGCGAGGCCTGCGGGTTCGAGCTGGGCGACCAGATCACCATCACCATGTGTGAAAAGTCCGCCGTCCCGGACGCAGAGGCAGTGAGTATTTTGCCTGTGACTACGTCGGAGAGAGAAAAGGCCGAGATTGCTGCGTGGGAGGGCGCGTGGATTGGGGTAATTCGCTTCTATCTCGGTCAGTACTACCAAGTCTATACCAGTTCATTTTGCATATTTGTGACATTCATCACGCTGGTGTTCATTCTAAATAATGCTGACATCGTCCAGGACGCGCCGAGCATGTGTTCCCCGGCATGAAGTTCGAGTGTGTGGCCCCTGGAGCGAAGCAGATCTTTAGAATCACGACCGTCGACGGTCAAACCGACAATGTCGCGCGCTATGCCGTAACAACAGTACCTAGCATCGTTTCCAGCGAAGAGGAGAAGCCCGTTCAGGAGGTCGTCCGGGACGTGACGCGGCTTGTTGTTTCGGACATCCCAGGCTTGCACGCTGAAGAGAAGAAACTGAGGAGCTTTCTCCGCGGCTTCAATACCAACTTCGTCTACAAGGGCCAGCAAAAATCGTGCGGCATCGTCATCCACGGTGGCCGGGGCACCGGCAAGTCGTACATCCTGAACCGGATAGCGGCCACGGGCTGGGGCAGGGTCTTCCGGATTGAGGAGAATGACAAGTCGTCCACTGTCGAGGAAGTCTTCAAGCAAGCGCGGACGATGCAGCCCAGCATTATTCTCATTGATGGTCTGCAGGCTTTGATTGGAAAGGACAGGGCGAACTCTACGGCCATCATCCAGAGATTGGGGCAGCAACTCGATCAGCTGGCCGAGGATGCCCTAAACAACGGCACCCTGCCCAAGGTTGTTGTTGTCGCCACTTGTCTGGACTACATGACCGACGTGCCCCCTGAGTTGCAGAAGAGGACGAGATTCGAACGAAACATCCCCCTTTCCATACCAAACGCCGAGGGCCGACTAGAGATCCTCAAGTCACTCGACATCCCTATCCAACCAGAGGTCAAGGACGTCATGCTGGCCAAGCTATCACAGCAGACACACGCATTCAACGCAAGTGACCTGGATAGACTCATCGAGAACGCAATGATAATCTCAGCAGAGCGGCTAGACCCAGACGAGACCGGCTACGACGAAGAGGCATTGGGAACGCCGTACCTCTCGCGAGAGGACCTGGAGCAGGCACTGCGCTCCACAAGACCAACGGCCATGCACGACGTGAACCTCAAACCACCCACGATCCACTGGCAAGACGTCGGCGGTCAGGAGAGTCTCAAGAACGCCCTGCGAAACATGATCACCCTCACGACAACCAACGACCCCACCGTCCAGAAGCTCATCCTGACGCCTCCCAAGGGTCTCCTCCTCTACGGCCCACCGGGTTGCTCAAAGACGCTGTCCGCGCAGGCCATGGCGACCGAGTCGGGTTTCAACTTCTTCGCCGTCAAGGGCGCCGAGCTGCTCAACATGTACGTGGGTGAGTCGGAGCGCGCGGTGCGTCAGCTCTTCGAGCGCGCCCGCGCCGCGAGCCCCAGCATCATCTTTTTCGACGAGATCGACTCCATCGGCGGCCAGCGCGCGGGCAACGGCGCCGCCGCCAAGAGCCAGGGGTCCGTCAACATGCTCACGACGCTGCTCACCGAGATGGACGGCTTCGAAGCGCTGTCCGGGGTACTGATTCTCGCGGCGACGAACCGCCCGGAGGCCATGGATCCTGCTCTCCTTCGTCCGGGTCGTTTCGACCGCATCGTGTACGTGGGACCGCCGGACGCCGCCGGCAGAGAGGCCGTCTTCAACCTGTACCTGCGTAGGCTCCCGCTCGCGCCGGATGTCGACGTGGCGGAACTCTCGCGGTTGTCCGAGGGCTTCTCGGGCGCTGAAATCAAGCAGATCGTCAACGTCGCGACGGAGCCGGCGTTGAACAAGACGCTGAACAAGACAGCCGGTGCCAGGCTAGACGGCGGCGAGACGGGACAGGATCAGGTGCAGGTGTGCATGGAAGACATTGTGGAGGCCATCAAGTCTGTGCCCAAGGGCATTACGCAGCAGATGCTCGACGGGTACGACAAGTGGTCGAAGCAGTTCATGAAGCACCAGAACCAGAAATAGAATGCCTATTGATTGTTCATGATTCTCGTCTTTCAGTCTTCCTCGTGATTGTCTGGTGGTTATTTCAGGGTATTCAGGGGTACCCGTGTGACTGGACACATGCTAGGAGAACCTATTGACTAAACATGGGAACTACGCTTTAACTACCTTTGATATTCGCGACATCCGCATGTAGTCGTCCGTCGTGGCTATCCACGCATAAAGGTTCCCATCGATAGGAATCACTTGTCGACTGAGAACCCCAGCCCGGGTGTCTTACACCCAAGGAAGTAGTAAACGGCTTCTAATATCTAGAGGTAGTCACCAAGCGGACAATTACGATGCTTTCAAAAAACCTTGGACAGGAGACGATGAGGCCGCCCAGTCCCAAACATAGAAAGCCTGCGCCCCAAAATGTCTCCATATACCTCGGTGCCGAGTTTCCTGAACAGCTTCTACATTTGCAACTTTCTCGCGGTGGGGAAGTCCTTTTGTTGACGGAGACCCCTGTGACACAGGAAGCTCGCCCGAGCTAACAGCTCCACCGGCAGACCCGAGCCTTTGCTTGAAGACGTTATGGCCTGGACCAGGCAAAAGATCAAAGCTGACAACGCATACAGGGTCTGAAGAGCATCAAGGCCTGCGTTGTCTGGTACCCTTAACACCAGGTCGACTAGGCTCCGATTACATCCAGAAACGGTATGTGGTCTGATGTGAGTTGTGGTTGAACATCGGGCAGTTACGGGATTCCGACCAAGACTTGTAATGGGGCAGGCAGAGTGCGAGATTACTTTCACATGTTGCGATCCCTCGACTTAACTGAAGTCCCTAGCCCCACGTAGAACGAGACTTTCGTTGTTGGTGGTGCAACTCTCTCTAGAGAAACACTGGACCAAAGTTGTGATTGGCGACCGGCGCATTAAAAAGTGGTGCCGTGGTGGCCCTTTCTGTACAAGTCTCCTAAATCCACCTTTCTGAATGGATCATCTTGGCCAACATCTGGTGACAGCTACAACAAAAGGGGGTTTTCCAAGAGGTAACTAGGTGTGATCCCGGCCCGTCTGAGTGGCTGAGACGTTGCTGGTGTACCTAGCTTGGAGGAGGGGCGCGTCAGCTCCCTCAGGTACTGCTTGATTCGAGTCGAGCTTGCACTAGCACCCAACCCCCGACCGGGCTGGGCGTTCCGCAAAGAACGAATAGCTACTCACAGGACGCAGAATAGATCTGGGGGTCCAATATCGTGCCTGTCAAGAAAGAAAAAGAATGTCAGGGACGTGATGCCAGGGGTGGACCCCAAAATGCCTGATGTTTAGGCCGAGCAGAATTCCAGAAATCCATTACGCATGACTGTCGTTCGACACGTGAAATGGGCGGTGTGTGGGCACCGATTGGAGCGTGGCAATTGGCTCGATTGTGACGGCGGGAGCCGCTATGGGACGACTTATCGTTGAGATCGCCTTCTGTAATTTTCTGGATCCTCTGGGAGGCTTGATGCGCCGCCCGAACAAGACGTTCCTCGCCTGGTTTTCTGTCGTTTCCCAGGGGGAGATGCGCTTATCGAATGGCCTAACTGTACGTTACTCTTAAGAACTGACAGAGGAATTGAGACCTACTGTAGCTAGTTTCCTGGGTCCCGTCTGTCAGGTGCGAAGAAACACCCAAAGAAGCAGTTACCCCTGGTGAAGTCGTCCACGGTGCAGGGGGCCTTGCAAACCAAAAAGTCCACTCATCACGCTTCTTTTTCCGATTGATCTGCCACTACAACACTAATGTGCATCGTTCAAGGCGGGACGAACGACAAGTCTAACCGCCTAATTAACCACCCATCCCTCTCCCACTCTTTACCACCCGTCTTTCTTAAAAACTAACAACGGCGACTGGTCTCACATCCTCCTGTCCCCTCTCTCCCTCCGCCCGTCCAAAACCAAACGTCCCCCCCCCCCCCAAACGACCCCGAGCGCAATCTTAACGGTCACTTCCAGGGCTCCAACGGCGACATTGTGCAACAACCAAGTACTCAAGCTTCCTCTGCACAAGCCGTCCCCTACCTCGTCCGACGACAGACCAAGACGCCCCCGCCACCCCTCGCTTCAACAGCAACCCAAATCCAACCAGACGACCCCTCCAAATCAACTTGAAATGATTGAAAGCCCGACAGCCGCCGCCGACGCTCGGCGCGAGCGTCGCAGCAAGTACCACGAGGCCGATGTAGTCGTCGTCGGCGCCGGCGTCTTTGGCTGCGCCATTGCTTATGCCTTGGCCCAGCAGGGAAGAAGCGTTATCCTCCTCGAGAGATGGATGAAGGAGCCGAATCGTATTGTCGGCGAGCTTCTGCAGCCCGGCGGTATCGTCGCGCTGCGTCAATTGGGACTGGCCGACGCCCTCGAGGGCATCGACGCTGTGCCCTGCTACGGCTACAAGGTCAGCTTCCACGGCGAGGGAGTCGATATCCCCTACCCCTCCTTTGACGAGAACGGCCGCATGATCCACGCCTCCTCCAACACCGAAACGACGTCCTCGAGCGCGAAACAGAAGGAGGGCCGGTGTTTCCACCATGGCCGCTTCATCATGAACCTCCGCAAGGCTTGCCAGAAGCAGGAGAACATTACAATCTTCGAGACCGAGGTGACGGCGACGATACGCGGCGACGACCAAAACACGGTTCTCGGCGTCAGGTCCAACACCAAGGACGCCGCGACGGGCGAGAAGAAGGAAGACTATTTCTTTGGCCAGCTGACCATCATTGCCGACGGCTACGCCTCCAAGTTCCGCAAGGAGCACATTGCCCAGGCCCCCGTGGTCAAGTCCAAGTTCTATGCCCTTGAGCTCATCGACGCTCCTATGCCCTCGCCCGGCTACGGCCATGTCGTTATCGGCAAGGCTTTCCCCGTCCTCATGTACCAGATTGGTACGCACGAAACCCGTGCGCTCATCGACGTCCCCGCCAACATCCCCGAGGCGTCGCCAGCCGCCGGCGGTGTCCGCGGCTACATCAAGAACGTCGTCATGCCGACATTGCCGCCTCAGATGCGGCCGTGCTTCGAGGCCGCCCTCGCCGACGGCAAGATCCCGCCCTCCATGCCCAACTCGTACCTCCCTCCATCGCGCCAGACGGCAAACGGCATGCTCTTGCTCGGTGATGCCCTCAACATGCGTCATCCCCTGACGGGCGGTGGCATGACTGTTGCCTTCAACGACTGCGTCATCCTCTCTGACCTGCTACATCCTTCGCGTGTCGCCGACCTCGCCGACCCCGTGGCCATCAAGGACGTGCTCCGCGAGTTCCACTGGCGCCGTAAGAGCCTGACGTCCATTATCAACGTGCTGGCCATGGCTCTCTATGCTCTGTTTGCCGCCAACGACCGCCAGCTGCGTGCCCTACAGATGGGTTGCTTCCAGTACTTCCAGCGCGGCCACGCCTCGGAGCCCATGGCCCTCATGGGTGGACTGCTGCACCAGCCGTCCAAGCTCGCGTACCACTTCTTCAGCGTCGCCTTCCTCGCCATCTGGCTCAACGCCCTCGACCTCATGAGCGGCAGCATCTTTGGCTTCCTCAAGGCGCCGCTGGCGCTCATAGACGGCATTCTGATTCTCTGGAGAGCGAGTGTCGTGTTCCTGCCCGTCATGTGGCGTGAGCTGAACTAGAAATATGTGCTAGATTATTGTAAAGGGGGTTATTAAACATGGGCAAAGAGGCGTTGGCAGAATGAGTGATGAACCGACGACGAGAAAAAAGGGGTTTGAATTTCCCTTCCCGGGTCCTCTGTCAGGAGGATGTCCGGGCTGTATATATACACACTTACACATACGACAAACCATGTTTGGGACGGAAGCGGATCATTGGATCACTAGGTGTAGATACAGGTGTATCAGGCCATATTCTAATATTAATCTGTTCGAGGAATTTCAATGATAACTTGAGCTCATTGTGAGCACTATCAAGGTCTTCTGCGGACCTATGCATGCCTTTCCTTGCCAATGCCCAAGACCTAGAAGCAACCCAGTATACAAGGCCATAGGTCTTTTGAGTCTTTTGGTCGTCCAGGACATGCGTTGTCATCGTGTTTCTCGGACGGGTTGGCTTCGACGGGGGGCATACTTTATCTTGGGGCCAGTCACAATGACTAGGGCTGTGTGATGTCTTAGTATAGGTCTGCCAACGCCTTTTGCTTCCGCCATTGAAATGTGGTTGGACAGATGGGACGCTTGGTGTGCGTGTGAAAATGGAACTGTATGCCCAAGTCTGTTCTTCCTAATACTTTTGCACTTTTCTCTTCCGAGACAGGACTATAAGGTACTTTCACAACTAAACGCGGACGGTTTACAACAAGAGCAAGATGCGTCGTCCGCGTGCACAGAGAGACGGTTTTGATGGCGACAAAGGTACCAACATACTACAAGCAGCTTGTCAATGGTCGCAGGAGTCAATCAAGAAGCAAAGTTCAGACATAGCTATCAAGGTATGTGCTCTAGCTAATAAGACAAGGAAAATACAAGAGGCGGTATAGAACGCCTCGGCAGCGTAAATCACAGTATTTAAAACCGGCCTTTCATCAGCTAGGCTGACATTTACAGTCTGGGTGTTTCCGCCATTTTGTTCCTAAATAGCCCGATGAGGTTGAGGCTTGCCCTATGCTAGAACGACCCTACAGTCGAGACTTTTTGCTGCTACTTCCTTGAAAAACTATAGGTCAAATGCAAACCAGAGTCGTTTAGTCTTCGGGCTCCAAGAATCAGAAATGGTGCCAACAATCGCTTGCGCCATCACCATGGTTACACACTAGCAATCCGCCGTCGCAGAAGCCAATAACAGAATTTTCTCCAGAAAAGGACGACGGGATCCTCGGAACAGGTTCAAATGGGTGCTGAATTCCAGATGTCATATCAAAAGGTCACGCACTGTTAGTAAGATGTGGTTTACGGACAATATGTCTAGCAGGAGTTCGGATGTTGTTTTCTCTATCGGAAGTTTGTGCGTTTGTGGGGTATATATTCTGCTTCCCAGCAGTCTGGGTTGCTCATCCAGCCGCCGGCGCTGTCAACGTCACACTAGAAAGCTTGCTTGACATCTGGTAATTGCTATGTCACGCTGAGTATCGACGCGAGCTGGTATAGAAGCCTTCCCACTAGCGCAGGCGCTTACAAAGTTTCCTGTGAGAACACTGAAGAACTGGTCTAGGAATGTTCTGTATGATAGAGAGATGGGGTAGGACTAACTCTTGGGGATAAAACAAGCAGTTTAAGACTGCCTGTTTCTATTATAAACGCCGTAGAAAAAGTCCGAGCGGACATTTGGCTTTACTCTGTAATACCGGAACTCTGCTTCTGAATTCACCTTGGTAAACGTCCGAGAATTCGGGGGTTAAGATACCTCCAGTCGCTTTATGGGAAGCGCCGACTTTGACCCTTGGAGTACTTTCGACTCATCATCTTTTCCTCCAAGTAAAATCCAACATGAAACAATCAACGTACAGCCCGGTTAAGACCGAAGATTCAGATACGCAAGACGAGGGTTCAGTCGAACGAGACGGTTCTTTTACTAACAATAGATATCTGGAAACGCCTAAAAGATTCCAAGTCATCCACATTGTTGCCCTGGTCCAGTCTGTCCTCTTATTACTTGGCTGCACAATACTAGCGAAAACATGGCTCTCAGTGAAACTAGGCTACGGCTCCGTTCAAACTGGCTGGCGAGACACCGAGCTACGTAAGGGTTGACCCCGAGGCACTTCAATCGGATGCTCCAGAAGCTGACGGTTCAGACGCCGCGTTCAATGCCATCAAAATGCATAGAATGACCATCTCCCAGCCATCCGATCAAACAATAGGTCCGCCTCAGTCAAAGTATGTCGGAGACCCATCCGAGGAGTTGGACAATGCATGGCGAATCTTGGTCGCGCGTACGTTCTAGGACCACAAAAAGTGACCTCTGCTAACTGCTTGGAGCCACCATCCTGGATTTAAACGACAGCGAGATGGGAAGTTATGTCGGGCAGACGACAAAGACAAGGCTAGGTTGGACTACTGGGTAAGCCGCCATGAAAGTCACGTTTTTCGGCTGCTTGGAAACTAAAATCTCGGCCTATCAGTTTACAAGTATACCACAAGCTTCACTGCATCAATTCGTTGCGGCGTGCTGTGTACCAGCATGTATATGGCGCGCCATCCAAAGAGGACTTTGAGCATCACGGTGAGTCCACCCGACGCTCCAGCACAAGCGGGTGTATCTAAACAAGAAGCTTGGCAGACCACTGCATAGAGTTGTTGCGACTCGGTGCACAATGCCAGTCTGACCTGACGCCCATGCTATATTTCAACTTCAACGGTACGATGGGGATCAAACCGCACGAGCATACATGCCGGGATTTTGATGCCATCAACGAGTGGGCAAAAGGTAGATCACGCTGTGGAGACGACACGAAGTGTGCGATTCTGGAAGGAAAACAGTTGTCCGGTGATGAGGCAATCGTATCGGTGGATCAAATCGGCGTTCAAAGCGATCGATCATAGCGATCAGTGACTATTGATCGATCGATATAGTGCGCTCGTACGATCCCTTAGATTGATTACAGTATTCGGTCGAAGTCTGATATCAATTGTACCCAAGGATCGACCGTGTGTTGAGTGCCGTCCTCGGCCTTTTCAACGATAGAAACCTCCATTCAACGGCTCTCTTGAAGATGGGTTCTCTAGTGCTTTCCAGTTCATCTACTCTTCTTGTTGTAGTTGTGTGACTGTAAGGTTTAGGGATGTCGTGATGGGGAGGTGGTCCGAGTCTTGATTTGCCTCGCAGTCTGTTCCGCATTTGCTGGCCTGTTTATCAGCTCGACCGCAAAGAGGAGGCCTGTCGTTGAGAGAGACCATCTCCTTCCATGTATGTTATCGTGCTCGCGGCCCAAACACGCTTCCCAGACTCTTGTATACGGTTCGAGAAGATGGCATCAACAGGGTTGAATGAACTTTCAGAAAGCTTCAGGTACTAGCTTGAGAAAGCTAAAACGGTGAAAACCTCTCTTTGCCAACCCCGACCACTGGTTGCAAATTCCTTGTGACGGTCTCTTATATCACCAGTACATTGTTCAGTCGAGAGATATGGTTTATGCAATGTGGGCAAATCATCTTTACCCTGTATATTTTTTGCAGATTCAAGAGTCTGCTTCTGAACTTTTTGTCTACGCTCTGCCCTGTTTCAAGAACATGTGGCCATGAACACCCTCATCCATCAAAGGATGAATAGAGCAATGAAGGAATACAAAAGAGAGCCCAGGCTCTACGTCAACCTCCGTCGATAGACACCCATCATCCAGCTACCCCTGAGCACCGCCAGGCCGATGGCCATCTTGATGCTGTCCGAGATGACACTGAGCTTGCTTCCGGGGACCTCGTGCCAGTCGACGGGCACCTCGGCGACACGAATCCCGGGGCTGGTGCCAATAACACTGCCGTCGTCGCCAAGAACGGGTGCGGGAGGGGCCGACTCTGCGAGAAGGAGCATCTCAATGTCGAATATCCAGCCCTCGGCATGCATGTAAGGAACGATATGCGGAAGGGCGGCGCGGGTGAAGAGCTTGAAGCCACACTGTGTGTCGCGGAGACGGGATGTGGCGGGCGGGGTGAGGATCATGAGGACGAGGTGGAAGGAACGCATGAGAAAGTTGCGGAGGGCAGACCGCTGAGCACTGTTAGCACCAAGAATATGAAGGAGTCTAATAAGGGGCATACCTTGACGACGGCCTCGCTGCCAACAAGGTGAGCACGGCTGCCGATAGCAACGCCGCGGTGAGAACCATCGACGACATCCTCGCAGCCTTGGATCAGACGGCCCAGGTCACTGAACTTTGTCGCACCGTCGGCGTCGGCAAAGAGCACGTACTCGCCGCGGGCGTGGCGGAAGCCGTGGGTGACGGCGCCGCCCTTGCCGCGGTTGCGCTCGAGCTTGATGACGCGGATGACATCATGGAGGCCTTGTTTCTGCGCAAAGTCGAGGCACACGTCGACAGTGTTGTCTCGGGATCCGTCGTCCACGATCAGGATCTCGTAGCCGCTCAGGGCCTCGGAGGGCGGGTTCTTAGTACGTCGGCGCGGCGCGGTAGGGCTGAGGAGGGGCTTGGTAGGGGACGAGGGTCGGCCGAAGTTCTCATCAAGGTAGGCGACTGCCTCCTCGAGAGTGGGAAGGATGCGAGTTTCTTCGTTGTAGGCGGGCAGTACGACGGTGAGGCGCACGTCGGCGGGGTCGATGGTTGCGCCCGAGTCGGGGACGTCGCGAGGGTCGGTCAGGTGGGCGCGAGCCTCGGAGACGCTGCGCTCGGCGAACCAACGATCAAACCAGCAGGGCGCAGAGACCCTGACTGGCTTTCCGGAGGCAGAGGAGGTGAGGTAGACTTTCTCGGAGGGAAGGACAGCGCGGGGCTTCGGAGCGAGGAGGTGGAGAGTTACGAAGACCTGTTGATGGGATTGTCAGCCTAGATTAAACCGTGTTTTGCCAAAAGCCAATAGATAAGAAGGGCACGTTCGAGACAAAATGGTAAACCCACCGTGAGAAGGCCAATGGCGGCAAGAGCGAGCAGCACGACGCCAAGAGTCGGCCACGATGCCTGTGTGATTTGGTCCATGACTTTGGCGCAGCAGTGACTGTGGCCGCTGGAGTTGCCCTTGGTCTAAGGAAAGGAAAGGAGTGAACGTCGCGAAAATGACAACAAAGCGCAATTGGTGTGTCCGCTGCGCAAAGCGGAAAAGAAAAGAAAAGGGAAGAAAGCGCTGCAACTGCCGCAGCTGCAGCTCAAGTCAGAGACAATGAGATGAAGGCGGCGCAGTTGTAGTCGCAGCACCACTGCGCTGCATTTCAGGGTGTTCTGGGATACGTAATGCGGAACAGCTCTCTCGGGAAGGCCCCCCCCCCTTTGTGGCTTGACGAGGCTAGCCATTCGGGCCAATGAGGAGGGCCGGTGGGAAGGTATGGAGGGAAGCTTGGAGGGGTAGATCCCTGGAGAATGCTCCTGCCATTTTCGGTTTGTGGGGGACGGGTATGCTGCAGCCTTGCATTAGTGCACGGTTCAGGCGTCCTGTCACCCAAACTTCAGACGGGTGCAGAAGCCAAAAATGCGACTTGCCATGGATCGCATTCTTTTTTGTTGGAGGGAACATTGGACTTTTCCGTTCGGGACCTGTCAACTCGGCACCAGCCGACCGGATTCGCTTGCGCTTCTTCAGCGTAACCCTACAAACAGAGGTATCCGAAGGACCGAAGGAGATCCGAAGGAATAACAACACACCAGACTGCGACGTTGCCTGCCTATTCAATTGGTATAACATTGAACATTATGAATGAAACCTGTATACGCCCTAGAAGGTTGCTCGACGCCTGATTTACCTCGTACACGTTCAGAACCAACCAAAGCTTCACTCGACATGGAGAACAATCTCACTCCAAAGACGGATGAACCTGAAAGCGCCGAGAGGAGGGCAAATCGGCATCCGATGGGTCTCGGCGGTTGTCTCAACGATCGTCCCGGATCAACACGCTTGCGCCGTAGTGACGCGCCGCGAGCCGAGCCACGCTCAAATGCCTCGACAGTATCCGATCCAAGACATCACCAGGCCGAAGGACGGGCCCATCCCGTTCGGATCCAACCCACATACCAGGAGTTGTCTCGCATTCCCGGAACTACTACCTGTATGCTTCCCCCACTGCCGCGCGCCACGCAGCGTGGAGCAACGTCAGATCATTATTTGCCCAGGTGCTCATGTATTCGTTGATCTGCGGCGGACGCACATTTTCTTCCTCCCACGCAACATCTCCATGTGATTTCCGAAAGTGACCGTGTAAGGTCCAGACCGCGCCAACACCCCGAAAGCCGCGTTGTCATCTCCACCCGTGGCGCGTCAGCAGCTCCTCGCCGCAAGCCCCCGTCTGCCGTCAGTCTACAAAGCCACGCAAGAACCACGCAGTGCAATCCCATCCACGCGATTCCCATAGCCGCTCGCCAAACGGCACCAGCCCGCCCTGCACCGTCATATCGCCCCCCGTGTCCCCTGGCTGTAACATCAGTATGGCTGAGCTACTAAAGTATCAAACATTGTCCAGTCACGCAGACAGCCTGGCGCCACCAGGAAGCGGCTAAAACTTTCCTCTCATATAATCTCGAGATTTGGGAAAAACTTTGGCCGCATGGGCAGCGCGTGAAAACCAGGCGGCTTTCTCAGCCGCCCCATACGGCTCCTTCAAGCCACACGATACTTAAACTCAGCGCGTTTGCTCCCCGTGGAAATTGCGGCCAAAGCCATTGCCGTCTCCATCCGCGGGCACCCACCTAATCGAGCAGTCCAGATTCAACGGGGACGGCAAGGAGTCTGAACGAAGAGCAAAGGGGCATGCATCTCGTCCAGCTCTCACGTTCGGACCCAGGATTCCTCGGCTGATTCTTCGCTCGCAAAAGCAGCCCGAGAAGCCAAGACTGGCCGCATCAGCTGGGCCTGTTCAAACCAACGTCCGAGGACATGGATGGAGCCCAGCTTCCCGGAGCCAGCGGACGGAACTGCAATCGTCTTTGGGCCGCCGGGGACGAAAAGAGGAGACAAAAGAAGCCACTGAGGCAGGATGAGAGCGTCCGAGTCGTACCGCATATGCCATGCGCTGCACAATCCTCTGCCATCACTTCAATATTTCCTGACCCTGCATGCATATTCGGCCGAGGACTGACAGGAAAGCGCATATACACAAAGGCCCCCCCACCGTAACGACTTCCTTATCGAGGAGGGACTCGACGACGAGAACTGCATCGGGAAGCCGGAGGACACCGAGCCAAGGGTGTTTCTTTCCTTCAGCCTGCTTTGCCAACTTACGCAGGCCCCTTCTGGTAGCAGGCCCAGTGTCCCAATCGGTCCTCAGCGCATATGCAAGAAGTCGATAAAACGTGTGCTGGCGCCTGTCCGTCTCCACCAAACGCCCCAAACAGAACAACCCGCGACTGGGTGGGATGGGAAACGCCCCCCGTTGCCTCATGCACCTTCGCACCCTAACACTCGCCGCTCGCAAAGATGCCCTCGTACAGAGTTCGTGGGAGATCCAGAACCCCCCACTCTGGCATTCGAACGAGGTTCCAGACCAACCCTCCCCCCCCGTCCCTGACGATCTTGACGACGGCGACGACTTGTAGTTCCTGACGATCTCTGTAAACCAGTTTCCCAGACGGACCGAACAACAGAGCGCGCCCGTGGTACCGGGTCGCAGGAAGGTGGCCGATGACAGACATTGACGGCCAGCACCGGGGCGAATCGATAGCACTGAAGATCGCAATAACACGAGCTTCCCGCAGTCCAGATTCCAAACGAGGAGCCCGAACTGCTTGCGCCAAGGAAGGACGCCAAAACAAACCCGATTAGGCTTCCCCATCCGTCGGCCTGTGGCCCTGAGCGGCGGCGCCTTGCCCATGGGATGCAGCACAGCCAAACACTACGCGTGAGCGCGCGCCCACGTCTGTCCGACGGCCTCGGTGCCCTCCTCTTCCAGCCAGGCAAGCCAGGGAACCCCAAGGCACGCCAAAAATCAAGGTTTCTCCACGTGGCGCCGGACGAGAGATGTCGTATCCAGGCACTGCGAGGCATAGCGCGGGCTGATTGGATGGGCTTCGCTCCCGTGCCGTCCCTGCGAGGGTCTCTCTCTCCCACACCCCTCCCCCTCCCGTCGTCCTCCTTCCTGGGCGGCTGCTAGTCCCGGCTCACACCAAACCAATGTCTCGGTCGCATCATCATCACGTCGCTCGAGATAAAGTGAGACTCGCCTTGTGAAAGGGGCGGGCGGTTCCAGATCACGTCACTCGAACCAAAAGGGAGAAAGCGGCCGAAAACGACGTTTGTGGGTTTGTTTCTGTTTTTCTTATCATTTTTTTTCGTCTGATATCTGACTGAAGCTTTCCCCTTCTCCCAACGTGGATGAAGTCCGCTTGAAGCTCGAGATGAGTTTCGACATCGGACCAAAGAGCTAAGTACAGTGGAGCCAGAGGGTCCGTTTCGTTGGCCGCTCCCCCCCCTTTGTGTGCTAGAATAGTATAAGAAATAGGAAAAATGTCTATGAGTTATCGGTATATGTGTGGTCATGATATGGTCATCAAATAGATAGAAAAGCAAAGAGGCAAGAGTCCATCCTGAACCCGATTTTGTTGCCAATCCAGTCCTGTGGGTGTTATTGTAGTGTCTTGTTCCGGCGTTGCTGAGGTCCAGCGGCAGCAACCTTGAGTGATTCCCGATGGTGTTTTCCCTCGTTCCAAAGTGTTGCGTTGTCCAATAAAGCCACGTAAACCAACCGCGCAACGTAGGCGAAATAAGTAAAATGGAGGCAAAAACAGAAGAAGAAAAAAAGTGCCGTTGAACGCCGCGGTATATTAGTAAAGAAAAGGCTGAAATTGATACCGCCATGAAGTTGGGTGAATGTGGATTTGTGAAAAGAATTGTTGTAATGACGCTGCGTTGATGCCGTTAGACCGCAACGGCGGAGCTCTTTGTTGACCAGCGGCTCTTCTTCATCAGCTTAGAACCAACCTGCTTCGAGAGGCGCTTTCCGGACTTGTTCGACGAGACGACTTCGGCGGGCGTGACGGTCACCATCTCGACCGCAATGGCCTTGTTGATGGCGTCGTTGGAGACCTGTGGCGGAACGCTGTCGCGGCGGAGGTCCTCGTACGGGGCGTTGGCCGGCTTGTCCGTATGGGAGTCGATCGTCTCCAACTCGGTGAAGCGGGTGACTTTGGATTTTGACGTGCTTCTGCGATCCTTCTGCTTCATCGCAGAGGGGGCGGCTGCGACGGCGGAAGCAGGCGCCGGGGCGTATGTGTACGAACCGCTTTCCTCTTCCTCGACAGACTCCCAAACTGGCTCGGGTGTCACGCACGCTGCCGGTGTGGTGGCAGCCGATGATCGGCCAGACATGGGGGCTGAGAAAGGTGCATTGTTGTTGAAATTGAAGGACGACAAGCCCGACGAAGAGCGGACGCTAGTGATCGAGGCGGCGGAGGAGGCGACCGTGTTCTGCTGGCCTGAGAAAGAGTTGCCAAGCTGCATTGGCGGCAGAGACGCTATTGTCGGGATGGCATTGAAGCCACGCATCGATGTTGGTGGTTTGGCTCTGTCTGTCGACGCTGATGACTTTTCAGCCTTGGGCGAGCCGTCGCCTCGCTCAGATGCATCTGATGCACGACGAGAGCTCGGGTGGAGTCGGTGAGCATGAGCAACAGCGGCAGGGTTTCGACGCGCAGCTGGCACAGACTGATGGCGAATGGGCTTCATCTCCAAGTCCTCCTCTGAGCTGGTCGAATGACTGGAGCTACCGGAGGGGGACTCTGCTATAGTATATGTTAGTCACTTGCGGCGGTGAAGCTGACGATGCCATTGCTCAGAGTGAACCTACCCTTGACAGGAGACGGGCTGTTACGCCCCGAGGACCAAGATCGATCCACCTCCTTGCCCTTGAGCGAGATGCGGCTGCCATCGGGAACGGAGTACACGGAGCTCTTGTTGCGCTCCTGCCAGTATGGTGCCGGAGGAGGAACACCGCTATAGCTGTATGCCCTGGGCATGTTGCCCATCGGGCTGGCATTGACGGAAGGGTAGCTGACGTGAGAAAGACTGCTCGAAACGCGAGGCAGACCAGGACCAGGCGTTCTGGTCAATCCGCTGGTAGCCATGGCACTCCTCCTCCGGTTCTGTTCCATAATCTTGGGTCGGTCCTCATGCTTGAAAGACGATGGTGCCCCGGAAAGTGCGTCAATGGCGGCGTGAGTAGGGACGTGTCGGTACGGTTCCTTCGGGGGTTCGGCTGTCTTTTCTGCCTGCTTTTGCTTGTGCTCCTTGGCTTGTTGCCTGGATCTCTTGATGAGCGAGAAGACAGACATCGTGGTGGGTCTGATGTGAAGAGGACGAGAGTGGCGTTGGTGTGAGGCGACGAGTCCAATGGGAACACAACTGCCCGACTAGCTCGACAGTCGAGTGTTGCTTAGGCAAGGGAAAGCAGATTCGTGAACGACTCGGCGTGGCGGGGGGTGAGGTGATAATTAAAGCGAGGTCCCGGTGCACTGTCGTTTTTCGAAGGACGGGATGCCGTATAAGTCGAGCCCGAGCAGCTGGTTTGGACTATACTTAGGCGGCACAGGTGAAACTCGAGCGGTACCACAGACAATAATCAGCTCGGATGACTCTGTGTCCTTGAGATGTGAGCAAGGTGTTGGCTTGGCAAAACTCGTCCGTTCGCTGGGGGCCGTCGTTACGGGCGATAACTCGTGCCTTTCTGACAGGTGGACAGAATGGGCTTCGGCTAGGTTTGAAGCGAGATGATGGAAGATGCTCAATAGGTGGGACGAGATGAGGAGGGATGCAGTCAATATAACTATAAACAGCCTTAGGTAATGCTGCTTGAGAGGCGAGGAACTAATAAGAGAGAGGGAGAGAGAGAGAGAGGGCTGATGAGCGAGAGTTGGAAGGAACAACAGGCAGCCGAGAACAGAAGCTGGGTTCGGGAGCCCTGGTTCCTTTAAGGCGTGGCAGAGGTGTGTGTCTTGGGTTTGGACATGGGAGATGCATGGGGGGTGTGGCAGACTGAGATGGGATGGGTGCATGGGAGGACGTGGATTGGGACGTTTTCCCAGGCCGGGGGGTCCAGACGACGTGCAGCTCGCTCGTTTTCTCTGCAGCTTCTGGCTTCCGAGGGTTCCAATGTGTCTTTTCTTAGCAAGCACGGCGAAGTCCAGCCTTCGAGACGAATCCAACTAAGACGCAGAAAGATGGCGCCGCCGTCAGTCCCGCTTCTTGGATCTGCGAACGCGAGTGATAGTGTCAATGGTGCTGCCGGGCTGCCGTCAAGATGTGTTCGTTTGGCTAGGCGTCGATACCCCTGAATTGCACGGTCAGGTCCAAGGTCCCTCTCAGCTGGCGGTGATTCCCGCCGTCGATGACTCGCAATGGGGGTCGAGACAGGGCGCGAATGAGCGAACAAGAGGGTTACTAGCCCGTAGCTTTTGACAAATTTGGGACCAACGCTTGGCACCGGACTCTGGAGGCAGAGCCTTGGATAGATTCCGTGTCCGGTTCATTGATGGCAACCTCCTTAACCGGGTATTGTTCACACCTCGTTTCGTACTGGTGCCCGAGATAGGCAGCACAGTCTGTCCAGCCCAGTAACCGCAGCAAATCACAGCTGCAGCGGTTCAGAAGCGATTTGTTACCTGATAAAGGTTGGTAGCGGCAGCTTTGCCCTTCTCCTTGGCCTGGGTGAACCCACTGAGAGTTGACAGAGAGGAGAGCGTGGTTTGCCCTTCTGTGCCTCTTTTGCTGGATCAAACGGCCCTCGTATTCAGGCCAAAGTAGCGGTACCTGGTTGCAGGGATGCGCCGGCGACAGCACGAGCGTTATGGTTGTGGCTCCGAAAGAAAGTCTTTGGCTGAAATTCGATAGCGTCGGTGGGAGACAAGCCGCTAGGCCACGCCCAGGTACCCTGTACCAGCGCGTCAGAACGGAGACTGGCGCGGTCTCTGTCAGGGCCCCGACTGGACGGGCGGATGGTACATCGTAGAGGGCCTTTGGTGTCAGCGTTGGTTCCTTTCACCTCTAGATTGAGGTGGTGGTCCCTACGTGCCCAGGAATGGTGTGGAGGATCCAGCCCAGCCGCACTGGACAGGGGCCCGTCGAACTAAAAACGATGGCCGGCTTCAGGGGAATCAGAGCCACTGATGGATGAGGAGCATTGATGATGCTGATGATGAATTGGCGAATTGCTGGTGGTGTGCCAATGTGCCCCCTCCCCTCTCTTCTTTCTCCGTTCTTCCACCACCGCCATCGCCCTCGCCGCCGTTGGCTAGGCCATGTCGAGTAAGACTCAGCGGCCATCCGTCTGGCGTCTTGTCAATGGGCTTTTTGTTGTCCAAATCAACCACGGCAACGGGCGGGCGCATCGTCTATCTTTGGGTTTCCGTTGTGGGCTGTCTTGAACGCCCCTCGGCATCTCTTCCCATTGCACCAACAGAAATGGTCTTGTCTTGTCGACAAATCTCGAGACCTTGAATCGATATGACCATGCCGGATTGGATTCGGGGGTCCGCTGGTCAATGTCGACTTCTTATTCTGTCTCGCTGAGGCTGCTTCGTCCGTAAGAGGCAAAAGCGACGCTTAGTAGAAACGACGACTCCGTGTAACGAGGTTCAGGCCTATACCGATGCAAAGGCCCACCGCACATGCTTACCTTGGAAATGTAAGCAGCAGGATTTACATGGTGTCTTCTATTTGGTTGACGGCCGGTTTGCCGAATTCCTTGCTTTTTCACCCCTCATCTTTGGGGCATTGTTGAAGCGTTTTGGCGGCATGCAATGGAAAGGTATTATGTATGTAAGATTACGCCCCTGTTCGAAGTCTCTATTCGTGCAGGTATATGTGAATGCTCCAGCGACTTTGCAAGGTTGGGTTGTTGGTATGAGCATGGATGATATGGGTCGTGTTTGGTGTGAGACTGGTTGCAGGCAAGGGAAAAGAAGGTTAGCTGGCGCTCGGACGGCGGGAGCTACCTGCCGCTCGAAACAGGATAAATTCCAGATATCCGTCTAGGCAGGCGGACCCAAGAAACTCTGACGAAGGAGAGGAGTTATCGAATGACGGCCTTCCTTCCCTCCATGTGATGCGATTGTCCTGCATTTGATATCTACACGTATCCTACACTATATGCCTGCCCAAAGATCCTCCAACTGGATGATTGACCTTGCACAATCTCATGGAGGGGCTCTGCTGCATTGGGTGTTGGCTGATTCCCACTCAGGCGAGATAACCTGTTATCTTCTTGTTCAGAATGTCAGCTCGGCAAGTAAGCTTATATCTCGACCTGCCTGTTCCCGTCTTTTCTCCATCCATTGCACATGTTGAAGCGTCCCTGAGCACGGCACACCTTTCCAATACGGAGTTGGCATCTAGTGAGCAAATAAGCACAGGCATACTTCATCCTCTCCGTGCATCTCCAATCTAGCTGAGGCTAGCAAGCATCCCGGTTTACGCTCCGGGCCTTCATGAATCATAGCCCAATGTCAGGAGCTAATGACACTTTGGTTCCTGACGCCAAGCAGCCAGCCAAACTCCCGTTGGTTGTAGCTGTCATCTGTACGCATCTTAGTTGACAGCAATCAATGTCGTACCCCAGAAAGCCTTAAGCCTCCCAAGCTCGTCTCATCACATTCGACCGGGATGAGCCAATATTCTCCAGGCCTCATGTAAGCCCCTTCATTTAACCTGCGTTACTCATCTATCTTACATACAACACACACACGCATAACTTGCTTGCCGCAGTCGGCCACAACAGGCCAGCATTATGTGCTCACCGGCACACACTTGCACACCGCACAGGGAAAATTCCCGACCGCCGTGCTGTATCGACCCTACGTCCCGGCGCACATGCGATGCTTGCATGATGATACCTTGCTCGACCCAGCCGCTTGGACTAAATCGGATAGCAAGCTGAACTGGCGGCTCAGGTTCAGCCACCTGAAAATGACCGTATCACAGCTGGCTTGCAGGGCGAGACTTGGACTAGGAAAGCTCTTGGTTATCTCGACCCTGGCAACCTGGCCCCGGGAATATTGGACTCATCGTTTGGCTTTTAAACCAGGTCAGAATGCACTACCCGAATCCATAAATTGGGAATACCGTGCTGAACGAAGGCGAGTGCCGCTATCTCGGTCGTTTCGAAGAATAACGTCGCCGTGCAGGCTACCGTTGCATCGCCAGCGCCAAACCACTTCTTTGCTTTTCTCTTATCTCTGGGACCCCTGTAGTGCACGATGACGCCTTGGCAGGAGTTGGGAGAGCCACGCACTCGGGTGACAAGAAACAGCGACGCTTTCCTATACTTTTACCATACCTACACATCCCAGCGCTGCTTTTGTTACCCGAGTGCCACGGCTGTTGCCAGCTTTTGCGCCTCTGGACGGCGATCATGTTACCCAGCTTCTGGCCTCAAGACTGGCGTTCTTGGCACATCTCAGCCTCATGCCATGGATAGGCTCTCTTTGTGTTGGTGGCCTAGGGAGTCGAAAACCCAAACAATGGCGTTGCTGACAAGCCTAAGTTTGTGGCTTATCGACAACCTGCCTCCCGAGAGACGACGTTTGTGTCAGCCAGCCATACATCCTGTCAATCCAGGACCTCAATGGATCCCATAGGGTGGACGGTGAGACTAGGCCGGCGTGGATGGGCTTGCCGCAGTACCGGACAGCCTACACCTCCCACGCCGCCACGCACCACAGGCTCCAAAGGCATCCCACTGAGCCTAGCCGCTCGACCTTCAGGGGTTGTGTCATTTTTGATCGGTCTCAGGCAGTTTAGTCTAGGCTGGACCGTTCCGATCAACGCAAGGGTGCCTATCAATAGCTGGACGCATGATGCGACGCTGCCATGGATAACGTTCCGTTCCATGCCACCCTCGTCGTGTCGTGTATCGGAACGGTCAGTCGTAAACGCCTCGTCATAAACGCAATTATACAACTACCTTTCAAGCCCCATAGGCTAGCATACCGCCTTGTTTTATCGTCGTCGTCACGCGTGCCTCTGCGACACTGCAGGGCCGTATCGTGTGAGTTGGCTTGTCCACCTGCGCTGGCAACAGGTCTCGAAGAGGAAAAAGGGTAATGCCGCCATCTGACATGCATACCGCCATCCACCGAACAGCATGGGCGAATAAAGTTGCGCCCACTTCTAGGCGAAGGCAAGCGACAAAGATAAGATGCTAAGTCGAGGGCTTTCGGTTGAATCTCGTCGAGTTTCCATCCACTCGAGGCCGAAAAACTTGTTTACCTGCATCATCGAGATTGGTAGGCTGATGTACCGTCCACATTGCGTTGAGGACCCTGGTTCGCTCACTCTGCGCCACAACTAGCATTTTCTCCGCCGCGGCGCTCGCCAGCAGTCTCCGGCCCGTCCGGGTTTACTACCCCCCCTGCTAGATCACAGCGCCGGCGTGAATTATTTCCTTACATCCTTGGTCATTATGCAAGCAACCCTGTCCAAAGGTGGCAGCCAAATTTCCCTGCTATGGGGGATGTCACAAGTGCCTTGTCGAGATTGCCCGTACGGGTGGACCAGCTGCGAGCTCCATGTTGATGCCTCTTGGCCAGCAAGCTGACACTACTCGCTTTCCGGACCTCGCTTCACGGCTTTGGCGGCGGGCTACCTTTATGCATTCCGCTAGCCCTATAGTGACTGAGAGATATCCCAGATTAGACGTGAACCGACAGATTCGGAAAAGGCGGTGGTGGGCAGCTTGCGTTTGCGCTGTGACTAAGAACGCCGATACGGGAATGTCGGAGGACCCTAAATAGTGAAACTGCAGATTGCTGTTCAAATAGCCCGAGTTGCCCACTCTTCCTTTGTTTCTTCCAAGCCACCGCAGTATCTCTACCCCGTCTCGACAAAGACGATACTGGGGTACCGAGACTCCAGCCCCCACATTGGAGACTCCTCCCCCTTGGCGCATCGCTCTCGATTCGATGCGACCTCAAGCAGATGCCATCACCCAGAGCAGTCCCATCCTCACAGGCCGCCTTCGTTTGGATTCGACGGCGCCGTTGTACAAAGAATGAACCAGCCCATATATCGCCTCGCATCTGCCGCTCACCAGTTCTGGAACCAACGAGCAGACATGGGTCGTCGCCGATTAAGTCAATGATGATGAAGCAATGACATACGCTGCTCGAATCCTCGAGTTTCGAGCTGTCGATCCGTAACCGGGTATCAGAACCTATCTAGCTCATGACTACAAGTGAGATATGGCGTCTTCATATACCGACTAAGCGCTGCTTTGACGAAGTCGAGGCCGCGGGGACTGCAATCACAAAGGGTCGCATCATTTGGTTGGTGCAGCGGTGACGTGGGCATTGCATGGTCCGTGGCGTGCCTGACACATGAAGAGACAATATATATCTGGAAGCTTTTGGGCGAACAAGACTGGTGCTTCTGCTCAAGGGCCTGTCACGCGGGAGCTAAGCCATGGCTCCTTGCGGTTTTCGATCGATGCTGGAACTGCGGAGGCTTCCTAGAGTCCAGGAACTTTCAGCCGGACTGCAAGGCAGTATCGCTAGCAACACTCGTTCATTAACCAATAGGCGAATGCGCCCTTGCGTCTGGAGGCGAAGAAGGAGAAGAGAAATGAGGATGCTCAAAGCGGGGATGGAAAATCTGATATCGTGGGGATTGGCGATCAGAACCCCTGCACGTTTTAAACCTTCAAGCGCCGAAGCAGGAGAGCCCTGTATTCCAGAGCCCCAGTGGTGTGGCACGAGCTCTTGGGATGATCTGCACGGAAGCACCCCAAGCAAGAACTGGGTCGCTTCTGATGCTCTGGACATCATTCTTGGAACGTGGGGGGAGAGGGGGATCGGAATTCTGCTTTCGCATCCGCTTTGCCAAATACGACGGATGCTTTTCCCATGACGGGTGTGCTATCACACAATGCTGAGCCGCTCGATGTTTATCAAACGCACTCGGCGGGTCATGTTCGGGATGACCACAAATGTTCACAGCGGGAGTGGAACATTGCTGCAGCGGTCTTGCGACAGTGGCATGGTTCGACCGGTCCATGCAATCCCCGTACTCTCTGTTTCGCTGCGTCGACGAGGAATGCTATCCGGGAATAAGCACCAGCTTGGTCTCCGTTCCAGGTATCTGGCATCGCTGGGCGTTCGTCAACAACAAAGTTGACGCGTGGGGAAGCTGAACCATCGTTTCTAAGTTGCTTCGCTTTGCAGTTGGCGTGTCTTTGTTGTCGGTCCCACAAACGTCTGTCTGATGGGATGAATCAAAGGGTTGGATGCCGAATTGAAACGTGACGAGGCTGAAGTGCAGCCCCAAGGCTGCGATTAAGGTTCAGATATGCTATTTGACGAGACGACCAGGAAGGGAGAGAAAAAAAAGAGGATGCGCGAGGAAGCGCACTAGGCATGCCAGTTGCCGCATTCTGCAGGGACCTCAGTGTGTTTCCCATCCAAAGGTTTCCGTTTGCCTCGAGTCCTCCTCGCACTTTGGCAATTGCGACACTGAAAAGGGCTCCTTGGGACGAGAGGTGGATCAGTACTTGATGCCTGATGATTAGTCATATTTGTCCCCACCCAGCGACAAATCTCAGGCGAGAGCCTGCCCGAAAGGGAAAATTAGACGAGTAGCCGCACGTTGACGCAACGCAAGCCTCCCCCAGTGGTTGTCGCGGATGCGATGTGGTAGGTGCGGCGGGCCCATAATTAGTTAGTGTCCTGCGGGTACCGAGCCGGAAAGTGACGAGTGGGAGGTGGCAGGGTCCAGTCACGGTGCGGTGTGCGGTTGGGTTGGGCTTGCCAGTGCCAGGGAATCACGCGCATTGGACGGTAGTGATTGCGCCCCCCCAGTGCCAGCAGCAAGCAGCAGCAGCGGCGGCCAGCGCAGTTTCCGTCCCAGCCCAGGCAAGTCCCGTACCAGTCCAGTCCACAGTCCACAGTCCACAGCCCACAGTCCCAGTTCGCCTCTTCTGTCCGACCAACCGACCCGACCGACCGAATACAGCCTCAAAGTTCTTCCATCTCATCATCATCCGCAAATCCACGCAACCCAAAAATTATTGCGCCGCGTCGCCGCAGTCGATCCGCCCCGGATTTCAAACTCGCCCGCTTCCATCTTCGCAAGCGCGCTGCTTATCTATTGTCGCCTGCACTCCGCTATCGCTGTCGCGTCAGCAAGCATCCATCCTTTCCACCTCACGTTGCCGCCTTGCGTCGCTCAACCTCCCCGGCGCCCGCCAATCGCGCGACCCGACCGCCCCCTCCCATTTTGATGGCTCCCTGATCATCTCGTCCCTACGTCACCCGGGCACTTCTCGTTGCCACAAACCATCGACGACGACCGCATCTTTGACGAGCTCTCGAGTTCTCGTCCCCGACCGACGTCTCGCTTGAGAGCCGCGCCCCATTCCAGGCGCGACCGACCGACGGGAAAGTGGCGCTCACCATCCTCAGCCAGACCGACGCTGAGCTTTCACTCCAACAACATCTCGACCTCGCTCCCGATATCCTCAGTTACCCCCGTCTCACCACCGAGGGGGGCACCGAACCATTGATGATGGCACAACCCGTGCCTCATCATGCGACGGACAAGAAACGCGTCAAGGTCTACGAACTGCGCAACAATGACTGGTTCGACCGAGGCACCGGCTTCTGTACTGCTGCCTTCATGCAGGTACGTCTGTAGCGCGCGCGCGCCTCTCTATTCCTGCTGCTTTGCTTGCTACCTCGAATGACTCTCGTCCCCTTGACGGTTCGATACTAACGTGATGGTGACTCGTCAGACGGAAGAAGGCCAACCTCGAGACCCGAGAGTCATTGTCGAATCCGAAGACCACCCTGACCGGCTTCTACTAGAGACCAAGATCTGCAAGGAGGATGGTTTTCAGAAGCAGCAAGGTACGTCGCACGTCGCTGGCATACTTGTCGCAGATTGACTGACCCACGATATAGAGACTCTGATTGTCTGGACGGAACCTAGCAATGGCATTGATATGGCTCTTTCCTTCCAGGAGGCGGATGGCTGTGCTTTGATCTGGTAGGAGACAAACTTGTCTCTCTTTTCGCTGATACCTGTTGCTGACCACAGCCTCGCAATAGGAAATTCGTCAACAGTGTGCAACAGACTTTCCAGGGCGGAATGGCTGGCGCTGGTAAGTCTCGTGCCGCTAACATGCCGTGGAGATCGCGACCTAACATTTCAGACGTAGATGACGGCCTCTCTGATGATCTTGCCATGGAGATGCCCAGCTCAATCAGCCTTCCTCCTGCCGAGATAGGGAATCTTCCCGAGATCGAAACCAGCATGCGCATCATGAGTCAGACCGTCAACGGACGAGAAGCACTTTGCAAGTGCATCACCCAAGAGGGTTACATCCGCAAGCTGATCCCTTTGGTCGAGATGGCCGAAGATCTCGAGAGCTTGCCCGACCTGCATCGATTATGCAACATCATGAAGACAGTCATCCTTCTCAACGACACCCAACTTATCGAGCATGTAGTTTCCGACGAATGTGTCCTTGGCGTTGTCGGCGCTCTCGAATACGATCCAGACTTCCCAAGTCACAAAGCGAATCACCGTCACTGGCTTGACAATCAAGGCAGATACAAGGAGGTTGTCCCGATCGAGGACGACAACATTCGGAGGAAGATTCACCAGACCTACCGTCTCCAATACTTGAAGGACGTTGTCCTCGCACGGATATTGGACGACCCTACCTTCTCCGTTCTCAACTCTCTGATCTTTTTCAACCAAGTGGACATCGTTCAGCACTTGCAAGGAAACGGAGGGTTCCTCAACGAGCTCTTCAGCATTTTCAAGGTGACCCAAACGGATCAGATGCGGAAGAAGGAAGCCGTTCTTTTTATCCAACAATGCTGTGCCATTGCAAAGAACCTCCAGCCTCAAGCTCGCCAAACGCTTTACAACAACTTCCTCAGCCACGGTCTGCTTCAAGTCATCAACTTTGGTCTTCGTCATCCCGACGTGAGTGTGCGAGTAGGCGCCACCGACGTACTGGTCTCTTTAATCGACCATGATCCCCACATGATTCGCGGCACCATTTACCGGCAGCTTCACGACGGTCAGCCGCCGTTGACGGATTCGCTCATCGACTTGCTCTTGGTAGAAGTCGATCTCGGTGTAAAGTCTCAAATCTCGGATGCTCTGAAGGTCCTCCTCGACCATGGACCCCCGATGCAGTCGCAGGAAGCCTTTGCAAAGGCGAACGGGGAGTTCTCTGGCCGAAGGCCACAGGCAGCGGAAAATCCTCAGCACGAGTTGTTCCTTTCCCATTTCTACTCGACATCAGCACAGCGGCTCTTCAGGCCACTGATCGACCTTCAGGGGCGCACAGACATGACTTTCCCAGTGCAGCAAGCGTCAATGTTCACCTATCTCATTGAGATTCTGTGCTTTTTCATCCGGCAGCATGTGCACCGCAGCAAGTTTTTCGTCCTTCAGCAGGATCTCCTGCGACGAATTGCTCAGCTCTTCGCTTGCCCGGAAAAGTACCTACGGCTCGGTAATTACCAATTCAACAGTAGTTTTTGACCATCGCTAACCAGCATCACTAGTTGCCATCCGCTTCTTCCGTAACTTGGCAGGCATGCAGGACAACTTCTACGATAAGCACATCATGGAACATGGGATTTTGGAGCCTCTGCTCGACATGGTCTTCCAATCCATGCCCCGAGACAATCTTCTGAGCTCGGCCTGCGTAGAGTTTTTTGGATTCATCACTCAACAGGAACACAGAAAGGAGATGAACAAGTTCCTCGTTCAGAACTACCGGGAGCGGCTGGTTAATCTGAGCTACATGGATACCTTCCGGAACATCATAGTGGTCTATGATCAAACGCAAGGGCACACCATTGACTTTTACACGGAGTCAGAAGAGGACCATGCAAGACGAACCGCCAATCCCAACCAGAGGATGATGGAACACATCGCCGTTGATCAAGCCGAGGAGGACTACTTCAACACATCAGACGATGAAGATGGCCCTGAAAGCAGAGCCTTTGACAAGGTGCAGCCGACAAATGGCTCGGACGCGTCAACGCCAGCCTCTAAGCCACTGGTCGATTATCCTTCGGACGAAGAGGTAGACGAAAACGCGGACCCCGAGGTCTTGCCGACATCCGGCGAGAAGCAGGATGGAACGGATGGTGCTTCCGACACAAGCAGTGAATCATCTTCAGTGGCACCCCCAGAACGACTCTCGGAGAAGAGGCGTCGCGAGGAAGATGACGATGATGAGCTCGGCAAGTTGATGCAGAACAAACGGAGGAACAGCAGTTCTGCAGGTTCGAACGCATCAATAACGTCGAGCATGGTCAGGAGGAAAAAAACCTTTGCGGATCGGTCAAATACGGCGACGCCGAAGAAGATTGCTATCAGCATATCTCCATCAGTGAAAACTGGCGGGGCGGCGAGGTCAGATGATGAATCCTAGGCGTTTTCTCCTGCATATACTGCGTGGTCGATTGCTGATATGATTGGTGATGACTGTTTCTATCATGCTTTTACCAAGGACGGGCGAGTTTCGGAGGCCGAGGCGTTATTATTACAGTTCACGAAACGGGAATTCGATAGGAGTTGTCAAAGCTAGCTAGAGAGCGGAAGAGTGTTCGAGGGACACCTTGTCGTGGGAGAGAAGAGGATACGCATGGTTCCAAAGATGTTCAGACAAAGGCAAGCTGGCAAGTTGACATTCAGAGTGCACCGACGGAAGGGACCCCTTAGCGGGGGAGGGGATCGCGAGAGAAGAAGAAAAGGGAACAAAACCCATCATGGTATGGGGCTCTGCGGGCTGGGATCGTTGAAGTAGCTACGTGTACCATATTTGTTCAAGTTGCCTCGCTCAGGCTTCGCCGCCGGGCGAGCCTGTTTCTACGAGGCTTTGTCTCTGGGCGCGTAGGTTCCAACCCTTCTCCGAGCAGATATCAATTTGGATTGAACCAACCTCTGTCTCCCTGTGCTGTTTGCTGGCTGTGACCGCAGCTGCGAAGGATGATGCCGCCCGAGTCGGTTTTTTGCAACCACTGTGTAATAATGTGAAGAGGAGCCGGCGTACAAACCCGCCCCGTGGAAACCATGGAGAATCGGAGGAGCACGTGCTGCGTGACGCCAAATTGACATTCCTTGGGTCGTTCATGTTACGCATTGTACATTGAATTCTTTTCTCTGTGGCTGCTGTCAAGTTTACATTTACATGTACACATATTTGTACACACTACCTGGTATGAATCCTTCTCCCTTATCTAACAGTGGTCGAGCTCCATGACCATGCTCCTTTGGCCGGCTGGGACCCTCTCAGTGCCGTGTCGGTCTCCTTGGTGTTCTTCCCCACATGTACTCCCGAGCGCCTGACAATTTTAACTGGGGGCGAAGGAGGCACGTCGTCCTCTTCTCCCTCGCTCGTCGCGTCCCACGCCTGTTCCTCTACCTTGGGAGCCGGCGCGAGACTCGCGGCCTTGCCCGCGCGGTTGGGCTTGACGCCGCCCCGAGAGATGGCGTTGAGGAGCACCTCACGCGCCTCCGTCTTCTGGTCACGGTTCTCGTCGCCGACGGCCGTGCGGGCCTCGTGGACAAGGGCCATGATCTCCAGGTCCGACTTCCTGAGCTCCTCCGACTTGGTGGCCCTCGAGCTCTGCTTAAGGTAGTTGAGCGCCCAGTGCAGGGCGCGCCGACACTCCCTCGAGGTGCGGTACTCGCGGTCCTTGAGCTCGGTGAGCAGCCAGCGCACCTTGTCGTACTCGTGGCGGAGGACGTAAGCGGTCAGTAGGTTGGCAAAGTTGTAGACGCTGTAGCAGAGGTCGTTGTGGCCGTTGACCTCGGCGGCAATGATGCAGAAGGTGACCATCTCCCGGTAATTGCGCAGGGCCTGGCAGACCCGGGCCGCGCGGTTGAACAGGCCGTCGTCGATTTGCAGCTGCCTGCCTCGCAGGTCGTCGAAGATAGCCTTGATGTAGGGAAAGGGCCGGCCTCTGCCGTCCTCGCGGCCCGCGGCAGTTACTTTATGGGCCTTTTCGATCTCCTCAAGTTGTGTGAAGACGATCGGGCACATGGCTTCGCTGACGTCGCAGCCTTCGGCCTGTGCCTTGCTTAGCAGCGACATGGCTTGCCTACTCCTGGAGCCTTCGAAATGGACCGTCGCTCTGACGGCTAGTTTAAGACACCGACTCGTATGCCCCATGCCGTTGTGCACAGCGCGCTTATAGACGGCTAGCACGCGCCTCCAGTTGCCGAGCTGGGCTTCGACCTTCATGCGCTCAAAAGCCGATGCCTCGTTGGCAGGGCTGACCATATAAGCCGTCACTCGGACTCGTTTTGACCGCTCGACCGTGTTGGTCAATGTGAGGTTCTTCACGCACTGCTCAATGTCGGGGAAGGCAGCATCGAAGCTGGCGCCCTTCATAGCACGATAGAGATCCAGTATCTGCTGGCTGTCATATTTCCAGTCTCGCTTGCAACTGGTCAACATGGAGGTCCAGAAACTGCCGTCTGTTGTGTACCCGGCATCCTTGCAGAAGGTCAGCCATCGCTTGAGCGCCTGTACATCACGGCACTTTGCGTGTCTGTCTGCGATGAATGTAACCAGATGGCGATCAAGGCTCAAACCGAGCTCTGGGATGTATGTCTCGAGAAACGTTTCCACCTCGCCCCACGTGTGAGTCTTTGCGTACGTTTCCAGTGTTGCTACGAAAACACGCTTGAAGTGCTCTCGGTTATGCTTGGAAACAGACTGCATCGGCTTCATGGTCTCGAAATCGGCGCGGACTCCGGCCCAGTCCCCGTTGTCGGCCTTCTGCAAAACGAACTCGCCGAGGATTTCAACGTCTTGTCGGGCCCTTGGATACTTCGCAATGAGTGTGTCCAATTGCAGCCGTGCCCTTTCGGTTTGGTTGGCTTCGATGCAGATCCGCACCATCCTGGATTGGACATCGTATGTATTTTGGATTCCGTAAAAATCGGTTTCCCGCGCGTCATTGAAGATTTGAAGAGTGTCCGCAAAGTTGCAGGTTGAATTCCAGTAAACCCACAGTAGATCTCTCAGCCACAACCTTGGCATATCCCAGCCGTCTCGGTCCCTGAGCTGGTTGATTCTCTGGAGAACCTCGCGACACTGGTAACCTCGAGAAGCGATGATCGACTCAACAATGTCGGCGCATATTCGCTTGGAATACGCAGAGGTATGGTCGAGTTTTGCAAATATCTCAAGGAACGCATCGATGGCCAGAATATGTTGGCCATGTCCCGCGAGTTGCAGCATGAACCAGACCGTAGTTCCAAGCTTGTCCTGGTTTCGAGCGGAGACTTGTCGAATGAGTTGGATAACGTCGACCGAACATTTTGCCTCCAGAGCACGGCCGATAAGCTCTTTGCCGACTCGGACATAGTCAAACCGTAGCGTCGACTGCTCTGGTGGCAAAAGTTCGACATTACCCATGTACAGTCTTGCTGCGAGATATAACCGATCTGAGAGCTGTTTGCCAGCGAGTCCTTGCAAATTCTCCTGAGCTACCAATGATTCAACAACCTCAAGGAGACGCTGAGCCAGGATGCTGCCTTCTTTGATGACCCCATGATTGACCGCGAGCTCCATTATCTGTCCAGCAAATTCAAAATTGCCCTCCTGCTGGCAGGCGGCTGATAGCAGCGAGGACAAGTCTGACACCCAACCGGGTAGCTCTTGCGACTTGTCGACAGATTTGTACGCTCTGCGGACAAGGTTCAGAGAAGTGATTGGGGCGTGAAGATCGCGTTGTTGCTGTTGTGTCGGGTTGAGTAAAGAGTCTTGAAGCCTTGCAAGTCCTCTATCATGAGGGTGCTCCCTTACTACGCGCTCCACCACCGCGGCGATGACGGTCTTTTCCATGAGTCGCGTGTTCGTGCGACTCTCTATCGACCTTTGAATACCCTGGTTGTTGGGCACGGCCTGTGTCGCGGAAGCCGAGGACGGAAACCTGGACCACGAAGGATCATTGCTGCATCTCTTCGCGGCATCGAAAGCGGATCGTCCGCGTTGATCTGGTGCTGCTGGTTGTTCTGAGGATGTTCGTAGGGCGATCCGCTCGTTCGCTGCTCTCGTTGGCCGTCGTGCATCAGGACCGACATCGTTGACATGGTGATCTAAGTACGAGCTATCAAATGACAGCTTGCCATGTTCGTAGGAAGAAAAGTGATTTCGCGGTCGGGCTGACCAGCCGATGAAGTTAGGATCGTTGGCGACTTCTTCCTGAAGGGCCTCGAGGGCAGCGACCCCGCTGGAGCTGTATCGTTTGAGAGACTTCAATCTCCTGCCATTTTCAACCGCGGATCGAGCAAGCTTTATGCGCTGGCGGCGTTCCTCGGCTAGTAGCACAAGAGAGCATGATGTTCCGAAGAGAAGACCTCGAAGTGCATGGATCGCTGCCTTCGACGGGACAGGGGCGGGAGAGGACATTGTACGAGCTCGACAATGGCCATGATCATTCTCGAGTCGATTATCGGGTCATTTCGAAGGAGGGAGGCTCAATCGATCGGGAGTAGCTGTCGTGCTGTCGAAGTGGCGGATCAATGGGCCGTTAGTACGGGCTAGTCAAAAAGTTCGAGGACCCTGTCAAAGCTACACTTATTATCGTACCACCCTCGGGTCGTTGATGCGCGGTCGTCTCGACTCGCCAATAGCCCGGCCGTCGGGTCAGAACTTGATGCCCACTGGGCTTAGGTTGATCCGTACCCGACAAATGATGAGTCATCAATGTGCATCTGAACCCCAGAGCCACATAGGTACATACGGAAGCATTCGTGGCAAGAACGTCAAGTGCCTGTTTGCCTGTTTGTCTTGCCAGTTGTGAATGGCTTCACCTGCTGATCATTTTCCTCTGTTCAATTTACATATTATCATCAGGTGATTTTGTATCATCTTCTTGCATTGGCTGAGATTGTCATGTGAGATCTAGCAATAAGATTGGAGGAAGTTGGCCCGGCAGCTTATCAATCAATGCCCTTCTCACCAAGAAGAACGGTCAAAGTCGAGTGCCACAACCATTCTACCTAGTAGGCCTACAGCGGGAAAATTAATTGAATGAACCCGAAAGGTTAGCCTGACTCTAAATACTTGAAACCACTCCACATATTGTGCACACCACCATGGTTGGAAAGCTCGAACGATTGGGAACGTCCACGCTCGGGGTTAAGACCGGCGATTAGCAGTTTTTGTCTGGCAAATGTCATCTACATGGCCCTTGCGCAGGTCAATATGCATGGTGTTGGCTGGAACATCACGGACTTAGAGACTGACGCTGGAGCTAACCCCTAACCTGCACATGTCCAATGGGATTCAGCGGTCCCGATGAGACTCATCGAGCAATCATGAGATCATCAGGAAATGGATCTACGGCACATCTTGCCGACCAGTGGGGAAGTCCATTGAACTCGTGTGCCCCATCCTCAGATGCGTGTTGAGGGGAAGGAACAGTCGGTATGAGTTTCCCCCCCGCCCTCCTGCCTGAAGACAATTATTCAAATAGAAGTCAATCGCAACTCCAAATTTCCGCGTTAAACAGTCCATGCTCACTCAACCCATCTTATTCCCCTCGTCTCCGACTTAGAACAGCGCATCCATCTACCATCAACATGTCGGCCCTACCTATGGCACCTCCCCCAAAGAGTCTCCTGGCTCGCTATCGCATACTTTCTCCCACAGCCTCCGTCCGAGTGAGCCCTCTGTGTCTGGGTGCCATGAACTTCGGCGATGCCTGGTGAGTTATGTCCAGCGGAAGATGGTCTTCGATTTCTCTACTGACTGGTGGGTCAGGAAGGGTTACATGGGAACTTGCGACCAAAAGACTGTCGAGGAGATTCTCGATTTCTTCTATGAACAAGGGGGCAACTTCATTGATACCGCCAACAACTACCAATTTGAAGAGTCCGAGGCCTGGATCGGCGAATGGATGAAGAAAAGGGGTGTTCGTGACCAGATGGGTGAGTGTTGTCATCCACCCTCTACCAAATTCTTCTGACGCTGTGTAGTCATCGCGACCAAGTACACCACCAACTTCCAGGCCGGCCCCAACGCGCCCAACATCATGGCCAACTTCACCGGTAACGGATCCAAGAGCTTGCATACATCTGTCGAAGCCAGCCTTCGCAAGCTGCAGACTGACTACATTGACCTGGTGAGCAGACTTACCTCTCGCCAGTCAAGTGACGTCACTGACTGAGACTAGCTCTACGTACACTGGTGGGACTACTCTACGTCCATTCCGGAAATGATGCAGTCGCTGAACAATCTTGTCGTTGCCGGCAAGGTTCTCTACCTCGGCATCAGTGATACTCCGGCGTGGATTGTCAGGTACGGACCGTGGGATGAACACTGTGATGGACTAAGTACTGATCAATAATTAGCAAAGCAAATGAGTACGCCAGAAACCATGGGCTTAGGCAATTCTCCGTCTACCAGGGTCGGTGGTCTGCTGCTTCGCGAGACTTCGAGCGAGAGATTATCCCGATGACCAAGTCTGAAGGAATGGGCTTGGCGCCTTGGGGCTCTCTTGGAGGCGGTGCCTTCAAGACAGAAGAGCAACGAAAGTCTCAAGAGGGCCGTAAAGTCCAAGCCAGTGAAGCGCAGATCAAGATCAGTCAAGTGCTGGAGAAGATCGCCAAAAACAAGAACACCATCATTACCAGTGTTGCTTTGGCGTACGTATTGCAAAAGGCGCCGTACGTCTTTCCTATTGTTGGCGGCCGCACCGTCGACCATCTGAAGCAGAACATCGAGGCACTTGCATTGAACCTCACCGATGAAGACATCCAAGAGATTGAAGGGGCTGTTCCGTTCGACATGGGCTTCCCACATAATTTCTTGTGGGGAGACAAGGTGCCAGCGAACTCCGGTGAGGTCTGGTTGTTGAACATGGCAGCAACTTTCGACTACGTTCCCGAGCCCAAGGCCATCGCACCCAAAGAGGGTGGACAGTAGGGCTGGCGAGTAAGGACTCAGCGTCAAAGGTGGCGGCCAAGAGACTATTGAGCCACCGTTAATCCAGATTGTGGAATGTTCTTAACTATGGAAGCTGCTCAATCAAACTGAATAATTTCACATCGGGTCCGTGAGTTCCTTGCGCGCATGTGAGGCGCAACATTATCGCGTACAAAACTGTGGTACACAAGTAGCAACAAGGGGGCGTCGCTGCAGGGTGTGAGGCTCCGTGACCTGCAGCACAGCTGCATAAACCTAGTAAAGGCTCATCGCGGCAAGATAGTCATCCTGTCATCTTGGTTCCAATTAGACTACGCGATTAGTGTTACTGACAACCTGAACGGCTTATAATAACTCAAATATTTGCCGCTCAGACGCCCTATATTGGTCCACATTTTACTTGACGTATCGTTGTCATTCACAGCGGTTACAAAAGAAAGAAACCCAAATATGTTTGGCTCGAAGCTCCATTACTGAGATAAAAGAGAGCAAATATGGTAAAGAGGTGGGTAGAGCGTAGCAGAAGAAGTCAGTTGGGAGGCTCAAGGGTCAGTCCACCTAAGCGTATCCGATCCCTAGATACGCCTAGCTGGATGCAGTCTGGCTGCACGCTCAGAAGGCGAAAAAAGGCATATGCCCGTATATGTGAACAGACCAGCGTGGTGTGTTTGATCATGGAAGGAACAAAGAGGCGATTGGTATTAATGAATTCCCAGCAGGTACCGCGAGAAGCTCCTTCCTGAACACGGTTATGTGCTCAAATCTCCATATCCACCATACCCGACCTAAATATTCCTCTCTCATCAAAACGAACAGTATTTATGGCCTTTGTTTCCGTTGGTTCGACGTCATCCTGCTAACTTCTATCCCCGTTGAAGAACATCCCGAGAAGAGTGGCATCGAGTATTACAGTCCACAAGCAGCTGACGAGTCTCGCTCTCGAACGATGCCGCCCGAAATCCAACGACAGAGGCTGCAGCGTATCTGGAAATATTCGAACAGGCGCCCCCGGAGGCCGAACAGAACATTGGCATCATGTTCAATGTCACCAACAAATGAATCTAACCAGCCAAACGGGTTTGGCATAGGAGATTGCAGCCATGATAAAGCAAGATCAGCACAGCCTTGCTCGGCAATGCCACTGTGAGTTTGGCACTTCAAGTTCCGGGATTGGCTGATCGATATAATAGGCTGCATGAACATCGCGATAATTCCTCAGTCCTAGAAGGGCCTGATTCGGCAAATGTTCAGCCGCAACCGCTTAATATTTCTGTTACCGTGGCACACGAAGATAACGACAGCGAAGGGGTGTCGGTCGAAAGACAGCTTTTCAACAAGAAGATCCCCGGCGAAACAAATCCAGACATGGGTGCTGAAATCTGCGTGAAGATCGAAGAGTCTTCTCCCTTTATCTGGTCCCCATCACCCGAATTCGAAACACCAGGTCATAACTCCCTTATGGTGGACGCAGTCCCATCTGAATGCAACCCAACCTTTACGCTTCAATCTTACTCAAGCAGCCGATTCGATCAGAATGAAGGTAAGTGAAATGTGTGTGCATCCGTGGCCAGCTCTTGACAGCTTCGATAGCATGGGATATCCCCAAATATAGGCAAATCATACAGCATTCTTCGCTGCTGTCTCCCCAAACATCGAGTCGTATCAAAAGTCAACGCGGAAGATCCTCCGCCTTTCGCCGTAAAGAAATGATGCTCGAAAACTGCAAAGCTTTGATGGGCCCCATAACAGCAAACACTTTTCTTCGACAGAGCATCAGAGATGGTTTCGATGAGAAGGAAGCCTTTCTCTCCGGTAAACAGCACAGCGCTAAACGAAGAAGGAGATCGCCTCCGCCGCTTGGCATAGGCTCCCTTCCCGTCACCGTTGGCCCAAAACCCAACAACCCTCGCAAAGTTACGAAAAGAACAGGAAGGCACGAGAGTTTCGTTGTAGACCCTGATTTTGGTCCAGACAACAATGGAAAGGAACGACTAGAAGAAGCCGATGCAGAAGTCGATCTTTTGGTAACTTCGAGTCGTGCTGGGCGACTAAAGCACCACATCATTCCTTCTATTGAAACGAGCGCAGCACACATTAGCCTTAAGAAGCGGGCTATGTTACCCTCTCTGCGTACTCATGACAATGTACGTCAAGTCGGAGGTTTAAGATATGATTTTGGTAGTTTGTACACGAGTTTGTCGTCCCCCGTCGACGACAAACACCGCACAACTGGCTTCCTCTGTGGAAGGTATTACAGACCGGAGACAACAGATTCGATCGCATTCGAGACGTCCTCTCGCGATGCGCTTCGACTTTGGACCTCGGGCATCTCGCCATCGCCTTCAGAAGCGCATCTACTATCCGGCAGCAGAGGAAGCAACACTAACGACGATGACGCGCGATCCAGATCCAGAGCCGACACAGACTTCGGCATTACGGTTGCAAGAGGCAGCACTGCCAGTCAATCCGCATGGGGGGGAAACGAAAACCATACTTGCGAGACACTCTCCAGCCCGGCAAGCGATGGGAAGAAATATACCCATGGCCAGATACAAGCAGCTTCGCCTCCAACGGTTGAATCATGGCAGAGTCTGCAGAGAAGATCAAACACCCGTACTGGAGCACTAGAAGGTTTGAGGCCGAGACCAGCAGGAGTTTCGATCCAAGATTAAGAAAGCAGACTTGATGAAGTAATATGTTGTGGCAGTTCGTGGTTACAAATTGACGAGAGGTTTTTGGGATGTGTTGCAAACTTGCGAGTGGAAGGGAGATAGAAAAGGGTTACAATGTTGGCCAGAATTTGATGTCTGGAGTCCTCATGGTAATGACAGGGTGTTTCGGAGAATTAGCTTGATAAAGACTATGACATATTTATCAACCGCTAGCTTCCCGCCCAACAGAAGAGGTATCATCTGATATAGTACATACCAGGCTTTTCCGTAACCCTCCCGGTCCGTCAAAACGAATTGCTTGCATTTGAAAACCACCACAAACGCCATGCGCCCTCACATCTTCAAGATTCAATCACAGTTCTCCAAGTTTCTCAGTCGATTATTTTGCGCCCTTGCCCTTGGCTTCTGTGTCGCCAAGCTCACGGATGAAAACACTTGCCTTGCCCTCGGCACTATAGTCCTCCATGCCCGTCTCGAATCCCGGGCAGACACCAATGGCAAGGTACTTGCCGTCCTTGGAGAAGGCCAATGCTGCAACGCTATCGGGGAACTTCTGATACTGCTTCATCCTGCGCTTGGCTTCGGCGTCCCATAGCGCGACGGTTCCATCACCACCGCCCGAAGCGAACGTGCCGTAAACAGGGTGGAAAGCCATGGCATTGACCGGATAGACGATATCCCCCTCGCCGTCCGGAGCAGCCTGGCGATGGCACTTGAAAGCGTATTTGCGGGCCTGAGACTCGGCAGAATCCTCGAACCATTCGACGGCGACACGGCCCTCGATACTGCTGGTGGCGTAGCCGGCGTCGTTGGGCATGCAGGAAACGGCGCGAGTGAGGAACTTGAGGGAAGACTCGCGCTGTTGCCAGGGCTTGATGTCATGGGGGCCTGACTGGGAGAAGAGAGACGGGATGTTGCTCAGGTCGTAGATGTTGACAAGGCGAGCGGTCATGGCAACGACAACCTTTGAGGGACTCGCGGCCAGAGCGTGAGGCTTTCCGGGCAGCTGAACAGTGATGTTGTCGTCGGAAGGCGACTTTGCGTTGTGAATTTGGAGGGTTTGGTCCCAGGAGGCGGAGATGAGGAGGGCTGTGAGCTTGGTTAGATGAGGCGAGGATGGAAAGGGGTCAGCGGGGACCTACAGTGCTCTAGACTATAGACCACGCAACGCGCAGGCGCGGTGTGTTGAGATACTACTTGCTTCTCTCCTGATTCCAGATTGACCCTATATTCGGGTATTTAGCCATATTGGGAGCATTGGAAGCATCCGCAAGTAGCCTTACCTGTAGACGCAGTGGTCTAAGCAAGCCGTGTAGGCCTCATTATCTGTCGCGCCGAAGGTAACATCGAGTACAGGGGCGCGGAACTCGATCGTCTGGAGGAGGGTTCCTGGCGCATCTTCGCCTCCGCTATGTGTGTCGTAGAGGTAGATCTTCTTGTCCCAGCAGGACACCAGGAGTCTCGTAGGAGAATCGGGCGCATACGCGAGCGAGGAGATGGCGTCGCTGGGCGGTTGCGCCAGCTCAAATTGGGATGCTAAGAAAACCATCAGTATTTTGAAAATGGTTTAGAGCGAAGTACCAAATCTGGCGGCACTTCTACAAGACCTCACCGGGTGCCATGTTTCGTTTATTGCTGTGATGTTTTGAAGCTTGTAGCTCTGTACCTCTCTACCAATAGCTCACCCAGGATGTTAGCTTCTGGGGTCTGTTTACAAGAACAATTTGGTTGGAGGGGTGCTCACGTGGCGATAAGCGAAGCAGAGCTTATCGGCCGAATCACCACTAATTCTGCCGTAGACCACCGCCTCAGAGCACCCCCCACCATTGTTCGGATTTCTGCGATTTGTGAATCGTAGTAGCAAAATTGTGACTCGATCGCCCAATCACCAACGTAACGCTGCTCACCCTCAAGGCCGCCACTTCTTCGCCTTTTCGACGTCGCCCCCTCTCCCGAGCAACGGAATCCACCTCCGCGATACAGACCCGACGAGCAGGCGGACTTTTCTTCGAGCACAGAGGAAAAAGCTGTCTAAAGACTAGGAGGAACGTGTAAAAAGCCCGCGCGCCTTCTTTCGCACCCCGCCCCTCCACACCTCGAACTTCACCACCCCAACGCCACCACCACCCTCTCCGTACTCGACGACTTCGAGGACCAGTAGCCAAGATGGCGGAACCGAACTACAGCCACTTTCGATACTTCGAAAACAAGTATCCCGAGATCGATGAGTTCGTCATGGTCAACGTCAAGCAGGTTTGTGCCCCGCCGACCCAACGCACACGCGCGAGCCGAACCGAACCAAACCCACCCGGTCGCCGTGGGCAAGTTGGGGAGAGAGGGGAGATATAGGGAACACCCGGGTCTGACAGGTGTTACAGATTGCCGAGATGGGCGCGTACGTTAAGCTGCTCGAGTACGACAACATTGACGGCATGATCCTGCTTTCCGAGCTGTCGAGACGTCGTATCAGAAGTATCCAGAAGCTCATTCGAGTGGGCCGCAACGAGGTCGTCGTCGTGCTCCGTGTCGACAAGGAGAAGGGTTACATTGATCTCAGCAAGCGTCGTGTGTCGCCAGAGGATATCATCAAGTGCGAGGAGAGGTACAACAAGGGCAAGATGGTCCACTCCATCATGCGCCACGTCGCCGAGAAGACCCTCACCCCTATCGAGCAGCTGTACGAGACCATCGCATGGCCCCTCAACAAGAAGTACGGCCATGCGATCGACGCCTTCAAGCTGTCCATCACGTGAGTCGGGATTATAAGGAACATTGGAGACAAACAGAAGTACTCACGCATTGCGCAGGAACGCCGAGGTCTGGAACGACGCCACCTTCCCAAGCGAGGCCGTTTCCGAGGAGTTGAAGTCATATATCGCGAAGCGTCTCACTCCCCAACCCACCAAGGTCCGTGCCGACGTCGAGGTTACCTGCTTCGGATACGAGGGCATCGACGCCGTCAAGGCCGCCCTGCGCACCGCCGAGTCGCGCAACGACGACCAGACGCAGGTTAAGGTCAGGCTTGTGTCGCCCCCGTTGTACGTCCTGACCAGCACGTGCTTGGACAAGAACCTGGGTATCGCCAGACTGGAGGAGGCCATTGTCGAGATCCGGACCAGCATCGAGGCTGCCGGCGGCTCGCTCGTCGTGAAGATGGAGCCCAAGGCCGTTACGGAGAGCGATGACGCCGAGCTGCAGGCTCTCATGGAGAAGAGGGAGCGCGAGAACGCCGAGGTCAGTGGTGACGAGAGTGTCAGCGAGAGCGACGACAACCCGGAGGTTTAATTTTTTTGGAGTCATCATCACAACAAAAAAGGGGCGGCTGGTAGAATGAGCGTATCGGCAGGCTGGGAATCCAGAGTGATTTCAATGAGACGACCAAAAGAAGAATTAACCATTTCAAACTATTCTCCTGGATGGTAGTGAGTGGGCACTGGGTGAAAGTTGCTAATGGTGCAGGGGCTACTGCTATGCGCTGTTGAGTTATGTCAACTTACATCGTCAGATCACGATAGATGAGAAGCGTGGAAGAGATGGCAGAGAAAGCAGCATAGTGTTCCCATGTTGAAGGACCTTTTCTTCGTTCAATATCCCGTCTTGTCAAGACAAGCTTATGCGACTAAGCTGCCGGGGCCTCTTTGCTGTGGTCTATTTCAACACCTAACAGCCACCGTCTTTCGCTCTTTCGAAGCAATACACTTGTCGGCAGTCATTCTTACAGGGTATAGTTCCCTCAACCCAGCCGCTGCCAGCAAATCACTTTGTGACAAATTTGGACTGTTACCCGAGTAAAAAGCTGGTCGACGCTGCTATCTCCCATGGCTTCGCCAAACACTTAATCATGCAGGGGATAGATGGTGCCTGCGCTGAGCCAGGACTGTCAAACACCTTCAACAACATCTCGATGGCCAGACGACAAAGGTTGGGGAAGGAAGGGAAAAGACGAGCGTTGGTATCAGAACGAGAAAGACGAACTTGCAATGCGTGAGAATCGAATCCTTGACAAGAACAGCCCTCGAATCGTAGGACGGGCATCGTAAGAAGGTGATCATGGCGGTTGGCTTGGTTGTGAATTGGCATTCGAAGGATGCCCCGCTATCATGGTCAGGTGAGAGACGACGGTGGTGAATACTAATACCCATGAGCCGTCCCTTTTCGGCGGATTTCTTGTTCATACGGTAATGTAATTTAGGCTAGCCATTCGAATCAATCATCGAACTTTCGATTTTCTTGCTTGAGTTGAGCAGGATTCCCACAAAACGAGCCAAAAACGACGGCTTGACGCCTGCTTTTCGTAGCAAATGCTTCCGCTTTGCTACTCGGAGTTTGGACTATCTTGAAAGGACAGTTGTGTGAGGAAGGTGTTACAGGGGAAGCATATAAAGAACTAGGCCTCTTGGGTTTGATGACTAATAAGAGAAACGATCATGGCCATAGAAGAGAAGGGGGATGTTCACGGGTGTAATTCAACCGGGCATGCCATTCTTTCCAAGATACCGTCCGTTGGGGCACCAGAGAATATGGAGTCCTCCGCGGGTATATTTTGGTTCCAAGAATGACGGTGTCGATACTACATGTAAATTATTTTATATGAAATGCCACAAGGGCTGCGAAATATACTTACGCCTCTCTGTGCTGTGTCACGGTTGGCAAACGGTAGGCAGGAATGCGGAAGCTGCTACCTAAGTGAGGTGGCCCACCCGAGCCAGTTGCGATTAGATAACAGATAAGATAAGCGCGTGGGATGATACGAGCTCCGAAGTTTCGATGCTACATATGGCTGAACACAGGATAGGAAGCTCGTCTCTCGAGAGGCAGCGATTACCGACTCCCATATTATTCGGAAAACACTCACGCCCATGGCATACCGGTCGCTATGGGCGCGCGCACGAGGCAGTTTCCTCGGTGACACGACCATTCGCCTGCTGGGTCTCGCAACTTGGGTACCCGTTGTGATATCGTTCAACGATCATGTTGCAACCATCACAAGCATCAGCGGTGGCTCTATGTACCCCTACTATAACGAGGACCGCAACAGGACTCTGGCAAACGACATGGTGCTCACTTGGAGGTGGAATCCAATGGACGGGCTGCAGAAGGGCATGATAATCACTTTCAGGTGCGTCATTAGCGACCGCTCTCGGAAATTTCCAAGACCGCGGACGAGCTGACTTTTTTCTTGCCTGGTATAGGAGTCCCTTCCATCCCGAGACTGTCGCAATCAAGAGAGTTGTCGCACTGGAGGGAGAATATGTTACGACGAGAGCGCCGCATCCGCAACGGGTAGTCAGGGTACCACAAGGGCACATCTGGGTCGAAGGCGACGGACCGCAGGACCAGACCTTGGACAGCAACACGTACGGACCAATATCTATGGCGCTGGTTACAGGGCAATGCGTGTGGAACATCTGGCCCTGGCGCAAGTTTGGGCGCGTGAGGTGGGAAGAACACAGGTTCAAGCCGAGATACTGAATGGAGGAAGGGAATTGCCTCTTGTACGAGTAAGCAAGTGATATGGGTGACTCGGCTTTCTCAGGGGCGGGCCACTGGTCTAGAATTCGAGCCTTTAGAGTTCAAGAGCTCTTCATGTATCATACATAACCGTTTGTTTCTATCGCGACTAACGACTGGGGTGCTTCCAGACGAGCCTCGAAGCTTGGAGGGTGTTTTCCAGGTTCTACTCATCTCAAGAGCATGGCGCGGACAGTCTCGTGTCGCAGCTCGGAGCTCTCGGCGCCACTCAGGGTCTTCCTCCGGCCGATGGTAACTCCACGTCGCAGCTCCAGTGCTAAGGCACTTCCAGCTGAAGAGATGGAAAGCTCACAGTGACGCAGCGGGACCGCAGCGCTGCAGGTGGTCTGTGCACCACCAACAAAATTCCAGAGCCCGGGAACCCTGTATGAAATTTCGATATGACTATCTGCTGCTCCTCGCCGCCGCCAAGTTTTTGCCCGCGCAATAAACCCACGCGACAATCACCGACGAGGAGGCCTCTCCTCTCCTTTCCCTTCAAAATCCAACACGGCGTCGTTATCCCGCAGCGGGTGTCCGACTGCCTCAGCCGAAGAACCTGCGCGACGACATCGACAAACACACCGACGTCAGCACTCACTACACGAGAGGGACCGACCTTGACGCTGACCAGAGAGAACCTGGTCCAATTGCGACAGGCAGCGTTCGCAAATGTCTGTCGCTGACCGCATTGTCAGCTACTTCGCCCCTGCCGACAACAGCGCGCAAACGATCAAGGAGGGATTCTCGGTCTCGAGCCCGGCCGCGGCGGCCTCATTCGGGGAGGATAGACATGCGGGACAGACGGGAGGACTTTTGCCGGATATCAGAATCAACAGACCGTCGTTCGGACAGGACATGAGCTCGCACGAGGATGACTCATTCGAAGAAGAAGGCCGCCCGCCTTACCTCCATGCTATGATAGCTGGAGGCCTCGGCGGGTCGACGGGAGACATGCTCATGCACTCCCTGGATACGGTCAAGACGCGCCAACAGGGTGATCCGCACATCCCACCAAAGTATACGTCCCTCGGCTCGTCATACTATACGATATGGAGGCAAGAAGGCGTCAGACGCGGTCTATATGGTGGATGGGTGCCGGCCCTGAGCGGTTCGCTTCCTGGCACGATGCTGTTCTTCGGCACATACGAATGGAGCAAACGTTTTCTTATTGAGCACGGCCTACAACACCACCTTGCCTACCTAACAGCCGGTTTGTCGAATCTAAGCCTGGGACTGAAAAGCACAAACTAATTGAACATCCCTAGGTTTCCTCGGAGATTTGGCCGGCTCTATTGTTTACGTCCCATCCGAGGTGTTGAAGACCCGCATGCAGTTACAGGGACGGTACAACAACCCTTATTTCAAGTCGGGATACAACTACAGAGGCACCGTCGATGCAGCCAGGACCATTGTGCGCCACGAGGGCCTTTCTGCGCTATTCCACGGCTACCAAGCCACACTCTATCGCGACCTCCCTTTTTCAGCACTCCAGTTCATGTTTTGGGAACAGTTCCACGCCTGGGCTCGCACATATAAGCAGAGCAGAGACGTTGGCGTGCCGCTCGAGCTCTTGACCGGTGGTCTTGCTGGAAGCTTGGCTGGCGTTATGACATGTCCCCTGGATGTCGTCAAGACACGGCTGCAGACTCAAGTGCACCCTGACCTGTTACCAAAAGAGAGCAAACCGGCGGCTAAGAGCGCTGCGCATGCCTCGACGTCAAAATCCCAGAGCCGCAATATATCAACATCATCGCCGTCAACACACACTCCTCGCCCCGGCGCGGTGAATCTGCAGACCTCGTCCGTCATCCAGGGCCTCAAGGTCATATACCAGACGGAGGGCCTTAGCGGGTGGTTCAGGGGCGTGGGTCCCCGTGGTGTATGGACCTTCATTCAGAGCGGCACAATGCTCTTCTTGTACCAACGCATTCTCAAACAGTTAGAGATTTGGGACCCTCCCGTGGAAGAGCAACATGAGCATGCCATTTAAGATGGCTGGGCAGGTCAGGCAGGGTTGGGGTTATCAGGGATGGGATGGAGAAATTTTGTACAAAACAACCCCCATCTGTACACTTTGTAAGGATAAACTTTGGGACTGGCGTTTGACGGGCATAGTAGATGGACGTGATGTCCAATAGAGAGCTGATAGAGCGAAAGACAAGTCTCATTTCAAACGTTGATTTTATTTTTACACGGGTGAAACCAGACTGCTCTAATAAAGAAACATGTGGTGACAAAGAAGCTGGCCGTGAAAGGCGGCCAGCAAGCTACATGTGAATCAACTTGACAATGCAATACATAAGCTTTTTCCCCTGAGTGAGCTCCAGTTGTCAAATGTAGCCTGCAGTGCCTGCCCCGCTAGCGTGTGGTGTACATAAACCCCTGCTGTTTTCCCGCTGAGGCCCCTGTGCGACGACAGGAGGGAGCTTGACGCGGGGTGTCAGGTAGCTTCCCTGGAGCAGCTCCCAAAATTTCGACCTTGAAACACGCGCCTCACGACAAGAACTCGCGACTTTGTTCTCCATTCATCCTCAACCACATCGTCGACCTCAAATTCACTGCCGTTCACATACTAAGAGTCAGAGAAACTGCACAACACAATTAGAAAACCGATCCAATGGCTTCCGACTCGGGCACTCCCCCTCCTCCTCGGGAGCCGACCCCGAGCGGCTCCCTTCCTGCTTCAACCGCAATCCCATTGAAGCGCCCTGCCCTCGAAGAGGATTTCACTCCTTCTGTACCCTCTCCTCTCAATCCAGATGTTCGATCTACACCGAAACCTCCAGGCGTCGAAGATATGCCAGCAAAGCGCAACAAAAAAGAGTCGCTGAAGAAGCGCGAGTCCAAGGGCGCCTTCGGCGGTGACAGCAATCGTGGCACGCCCGACCCGAAGCATCACGAACCTAAGCAGAGCGACTACAGTCCGATGCGTTACAAGCTGGCGCCTCCCAAGCCTTCAGACTTTGAGCCTGCGCGCCCTGCTGTCTTCATCCACCACCATGACGTTCCTGCCCTGGATGGCGGCAAGATCCAGTTCTACGAGACTTCGGAGCAGTAGGTTGGCCTGCGCCTTTGTGTGCCCGATCGAAGGTACTAACAATACCAAGTGTTCATAACAAGAAGAGCTACCACTACACACACTGCATCGCCGACCCTGGATTCCCCTCGTCGCTCTACTACCGCGGCACCGAGGCGGAACCCCACGGTCCTCACCTGAGCTTCGAGGACAGCGCAACCCATTTGTTTTTCGACCAGACGGGCCGCCACATCACGACAAACAAGGGCTTTCGCATGACGCGCGCGAATGTGGCGATCCGCGAGGGATGTTTCTACTGGGAGGTCAAGATCACGAGGGGCATCGTCGACAAGCAGAATGGAGAGGGGCTGCCCGAGTCGCACGGCCACGTGCGCATGGGCTTCGCGAGGAGAGAGGCATCACTTGATGCGCCCGTTGGCTTTGATGCCTACAGTTACGGGTTCCGCGACGTCGGCGGCGAGAAGGTTTACATGTCGCGGCCGAAGCCCTTCTTCCCTGAGGGAGAAGGAATCCGCGAGGGCGACGTCATCGGTTTAGAGATCCAACTCCCCTCCGAGCGCCTGCAGCGGAAGGTCTTGGCTGGTCAGTACAATCCGGCGGTGGACACTGGCTTGGACGACGACAGCACGGCGTTCGATGCGCCCAACATTGTCCGCGATCGTATTCCCATTCGCTTCAAGCAGCACATTTACTTTGAGAAGATCGACTACCATACCACCAAGGAGCTCGAAGACCTTATGAACCCCTCGCCCGTCTCTTCCGGCCCAGCCAATTCGGTCGAGGCGCCCAACCCCAATCATCCTGTTCCCGCCCTCCGTACTCTTCCCAACTCCTACATCAAGGTGTACAAGAATGGCGTTCTCATGGGAACCCCATTCACCGACCTCCTCGCCTTCCTGCCTCCCGCCTCCAAGCCGCAGGCGCAGATTGGCGCCCGCGAGGGCCTCGATAACGGCATGCTCGGCTACTATCCCGCCGTGAGCGTCTTCAGAGGCGGCGCCGCAGAGGTCAACTTCGGTCCCGACTTCTGGTTCCCGCCTCCCGGCATCGCCGAGGACCCCGATAACGAGGTTTCCATGGTCGACGTCGGCCAGGAGGAGCCCAAGAAGCCGTCGGCGTTCGCGTACCCCGGTCTGGATAAGGTCCGTCCCGTCTCGGAGCGCTACACGGAGCAGATCGTAGAGGACATTGTCTACGACATCATTGACGAGGTCGACTTCTGGATCCAGGACGGCTGCAAGGTCATTGACCGCTTCGGCCAAGGCGAGAAGGCTGGTCAGACGGGCAGCCTCGCGGCTGGCGGACGCGACGAGATCAAAGAGTTGGTCCAGGACGATTGAGAAGTCAACACGGTGGATCAGAGACATAAAAAAGCGCACTTTGCTTAGGAGATACCCGAACCTTTTGTTTTACCAAAAGAGTTCTTTGCATTGCAATCCATGGCTGTATATTAAACTATCTATCGGTGAGGCATGAGAGATAGCCGTCTCTATATAAAAAGCCTCTGATTTTTCCAGGGGGTAAGGGGGCTTTCATCTGCGAAAGCCGAGACTAGACACCAAATGAGCATATGAAATCCATTTATTCCAGAATCCGTCTCATAAGCATCGTCGTGTGTCTGCTCATTCGTTCATACGTCGTTCCATTCATTCGTTGCAAAAGGCTAGGTAAACATCCAGGACGTAACAGTCGTTAAAAAGAAAGAAGAAAGAAAGAAGAAGGCGAGCCCGCTGAAGCATGCACAATAAGACAAGTAAGTTCCTTTACTTTCTCGTCGATCTTCTCCGAGGAGAGTCGGGAGCCGGCGAGGCCCGCCGTTGGGGCGTCGCCCTTCCCGAGCTGTGCCTGCCGCTGCGCCGGCTGCGTTCGCTCCTCTGGCTCCGTGGGCGGTCCTGGTCCGCGCGCATCGGCTCGGTGCGCGAGCGCAGGGGAGCCGGGAGGGCGGGGTCGTCAGGGAGCTCCTCGATGCGGCCGCTGCCGTCGACGATCTCGGGCGCGTTCTCGCGCTTGATGCGCTCCTCGCGGCCCCGCTTGTGGCAGTACCAGAGCACAAACAAGAGTACTGTTGACGGTGTTAGTATTTTGCCAATACATACGTGTGGAGGGAACTAATGCTTACGGAATAGAGCCACGCTCCAGATAACGTTGGTGCCGATGAAGGCCGGCCACCGCAGCTTCAGCGCGTTGACAATGGCCTTGAGCATGCCCACGACGGCGCCCGGCTTGGAGACCAGGTCCGCGAAGCTGGTGGGCGTGAACATCTTCTTGGCGGCGCCCTTGATGCCTTCCTCGGCCGACACCTCGGCGGCGTTGATACCCTGGCTCTTGGCCGCGGCGGCGAGGACTTCGGGTCCCAAGCTGGCCGTGAACTTGTCGGGGAGGTTGGTGACGAGCTTCTTCATGCTGTTGGGGAGCTTGTCGAACGACTTCTTGAGGGTGCCGTCGCGGTCTTCGACGAGGTTGCGGAGGTCGTCGACGGCCGTGGGCACGCCGTTGACGAGGTCCTTGAGGACGAGGGTGAACTTGCCGACGAGCTCGGACGACTCGGCCGACAGCGGGATGGCCTTGTTGTTGCGCGCCGAGAGGTTCAGGTCGTCGAGCACGCGCGACAGCTCGTCCTGCTCGCGCGCCGCCTCCTCGGGCTTCACGGGCTTGGTGGGCGCGAGCTGCTTGTCCTTGTCGCCGCCCTTGGCCTTGTTGAAGAGGAACGCAATCTTGCTGGGGATCTTGGAGGGCCCCGAGGCCTCGGGCTTCTCTGCGACGGCTACCGCCGCTGCCTTTTGGGGTATCCTCTGGTCCTGGGACGGCGCGGTGCGGTGGGACTCGTCAGAGTCCCAGGTGTACTCGGGGGTCTTGCTGCGCGGGGGCAAGGCTGGACGGACGCTCTCGTCATCCGAGTCTACCTCGTCTGGGTCGGAGAGGATGCGTCTGAAGAAGGCCTCGTCCTTGCGATCCAACAGTGGTGCAGGGCCGCCTTCAGTGGCTGCGCTCGCCGTCGTCGAGACGGATTGAGAGCTGGTCTGGCGCCGCGACGGCGAGGGTCGCGAGTCGGGCTTGAGGTGCGTTGATGACGATCCATGTTGCTGTTGTGGTCGCTGCTCTGCTTCCGCCACCTCCTTTGCCTCCTTTTCAGTCTTGTACTTCTTGAACTTCTTGTAGCCCAGGTATTCCAGCATCGTGGGCGATGGGTTTCTGGTCTCGTACGCCAGAGAGTCAAAGGCTGCGGGCTAGACTGCTAGTGACTGGGGAATGCGATCGAGTTGTTGGAAAAACGTCAGGTCAAGCGACAAAGTGTGTGATTTGTCTTATGCACCTCGGTAGATGAAGAGTTGTCGTAACGAAGGCGGTCGGAGCCGGTTGTTTTATTGAACGGCCAAGCGCTTCTGAATCACATGCGGTCTGGGTCTGGCCCGGCCCTGGTTCTCTCATACAGCGTCATGTCCTGCAAGCTCAGGTGTTAGCCACAGGATAGGTCGGGCGGTAGCAGGTTGGGGTAGCTTGCACAGCCACGCGTGATGTCACTCTAGTACCATCCAATGATATCACCTGCCATTGGAGTCCTCCGGCCCAACATCAAACAACCGCACCTAAGCGAGCACCGGCAGCTGGATCCGAACCCGCTTATGCGCACCGCCACATCGGAGGCCCCTCCAGGGTCCATAACGTCGCCTCTCTTGTTGGGACCCTGAGACCCAACCAAGGAATGCAGAATATGGAAGAAACATGCAGTTCGTCTAAACCGGGGTTCGGGGTTCTTCTTTCCTTTTTGACAGCTGCAGTGTCTGAGAGTTATGGTGTTCGAGTGGCTAGCTTCTGCTTAGCCGCTAGTACAGGGTATCTTTCGTGAAAACTGCCCATAGCATACAGGGGTTGAGCTTCTAAAACTTGCATGCTCGATCACGCCTCATCCTCGTCTTCATCTCCACCGTTCTCGTGCACGTCTTCGTCTGCCGCATTGCTTCTCCTGCCTCCGCTTTTACGATGGCTCCTCTTGTAGGCCTCCGTACTGGTCTCTGCTTCCTCCCCGACGTAGTGTTCACCGTCCCAGTCTCTCGAACATCTAGGGCACTTGTGGCTGCGTTGCGTTCGCCAGTATGCGTCTTCGCACATGTGGTGCAAGCGTGCGTTGCAGTCTCTCTCTGCGCATCTTTGCCCAACGGTGACGATCCCCTTGCACGCCTCGCAAAACTTGATGCGCTGCCACTCCTGCGCTGCCGCGTCGGGGTCGTTGTATGAGTCGATGAGCCACGCTCTGAGCTCGAGTAGTGCTCGGGGGCTGAGGCTATAATACCCGTTCTTGGACTTTTCCAGCCAGCCCTGATTCACCAGGTTCGCTAGCATATCTTCCACTTCGCTGTGCTTAAGTCCCTTATCCGCGGAAGACTGCGTTTGTGTCGGTGCTCCATCCTCGTCGACGTCGACGTCGTTGTTATTGTTTTGCTGCCGCGGAGGGCGGGCAAGCTTAATGGCCTGCATCTCCGTAATGCACATGAGCTCCATGCGCGGGGAGTTGTACGTCTCAAACATGGCATCGAGTAGCCTCTTGGTAAAGGCGATCTGTTCGGCATTGTAGGTGGTCGCAAGCTGTGTCATCGGGTCGGATGCCGTGTTGACGAGAGCGTAGACGCGTTTCTTGGAGACTTGGTGGACGGTGCTCCGGATTTCGTAGTCGAAGAAAGAAACGGCTTCGGCGGCGGCTTCCAGGTAAGAATCGAAGTCTTGTTGGGTGATCTGTTCGGGGGCGACCGGCTCGCCGTCTTCGGCCTCAATGGTAAATATTTCGGCCAGAACGATCTGTGCCTCTTCGAATGTAAGGGTTCCGCGAGCCAAGAAAGCTTGCAGGAAGGCTCGATTGCCGTCATTATAGTGCGGTGGGACGATACTCATGTTGGCGATGCGGTGTAGAGCATCGACCCATATGCAATCTGTGCAGTGTGCGCACAACTAAAGAAGTAAAACGGCGAGGATAGAACCGTTCGAGGTTGTCAGAATTGCTGCTGTGCAATAATACTGTCAAGTTGTCAAGGTGTTTGTCGCCAGAACGGTTCTATAGCGGGGAAGCTTTGGACGCGCTTTGGACGCGTACCGCTGGCGCAGGCTTAATTAAAATGATTACTGTAAGCACCTTTGCTCGACCCTACCAACCGGTAGGAATGCAACAAGTGGGGCCCTTCCCTCTAGACTTCTGGATTTCGATGCCGTCTTTCCACCCGAGCCACAAAGTGGCTGGAGGGGAGTTGGTGGCCCATCGCCGGAGATATCCAGGGGACTGCGATCTCACTTGCCAGACTGCCGTCCCTGCACGCCGGCCTGTGGTCTGCCGACAGGGCTTCTCCGCAACTCTGGGTCAAGATCCTTCTGTCTCCGAGGAAGTGGACGTTCTAGACCACATCCCCCCTGAACCTTTCTTGGCCTTTGTCGGGCAGTGGGAATCCCATGCAAACCTTACTCTCTTGCAAGCTCCCAGTCGCCACATGCCGACGACGCGGCGCTTTGCTGCGACTGCCGATCACACTTTTGCCATTCAGGAAATAAGGGTGTAGTCTGACAAGTTCGCATTCGCTCTGGCTGGGGACGCTCGCTCATCTACACGTGGGCGTGGTCTGGCCGTTACTTGGGCTGAAGCTTCAGCAACCTTCCATCTGACAGAAACTGACATGACGCGCCGTTGGTCTTTCATCCCAACACTGCGCCACCGCAACCAAACATGATTTCCTGTTGGCACTAGATTCGTCCAACTTGCCGTATCGGGCCCAACACCCGAAGCCATGTTTGTCGCTCGGGCTCGACGGGGCCGTTGGTTTTGAATGGCCTTCCGTGTACCTACTTTTTCTGACTCAGGGAGGCCGAGGCCAATGCAAAACCACTAGCTGAAATCCTCGCCATGGGTGCCCTTGTCTGCTTGTGAGCCCCAAGCACCGAACGCCCGGGACACGGCATGTTCCCTTACCATTGAACTCTGCTCAACGATGAGATCAGATGTGATGATCATAGTTCTCAGAGGCTCGAGAAGTCGTGCGCGATCTGGCCCTCGTTACAAGTTGGCCTAAAGATGGGATTGGCATACCCAGTCACTGACTCGGTAGGGCGTTCGCCTACAATAGCAACTGCAATGCCGTCACATTCAATCCTAGGAGGAAATCATCTGTCGCCTCTACCGGGTTCAAGCTCGTCCGGGAACCCCCCGCGGCGTCCGCACGCACCCACACATACAGAGAGTCGCCCAGCGAATCTATTGTCGTGGACGCGCCTCCACTTGCCATACATGTTTCGAGCTATCCATGCCTCAAACCCTAGATGATGAGTGCGGATAGCCCTGCTCTGTGAGGCGGACAGTTCGGTCGAACTCGTATGTTGCCAGGCCATACCCTCTAGCATAACCCGGTTTGACATTCGTCACCCTACGGACGGACAGTCTTTCCACAACAGGTTCCGACGACGCTTGTGCACTGCTGCTTCGGCCTAACCCTCGCAACTAGCGATGCACTTCTATTAGACGGGTGGTGGCTGAACGTTTCCGTCTTGGTTCGACAAGCCCCCGAGTCTCTGGTCGGCAGATGTCGCCAGAATTGCACTAGGGAGCCAGCTAGAATGCCGTCACGCTGTCATCTGTCTCGTCATGACAGGTTCCACCGATCAGCCCCTTCTGAGGCACTTTCATGAACTTTCGTCTTGGAACAATATCATAATAGGGATCGCCTTCTCACACTATCGCGTTTCAACCCTTATTACCCACCGTATAGCAAGGGAAACTCTTCATGAGCATCCTGAACTGCCCCGCCACCCTCCTCGTAGCATCCCCAGCCAAGACATTTCTGAACCACCGACTGCAAGCTGTACGGGCTTGGGGTTCGTAACTCGGCCTGAACACCCCTTGTCTCACTGGAATGCTGGGAAGTCCCATCTCGTCAATTCGCCGCCACACCCGATCGCCATTTATCATACTGCGAGCGCCGGACAAGGGTCTCCAGCTTCTCCTTCCCAAGTTTTCCTCGCTTTTGGGGCTCTTTCCTTCCGTCGCTACACGATTAGGACCCCAGGGGAGGCTATCCATGCGCAGATCGCAGGGACCCGGATCGATCTCAGGGCTGCGCTGCATGATAAACATAGCCATGCCGTTTGCTTGCTTCCCCAGTTCTTAATTTCTTCCTTCTTCTTCTCCCCCCGTCACCTTGTTCCCTGCGACTGGTCAACAGCTCCGCGTTCATGTCTGGCCTGCTGAGCCAGCAATCAAGGGGGTGACATGGCCATCCAGCTGCCTCAAGAAGAGCTAGGCACATCTATAGGGGTTCTTATTTACTCCTCGTTATGCCTAGCTTGCAGTCTTCTCATGGCATGGTTGGTGTACGCCCATCGTGAGGGACTCAGCTGTAAGTAACTACAACGACAGATTCAGTAGTGTCACTTGGAGGGTTACTGATGTTGTTATCTACAGATATCGCATTGGTCTCATACTTCACGGGGCTCTCGACAGCTGCTTCTATAGCCCAGCAGATCCATACGCTTATACGATGGAGAGATATTAAGCTCGAGCAATTTCAGCATGCGAACGCCAATGTCGGCAATCCTGAGCTGGCCATAGCGGGCCAGTCGACTGGTCTTGATCTAGTCTTTTACTACATCCGTAATTTGCACTCCGCCCATTCGGCATAACGTATCTGACACTCTACAGAGTATTACTGTTACAATGTCGAAGCAACGCTGGCCTTCTTCTGGGCCGTCGCTCTCACTCAGTCGATTTTTCAACTCGAACCCGTCAGGTCGCTACGTAAAAGAGCCAACTACATCGCCAAGGCTACTGCTGTCATACTGCCAGCGCTGCTGGTAGGGATTCTCCGGCTCGAGGTCGTTCAGAAGCAGACCTTGCCCTTTCTCATCCTTGCTGATTTCATTAGTAAGTCTCGTTGTATCGTCTCCAGTGAACCCATCTAACAAAACACGCAGTGGGCTTTTCCATGAGTGGTGGTGGTGTTCTTCTTATTGTCATTTTAGTCAAATACATTTACACGCGCCGACACCTCCTCTCTTGGAACGTTCAATACGGCCAACAATCGAACAACACAAAAAGCAGCGATATACTCGCCTTTGAGAGTGACAACAGGAAACATCGCCGGAGCATCTACGATGGATGGCTAGTTGTACGCTTCAGCATAGCATTCGTTGGATTGGCGTAAGAACAACCTTTCTCTTTAACATGAGTCTGCGTTTGACGTAGCTGACAGAAAATTCAAGTATCTTCCAGGTCTTCACCATCTACTTTCAAATCTCCTCCTCACAAAAGAATACCCGCGATTCCCTGGCCAAAAGTCCGGATCTCAGCATGGAGCGATTGCATCTAGACCTCTTGCTTTTCATCCCCGGCGTGTCCGTGAGCCTGTTGGCCTTTGTTGTCTTTGGCACAACGAAAACGTTCCGAGATTACATTGTTGATAAAATCATTCCTCAAAAGCTCCGGGAAAGGGACAGGAGAAGAACGAGCAACCAGTCGCCGCGACGGACCCGATTATCGCAGACTTTCTCCCAGAGGACCGCTGAGCATCCGCCGCGACTGTCTTTAAGGCCGTACGTCTCGAATGATGGCCGTCTGTATACGCCCACCTCTGATGGGAATAGCATTCAGCTGAGGGAGCTGAACGCTGATGGCTCGATACAGGCCGCTGACGACGACCAGTGGCCGTTGATTCGCACCGACACGAGCTCTAATTGTCCGACAAAACCTGTAAATGTTTATTTATTTCCGAAACAGTAGTCTTACGAGTTATGACCAAAATGATACCACACGAGCTGAGGCTCTCTTCCTACATTGATACTTGGTCCTGAGCGATTGCGAGTGTTTCGGGGTACAATTCCGCTTGAAGTTATATGCTTATGCTTATGTTTGTTGAAGAACGAACTTCCCCTGAACAACTTCATATCAGGTTCAGAAAGCGCCATTCTCACTTTAACAGATAGTTGGTGCTGCAAACACGCAATCTGTGAGCGCTTGCTTGTAAGGAAGATTGAGTCCTTGGCGCCAAGCCAAATAAACGAACGCATCGCAGTCTCCATCTCTTGGGTCTTTCTGCAGAATTTCATACTCGGCCTGGTCCTCTTTTGAAACCACATATTGCCCTACGACACGGTTCTCGTACTACTATTAGGTTTTTCATAGAAACCGATCAGCCTCCAACTCTTGGCCAACCATCTGGGACGGTGACTAGGAGGGCTTGTTAAGATATTCTCGGTATACGGCGACCACGTCTACTTTCCGCAAGAGTACCACTGTCAGCGCATCTCAAAGGTATTACCTAGCCGTGTCATCAAATTCCAAGTGTTGTATCGCAGTGTAGACTCACCCACATATTCCCACAGTTCTTCCGAGAAGCGTGCAGCATTCCGTCCGGTACCGTTAAAGTCCAGCGTGCAGAAGTCATCTCCTGACGACAAAATGCTCTGTGCTTCCACGAACAGACACTCGGAAAAGTCGATTTGCCTCCAAGAACATTGCCAAACCGTCTAGTGAAAGCTTGTATCTGTACAGTAGCTTTGAGAATCAGTGACTGGCCCGACGCATCGCCTCCTCTGCCGAAGTCTCCTACAACGCCTGGTCTATCTGTTTCTTTGCCTCATCAAACCTCTTCGCAAATAACAACATCCTCTCATACCCGGGCTCCTAGCCAGGGAACCACTGGATCTTGATCCTCTGAACTCGTCTGCGAACACCACATTGGCATTCCCGTAGCTCGACACCCACCATCAATTTCTTTAGAAACATTGGAAGCCTTCTTTCGTTTCTCTGGAGGAGATCTCGACAAGTTTCTGAGCATCCGGACATATTGAAAACATATTGGAACACAACTCTTTTCCTTCACACGAGTTCCTACAGGCGTTTGACATTTGCAACGTCAGGATCGCAAGAAGAGGCGATGGCTTTGATCTCAAAGGTGACCCTCGCTCTGAAGCTGGGTGAAAAGAGTACTGGCATGGACATGCTCCCATGGCTGTTTTTGCCGCAGTGTATTGGTTGACTGTGATCTCTATTCACCATTGTAACTCGAAGCACTCAATGATGTCACGTTGCTTGCTTGCACAGTTTCAGCCCTGGAAAACGAGTCATTGCTTAGATGGTAATGTTCAGCGTACGAGAGCTCAGACGTTCAAGCACACACGTGTTTTCTTTTTCTAAGAGCAGCACACATGGTAGTCAGCCATCGTCTCCAGAGATTACAAGTCAGCAGAATGTCAACTCGTATAATGGCAGCTCGAAATTTAAACGCCTTGCGAGTTGGTCGTGTTAGCAAAAAGCGGTGGGACACACTTGGAGAACACCTCGACGTCGACTCAATCAGCAGTCTATCATGTTCCACTTCCTCACATATTACATGTTATCTGTTGTACAGAAAGACAGACATCACAGCCTTGTGAGGATAATACCCTTTTCTCTACTACCCCGCCGCTAATAAGATCTGCTGCCGATGTCCTGCAATAAGCATTGCTCAAGACTTAATACCATTGCTACCAAGGTAACGGCATCTTCACTACGTAACCCTGGATTAGAGAGCCCTCGTCTCCCGACACTTCGTTCTTGGTCAAACAACCCGCTCGCGAGCGCTTGTTAGATTCCTCATTGACAACCTCAAACGTGATGGCCGGCCGTCTGACGAACTTCTGCATGCTTTCGCGAAAAGTGGAATGTATCAATCCAGCTCCCGTCCGAGGTGAGGCCGATAAACCGGATGGACATAGGCTGGGATGAAGGTGTAGTTTCACCGTTTGTCAGACCATTGAGTTTGCAGTGGGAGTTTATCAATAACAAAAGAAATAGTCAAAGACACGTGCGACCAGGGGCAAGTTGTCCCGCGTTACGATATGTGTCCATAATGTATTCTTGACATTACGACTCAGGCATAGAAGTCATTAAATCATTGGATGTTTGATTTGCAGTCGATCCTCAGTCTCTTGGTTTCTATAACCGTTGCCAAATAAGCCAATCAGACACACCCTGTCTTTTCCTGCCCTCGACCGAATGCAATTTGTAGCACCAGTTTCTCAGTTGCCTGGAATAAATTGCAGGAAAAGTAGCGGTTCATCTAATCTTGGATTAAACGATTAGCCTCGCAGATAGTGTTTTAAACTTTCTCGACACCAGGCATATGAAATGAAAACCATTGCATACAACAGTTTCGTCCTGAGTAAACGCAGTTCCATCTTGTTTAGTATCTGTGGCCTTGTCTGAATATTGTTATTTAAAAATGCCCTCTTCCCTCGGATTTCGCATGAAGCATGATAGATACCCAAGTCAACCTCTTTACTCCCACTCCCTCATGAGCGTGTTGCTCTCGATATCCTTGTCAAAGTTGACAATATGCGTAGAATGACACCACGGCTTCAGCCCCTCCTCCTTCCTAACAGTGTTCGCGAAAAACGAACACCACTGCAGCCTCGGGTGTGTCTCGTTAACCTTCCTCCGTGTCGTCTCGTGGATAATCTTGTCAAAGTCTTTGACGTAAGGGTGACGGCCCACGTTATCATAAAGCGTCGCCAGCTGGATCATCTGCCCCAAGAACGTGATAGTGCCGTCAACTCCCATGTCCTGATGACGGACGATGGCCTCGGCAACAGCCTCAGCCTGGTCGGAGGTCGCACCGTGGTCCTTGAGCGCTAAAAGGGCCTTGAAGCCGCCGTAAATGTCGAATGACATGCGGGTGGCCGTGAGGTTCTCGGCGGCTGTGCCAAGGTCATGGAGGAGGCAGGTAAGTGCCCACGTTGATGGGGAGAGGACAGCTGCCTTTTCGGGAAATTGTTGTTTGACAATTGCCATGCCTGAGATGAGTTAGGCGCCTTGCCTTTGGAACCTATGGCATGCTGCTCCGTGGGAGCTGCGTAACCGATGGGGAGGTCTTTGGCTTGGTGGCGGGTGTTACTCACCAAAGTAGAAGACTCTCATGGAGTGGTTGAATGTCTCTGCATGCAGACGCTCCTTGGCGTATTGTAATGTCTGTGCCACCACAGGGTCGTCGGAAGGAAATCCGATGTCCTTGATGTTCAAGGGAGAGGGCTCGTTCAAGAACGGCTTGTCGCCAAAGATCTTGCCAGCATTGACGGGTACGGCCGTCCATCCGTTAATTGTGATTTCGTCTTGACACATTGTGAAGTGTACCTTTGGAATGTGGTTGAGATGCGTTAATGCAATATGCGTTGGTTGACCAATCAAATGAGTAACTCAACTTCAAGGACGGCGAGACTGTGAGGGGTATTTATTCAGTAAGACTGGACGAAGTGTTGGCGAATATTCCACGATCGGCTTTTGGAGATTGGTCATACCGGCAGAGGTCCGAATGCCGAGGCGCCCTCCGGATGACGATGAGGTCATGGTCACGGCGTTCGGGCCTCCGGCCGTAGGCGGCCGGCGGGCAATGTCAAATCCCGGAGTTTCTTGTATCAGCACCCGCTTTCTACAAGCGAAGGGCGTCCAATGATACATAGAAAGGTGAGCAGTAGTTCACATCGTCCCAATAGCGGTGCATCTGCATGAAGCATAGCGGCGGTATTTGGGAAAATGTTAGTCATCATAAGACCTAGACGTGTGTTTGACTCCGGGCATGGTTATTGAAAAGCAGGCGGGAGTTGCCAATTTGGGAGGATATGGCATCTTTCAACATGAACAGCGGAAGGTCAAAACGCACCGTAAAATAGGATCAGTGGTTATGAATCTTTTTCTCAACCTTGTATGGCGGCGCACAACTGTCACTGTATGCGACCTTGTCAACGGCGGTGGATGTGATATGTATTGCCTATATCGCGCCAAAAGGTTCTTCAAAAGCTAAGTGCTCCCAAGCCAGTCATCGAACCCCACCACGAAACGAGTCTTTTCATTTCGGGGATGTTGCATGTGCTTCATACTTCTGGTGCGACCACTTCAAGATAGCTAGCTCACCCTGAAGGGTGATGGTCGCCCAGGTGCAGGATGCACTACATTGAATCCCATCTCGGCCTTGAAACATAAGTAACCATGGCACCGTTCAAGAAGATTATTTAGAGTTGACAGATAAAAAGCCTACCATCAAACATGTTGGAACACCGCTTAAGTGTTACGACTCGTTTGAAACCGAACCAAAGGTTGCTATCGCCAGTGGTGGTTTCTTTGGCGAAGGGGTAGATTGGAAGGCAGGACGAACGCCAGCCAACCAGGTGCTCCCGCTGGTCCCAGGTTTGCTGACTAAGCCAATTAGCGCGATGCACGTCCACTTTCATAGCTCCATCAACACTTCAACCTCTTCCAAACTTCAGATTGGTTCGTGTTTGACAAACAAACACCCGCGACATTCAAGTAATTTACTGTAATCTGTTCATACCCCGGCCGCCTACGAATATATTCTTGTCGTATCTTGAGATACAGGTTGAGTTGCCTGGTTGGCTTCCATTCGACGATCTGTCCTCGCCGCGGATCTCCGAACCCACCACGGGGCCAGGTCCACTTCACAGCTTGCAAAGGAGGACTGCCAGTGTCATCAGTACACAGAATGTGCTAGCAGAACGACTTTTTCCCTGGGTTCTTTCACTTCTTGGGACCTGGATTGAAGTCGGATCTCATCTCGAGACCGTGTTTAACGATCAGAATTGCTGCAGCTCCTGCTCCAGACGGCCATTCAGCTGACTGTCAAAACCACTTCATCCCGCCACAACGCTCATCACCATCACCGTCCTCCTAGCACCAACACGTACAATCAGGATGGCGGACCTCACAGAGTACAACGTAGTAGTGTTCACTCGGAGTGATGGTCAGGATTATGGACCGGGGTACTGGCCAGCCCCCGCAGATGCGGCAACCAAGAATGCGAAGAAGACGACGCAAGAAAAGACACCAAGAGCGAAACCTCAGATGGTACGGCTAGCCGAAGATGATCCAAGGTTTCAGGAGTGGCGTGTGAAGCTAGGAATCTTGCTGAAGCAAGAGCTTACACCTACAGGTGAGGACATGCTCCCCTGCCTTCCCGCTGGCGCAGTCGTCTAACTTACCACACAGAAGGTCTTCCTTGGCTCGTCAACTTCCCACGCGGGTACTGGCTGTATGAAAAATCCAAGCATCTTTGGGTTTCTGGACACCCGGACAAGGCAAGGCCCCTCTACAAGAGTCCGCAAGAGTTTGGTCTTCATCTGCTGTGGCTCCTGTCGAACTCGAAGGACCGCAATGATTGCCGTTGCATCCACTGCAACACTCGAGAAATGCCGAACATTGACGGACTGAGCGTAATTGATGGCCCACGGGCTTTGCCCACAGCGACAAACACGCAACCCCCGTCCAAAGTCCGCAAGATCACGCCACTGATGCCGCCAGTCACAACGGCATCCCCGATTCCTGCAGCAGCGGCGACCCCTCCAATGGCGAAAAAGGAGACGCCTGTACCAGTACCTACGGTCGTACCTACGGCTGCGGTGAAGAAGGAGACTCCAGTGCCGGTTCCGACGATACCCTCACGCGCGGCACCCGTCTCCGCCCCAGCGCAAGCGTCAGTTCAGACACAGCCTCCTGTGCAGCAGCAGCAGCAGCAGCAGCTACAGCAACAGCAACAGCAGCTACAGCAACAGCAGCTACAGCAACAGCAGCAACAGCAACAGCAGCAGCAGCAACAGCAACAGCAGCAGCAGCAACAGCAACAGCAGCAACAGCAACAGCAGCAACAGCAACAGCAGCAACAGCAACAGCAGCAACAGCAACAGCAGCAACAGCTACAGCAGCAACAGCAGCTACAGCAGCAGCAGCAGCAGCAACAGCAACAACAACTCCACCAACAACCGCAGCCGGGCCAAACGTCTCCGGTTCAGACGCAAGTACAGACTCCGGCCCAAGCTCCCGTTCAGCCCCAGGTCCAAGCACAAGTGCAACATCCCAATCAGACTCCCCCCCAGGCTCAACCTATGTACCAGCAGCCGCAATTCTTGCCCTACCCCCAGCCGTACCTAGGAATACAAGCTCCGACTCTGTTCCGTGTCGGAGAGCTCGTCTGGTTCCAGATGGCGTCTGGCTGGCGTCTGGGTATTGTATCCGTCACTGCTCCCACCAACCAGAAGCCCGGCGTCAAGCCCGAGATCCAGATCCTCCCAATATCCCACCAGCTTTTCAACCAGTCGCCGATCCAGACGCTGGAAGCGACAGCACGCCCGTTCCTCGCCTTCTCCGTGCCCAACGTTAGTATCCCGGAGCTGCAGAATAAGGCCTACGATGAGGTCAATTGGGAAGCCTTCCTCCGCAGCCTCACCCCCGAGGATACCCACCGTCGCGAGGTTGCCCTGCTCGATTCCTCCAAAATGGCCGCTCAGAAGGTGGGCGTGTCGTTCTCCGTCTTCAGCCGCATCGCTGAGAATGAAGGCGGCAAGAAGATCGACTACCACGGCATCTTCCTCGGCGCCGAGCGCATCGAGCTCGGCGACGTCCTCCGCGTCCGCATCTCACCCGAACAGAACCTCTCCGCCGCCGCCAACAACCTTCCCGACGCGCTGCTCGCGCTCCGTGAGATCTGCACCGCCCCCATCGATGTCCCCGGTATGGCCTTCTTTAAGGGCGATATCTACCAGCCCCTCACCGGTGACAACGCTCCCGCCACCGACGCCGCCACTACCGTGCCCGAGGACAAGCTCCCGCGGCCGCTCCGCGAGGAGATGGTGTTCCGCAAGAAGTTCGCCCCTGCGGAGCGCTGGCGCTGCGTCCTGCTCAAGCAGAACGCCGTCCTCCGCGAGCCGGACCTTAAAGGCCGCTTCTACGCCACGCATAGGCTGCTGCCACTGCTCGACGGTCAGGCCAAGGTTGCGGCCGAGGCACAGCAGGGCATCGTTCGTGACGTGCAGCAGCGGCTTAACCAGCGCATCGACACGTTCAAGACGGCCTACATTGGTCAGAAGCGTTCCCGAGCCGACACCATCGGCCCCGCGCTGCCTCCGGGCAGTGTCCTTCAATTCGAGCCATCCGTGCGCGAGGAGGGTGCTTAGGTTTCGAGACAGAAAGAGAGGCAGAGTGTGTATTGATCTAACTGGTCTTCGAATGTTGATACGACGGCTTGGCAACACAGGACGATGAGGCTATGGATTGGCAATACCTGGTAGGGTAATGGAGCCTGTGTAGAAAGAATGCAGTGTAGACACCACCTGGTCGACGGTACACCCCCTAAGGATGGCTGTGGACATTATATTCCCCAGAGAGTTTCATATGTACTTGCACACCCTCATCTCAGCCTCCGGGGCGGCTCCGGGCCAACGCCATGTCGTCGACGACGAGACGCAGACAGCTACGACCGGCTGCAAGACACGTCCCACACCACCTCCACCGCCTTTGAGTGATGCGCGAACAAGACGACGGGTTAGGTAGGTGGTATGCGCTGCTGGCGTAGCATCTGAACCAAAAGTACGAAATGTCAATATGCCATGCCGTCTCTACGAGCGTCAACATCTTGTCCGGCGGTCCAATCACCTCCCATCTCCGGCTCACCCTCCACTTCCCAGACCTCGCCCCCAAGAAAACCCGGTCCTGTTTATATGAACTCCTCCCCTCCCGGACCAACCATACTCTAGGTTCGAACTGCCGGGCACACACACACCCATCATCCCACCAGGAACCGGACGTCCACGTTACGGCCAAACGCGTGTCAGCACGGCGGCAATGCCACCCCATGTGTCTGCGTACCAGAGTTTGGACGCATCGCCCCCTTTCCCAAAGCCTGTTTTTCCCAACACCGATTATATCCCAGATTTTCGGCCCCTTTTCTAGAAGGCCAAGTAGAAAAAAAGCTCCGGAAGGGGTGTGTGGGCGATTGGTCTTGTGCGCCACGAGCCAACGAACGACTTCCGACCCAACACACCAATGAAAGGGGGTTGCAAAGAGTTCCCTGCGAGCAGATAGAGCCAGATCTACATCTGCATGCGAGTGGCAAAGGAATGCTTTGAAAATAAAATAGAATTAAAAACTTATACCATGTACAAAAGATCCTTTCCTTTTTCTGCCTTCCTCCACCACCACCACCACCAAACCCGCCAACTCGGTCCGTCCTCGGGTTGGTTGGAGGGGGGAGATTATTCTGTTTCTCATTTCTTCTTCTCCATGCCACTCTACCACTTCTACGACTCACCGTTCGGTACCGCCTGCCAGGCAGAGACCGCAACACTCACCTCACACGCCTGGACTCCACCACACACCCCCCTGGCCTTCCCTTGCCTTCCTTATTCCCGCCACCCCCTAATTCCAACTTCCCGGGCTCGCGGTTCTCGCGCACGCCTTACTGGCAGCGAGCACGCGCCCCGACGCCCTTGTTTTTTCGTTTGTTTTTTTACCTCTTCCCTTTCCCGGCGGTACGGTTCCGGCTATCTTTCCCACCTAAATGGCCTGTGCTGACCAGCCTGGTCCGACTTGACGGGACCGCTCGTACCAGTGTGCCATTGGATCACTCCGTCCGCCACCTTGCTTTTTCCCCCTTTGTCCTCACCGTCTTACACTATTCTTGCCTTGCAATAGTTTGCAAATCCAAGCACCCACAAGTTACGTTACACAACGTGACACCGTCGGACATCGACGTGCTCGCTATAGGTCATTTGAGGGCATTAGTGTAAAACACACACATTCCGGTCCTCGGGCCGATGATACGTCACAGACAGTTCACGGAGATAACTGAAAGGTCCATAGAACCAAAAGAGTGCCCAAAGCGGTTCTGAGTTTCAAAAGCCTATACCTGGAGTATAGGGCTTTGCAGTAATATAGATGGTTCGTGAGAGATGGGAAGAAGGTGATGGTAATGATGATGAGATGGAAAGTAAGGAATAATCCGCCTTCCGCACAGCTATAAGTCTGCCACCTGATCTGACCCGTGTTGTCGGTTCTCGTCTGTCCGCCCAACAACATTGCTCCTTTCTTTGTCGTTGTAATGCAACTTCATCTTTGACGCAATGTCGCTGAACTCCTCGCCTTATTCTTTCAACTGCCAAACTCCGATTCGTCCCATCTTTCGCAATTATGGCCTGATCCACCCCCTCCTCCCAATTCAGGTGCGTCCGGGTACGACTCCCCTCTCTATTCTTCTTCTTCTTCTTCTCTTTCTTCGTGAGCCAGGAATATGCAGTATGTGGAGATCATTAGTCGGCAGGAAACGGTTCATTGGGTGTGGTCGAAGTGGTGCTGGGTCATGATAGCATAGTGCGCGAAGGCTTCATGTTCTTCGTCATCCCTCTGGTCAATGGGCGAGGCAGAGGAACGGTGGCCGCGGCGAATAGAAGACGTGTGATGTGATGCAGATGATGGATGGTCGTGTGGTTTCGTAGTTTTGCAATAAAAAAGGAATGATGGATGCTTGTTCGACGGGAAGAAATCGGATGAAAACGTGCGCCCCGTGGGGATCGAAGATGAATAGGAAATGTCGCATACTCGCTTGTCGCCCCAAATCAACTCAGACATTATTCACCCCACCATGCCCGTACGCCTTCAGTCGAGTTCGAAATGTCAAACGGTATGGGGCACCATGTTGGCTATCGCATTACTTGAGTTTTAGACTCTCGATCTTGGCCTGTATGCTCTTGAGAATCTCTGGGTCTGGTTCTGGCTCGACCTTGCGTGGCTTCAAACGAGAACAATCGCCGCACTTTTCATGCTGACACTTCTTGCATGCGGTTCCGTCGGCTGCGCCTCCAGGGTATATCGTCTTGCACTTGTGGCATTCGTGGTGCGGCACAGCATTCGGTCCGAACTCGTCGCCTGGATAGCCGAAAGGATACTTGTCCTTCTTGGGCCTGGTATATGGTTAGCATTCAGCGTCTTCACCAGGTGATATGGGAAAGCATACGGGTCTCGGGGACAGTCGGTGCAGCGGTTGTGGTTGCACTTGGAGCAAGTCTTGCTGCCGGCAGTGAAGAGCGTCTGGCACTCGTGGCAAGTTCTCCTGACTCTCTGGCGGGGCTTCTTGTAGATGAGGTCCTGTCCTCCAGTCTTGCTAGGGCGCTTGAGGACGATGGCCTTTGCATCCTTGGCATCGTAGGAGTAGTCGGGGACGATGGGAGCGTTCTCCTTCTGGGCCTTGAGGAGGGCGGCCCGCTTCTCTCGGCTGGCGATGCGCTCGGCCTCGGTCCGCTTGGGCGGGTGGCGGACGCACTTGGTGCAACGGACGTGCTGGCAGCCGGGGCACTCTTTAGCGGCAGCAAAGGTGGCATTGCACTTGTGGCAGGTTCGGTGGACGCGCATGCGGATGGGCTTCTCGACACGGAGAGCGGTGCCCTCGGTGGAAATCCACTCGCTCTGCTTGATCTCGAGGCCAAATCTCTCGCCCAGCTTCCTCGCGCGCTCCTCAAACAGTTCGGCTCGGGGCACCTTGACCACGCCCTCGAGGTCCTCGTACTTGCTCTTAGGAGCCTCCTTCTTGGCGGTTTCCTTGGTGGTAGTGGCGGCGGCGGCGGCGGGCTGCTCGGTAGCCGGGGCAGTGGACTGGCTGTATGCATGTTAGACGGGGAACGCAGACGGTTTGGTGACACATTGAAGAACAGAGGTCGACGACGAATGCTAATATCATGCTTACCCGGGAGTGGCAGCGGGAGGCTGTTGGCCGGCGGTGGACAGAGTCGACATGCGCTTGGAGGAACCATCGCCTCTCTTGAAGACGGTCTTGGCGCGAGACAAAATCTTTCCAAGTCCCTTCTTCTCCTTCGGGACCGAAGGTCCGGCCTGTGCTGGCGAGCTCATGTTTGGTGATGTTGACGTTTACGACTGATTGGCTTGGGTAACGTGGGATCCTAGGTCAATTGTGGGCTTCCCTGGGGGATGGGTGATCTGCAGTGCACTAAAACCCAACCGAACAAGGCCAGGATTTTGTGGTTGTTTGGTCGAGGTGCAAGAGGAATAATTGTGCCTGACAACGAGAGAAGTCGAATTGTCGGGGTTTTCTACAATCGAAGATTGAACCGGGTGGCGCGAGGTTCAAGTACGGGGTAGGCGATGCGGGATGGTTGGGTGTGTGGTTCGTGCAGTCCACAGATGGATCGGCGACTGAGGCGAGAACGGGGGTGTTGATCGTTGTCGGTGATTGCGAGTAGGGATATTCAACAAGTGATATCCGGCGAAGGTAAGGTGCTCGGCAAGGCAATTCTATCTTCTGCTTCCCATGACCCAACGGCGAGGCAAAGGGGAAGAGAGAACAGGTCGAACCACGAGGGAAGGTTTTTGGTTGTTATTCGGAATGAGTCGGCCGGGGAAGGAGGAGGGTGTGGTGTAAGAAGGGGGAAGGACGAGGAAGAAGAAGGACGGGAAGTCACTGACGGGACGGGGAGGAGGTGGTTGAAAGGAAGTGTGGAAAAAGTGGGAAAACAAGGTGCAGGTGCTAAGAGGCAAGGTAGAGGAGGAGACTAGCGTCGAGAAAGGTTAGCCGTGGGTGGAAAGGCAGGTGCCAGTGTGAGAGAGTGCAGTGCCAATGCCACAGGTAACCTAGCCATGCCAGGCCTTCTCTCCTTCCCTCTCTCTCTCTCTCTCTCTCTCTGGGCTGTTCCTCCGGCCCAGTGTCTCCAGGGTCTTTCTCGGGTTGCAGCTCCACGACGCAGCCAATCCAATTCGGAGCAAGCGCCAATAACAGTCCAGTCTCAGACCCCTCTCTCTCTCTCTCTCGCTCTCTCTCTACTTCTTGCAGCGAGGTGCCAGGTGCAGCAGCACAAGTTGCAGCGAACACCACACACCCACGACACACCGTAGCGGCGGCCAGGCAAAAGACCAGACCGGCCAGCCCAAACGTGGACTCCAGTGCAGTGGTAACACTAAAAACCCACCTCGCTGGGCGACTGGTCACTGGTCACAGCGCGGTGGCTCCAGTGGCTCCTCTCAAGCGAGCGAGTGGTCCCATCCCGGAGAGGAGACCCACCTATTGGGCGGGCCCCTCCTCCGGCGTGTTGGTGCTTGGTGCTACGCAGTGTGCGCTAGACTGCTGCAGGGGTACGTACCGTTCCCGACAGAAGGACACCAGAATTGCGAC